CCGTACAGCTACTCGGCTACGTCGACGCCGACCATGCGGGAGATAGGGAGAATCGTCGCTCCAGAACGGGCTACATCTACCGACTAGAGCCTCTTGGGACTATCTCCTGGCAATCGAGCAAGCTTGAACTAATCGCGCTATCCTCGGCTGAAGCGGAATACATCGCTCTCTGCTCTACGACCAAAGAAGGACTTTACCTACAGGAGCTACTCGAGGAAGCGAAAATCGCGACCATGCCCGTCTTCTCGCTATTTTGCGACAACCAATCCGCGATCAAAATCGCGAAACAAAAACGGGTTTGCCAATCAAACCAAGCACATCGCTCTGCGGTATTTCTTCGTCAAGGATGAGATCGCGAAGGGGAGACTTCAACTCAGTTACTGCCCCACGACAGAAATGGCTGCAGATTACCTGACGAAGAAACTGGCAAAGGCAAAGTTCGATTATTGCATGCTGCTAACTGGGCAGATAAACGTCACCGAATCCGGACACGTCAGCATTCCAGAAACGAAGGGGAGTGTTGGAAATACCTTGAAGACTTAAAGCGTTTCTGAAGTGTACCACTACACTCGAAGAAATGTCGTATCGAATACGCGAGTCAACGAAGGTTGCACGAGGAGGTTGGACGAAAGAACACGAAAGGACGAAGGGACTCAAAGGGTTGCAACCGGAGGTTGCGACCGACCGTTGCGACTGCAAGGATGGTAACCGAACCAACGATCGAGTCGCTGTACGACTTGATAACAGTTTCTTCAACAGTATTCTACAACTCCTCTATTTCGTATTCTCTATATATTCATGAATGCTTGCTTCTTTTAAAGCGAGGGGCTAAAATAGTGAAGGCGGGTCCAAGTTGAAACCAAGGGACCCTCGATTTTTTCTAAGGGGTTGTTATGTCAAACATTTGTATCTCTTATGTTTGTATAGACTGTATAGGGTCACCCCTTAGAGAGTACAACCCTTAGATATACATCTTGGTGCACAGGTTCTCTACTCATTCAATTATTCAGTTCTAAGATGGTATCAGAGCAGGTCGTCCGTCCCGGGCCTGCTCACTACGTTTCCGCTGCGCACTCCTGCTCCGTTCGCCGCCGTCGCGGCTTTCTGCCTGCCTGCCGCCGTGGCATCAAGATGTCGCGGCGGCCACTTAATGCTGCCGTCCCAACTTCGACGAGCAGCTGCGGCTCCGACGCCACGCTACTGCGGCATCATTCTGGTGCCGCGGCGGTGTTGTCGAGCTGCAGCCGCTGAGTTTCACCTCCGCAGCTACTGGACGTGCAGCGCGTCCGCCCGCCTGTACATCGGGCATGGGGTTAGTACTTGGAGGACGCAGGCCAGTGGTCCTTACCGGACACTCAGACGCTTCTTGGGCAGACGACGCCGAGACCCTCAGGTCCTCCCAGGGCTACTGCTTCAGCCTTGGTTCAGGAGCCGTCTCGTGGAGAGCTACCCCGCTCCTCGTCTGTTGCCCAGTCCAGCTGTGAGGCCGAGATCTACGCCGGTGCCATGGCGGCACAGGAGCTCCGCTGGCTGACCTTCTTGCTCACTGACTTAGGTGAGCGGCCTAGCTTTGCCCCGGTCCTTTACGCTGACAACAGGGCCATGATCCTCCTGTGTCAGGAGCCTCGACTCAAGGGCAGAGCGAAGCATATCTAGCTGCGGTATTTCCTCCTTCGCGAGCTACAGCAGCGCCGCCAGGCTCGCGTAGTACACTTGGCCTCAGGTGCCAACACAGCTGATATTTTTACAAAGGCGCTTGCGCCTAAAGATCATCAGCGGCACTGTGTACAGCTCGGTCAAGTTCCTGTAGCCTCTCACCTGCTAGGGCCTTGACTTGTGCCCTCTCCCAGTGGCTGGACTAGTAGTGCCGCCCTGAGCTGCTGGTTCAGGAACTGCCCCTATGCAGTCTAGGGGGTGTGTGAAACATTTGTATCTCTAATGTTTGTATAGACTGTATAGGGTCACCTCTTAGAGATTACAACCCTTAGATATACATCCTTGTACACAGGTTCTCTACTCATTCAATTATTCAGTTCTAAGATGTTAGCCTTACTCGGCAGAACCAGGGCAGTTCGATAACGCAGCCGCGCTGTTCAGAGCGAACAAGCGCGAGCACACGATTGGCTGGAAATTTTGTAGGACAGAGTTTGCGAGCTGTTACAGGTCGCAGGTACTTGTGCGACCCCTTTGCCTCATCATTCTCCAAGTGGACCCAACTTGATTTTCAAGTTGGACCCGGGTTCACTACTCATGCAAGAACACAACTGGTTTTCTGACTGGTCGAAATTTCTCCCCACCTAGAGCTACCAAAGAAAGGCGTGTTTACTTCGACTACCCGCCAACTACACTTTTCCCATTGCGTGTCCAGTCTTTTGAGTTTGACTGAAACGCGACCAATCGAGGTCGATGAAATACGGTAACAAACGAGCCCCAACGAGGCGTGCTAGCTAGTATTATGTGTATAAACAGAACCCTGTCCACATATCCGAATTTGTCACGCGGGCAGGTGCTTTTGCTGCTGAGTGACTGCCCGCCCCGAAACGACGTTTTCTTCTGCCCGCTCGCTTGTATCCCCTATATGTTCGAGGGTCCCAATCAAGTTGGGCCCAACTAGAAAGATGGGTCACAGTTATAACATCTCGTTTTAATTAATCACTTGCTCTCACATACTAGTGCAAGGGTTCAACTACTCAACACTTCCGCTGCTACTCAAGTATCTTGTACAAGTGGACTTAGTCTCTGGAAAGATCCTAAGGCCTTTTTCTCAGCCCAACAATGACAAGCTACTTGGCTCCTTAACTCCTTTCGGCGATAGGTACATGGATATAAAAAATGCATTTTCGTGCATTTTCGTGTGCGTCACAAATCAGTGCTTGTCAAGTGCACTCCAATAAATTTACCCGCCACATGTCCAAGACCTGTGGAGCTTGCTAGTTTGCTTTGTGCCTAGTTATATTGTAATGATGGGTTGGCTTTTGTGCTCTAGGTGGTTGTGTGTCATTCTCTCTAAGAATTCTCTCACCTTGGTGTTTTGAGATCAAAACAATTGATAAATCAAAAGTGTCAGGGACCACACCAACTCCCAACTGTCGCCTGCTTGGTGGAGGGGAGGAAGCCTGTGGCTGACCCAGACATGGTTTGGTTGATCGGTGGGCTTGGTACGTTACGTCAGCAGTGCTTGGCAAGACAATTGCACCAGTGCTCGTTCCCTGTTCGCGCTTCGAATTCCCTGCACCAGAGTTGTTGTCACATGGGATAAACCGCGCTGCACATGAGAATGCGCACCGCGTTGCATGGAACGCCTTAATTTCCGGTTGATGACGTGGTGATGGGTGTGATTTGTGGCAAGGCAAAAATGACCGCATATTCGTGGCCAGCGTTGCAAGGGCAGGAGCGTTCCCCAAACGCGAGTGCTCACTTCCCTGGCCCAACGAACGAGCCTTTATGCTGCCGAACCTAGGCTAGTTTGGCGGTTCGGTCCCGCTAAATATCGTTTCCGGGCCGGGTGTGGGTCAGGTGGGGTATGGAGCAGGGCCTTTTTTTCAAGGGTTGCTGCCCTGAATTTGAGTCAAAAAGAGTAGTTTTCAGCTGGCCCCTCAATTTTAGGGTTGGATGTTTATGAACCTGGGGATGAAGGATTTATGCAAATTGTAACCCTTAAGATTAAGGGTATTTGTTTTTCCCTACCCTGAGTGTCCTACTAGTGCTGGTAGAGCTACAGGGGGGATCTCCTTAAGAGGAACAAACTCCCTTAGAAGATTTTCGTTGTTCTTCCCTCACAGCACGTAGTCACACCAACTGACAGAGGAGATAACTCCCTTCTCCCCTCACAGCATGTTACTCACACCTTGTAGTCACCAACAGAGGGGAGACAACTCCCTTCGTATATTTTCGTTCTTCTCCCCTCACAGCACGTTACTCGCACCTCGGTGTCACAAATAGAGACAACTCACTTAGTGGATTTTCGTCATTCTCCCCTCACAGCCCCGTGCACGATCTCACGCCCTTTTCGTCTTGTCCTTACATCTCCTGGTAGATTCTAGCCGCGGCAGTGAAACAGGTACTGTTAAAAAAAATCCGAATGATTTAGGGTTGTCTCCTTCTGGACCCTAAACATTAAGAGTAAAGTTTCTACAAGCCCAATGTTTTTAGGGTGACTAAAATCTAAAAGTAAGCCCTGGTAAGGAGGAGGAGGTGAGGTGGCGGTGCTGGTTTCTGGGCTGGTCCGTGGCATGGTCTTCCTGCCCAGGCATGGGGAGGGAGCTCAACCTGCCCAGCGTTGCTCAACTTGCACTCAGTTGGAGCCAGCTGGGCAGGTGGTTTGGGGGTACTTTACTGTACATAACCAAACCTATGTGACTGGCCTCGAAACGGTAACAGAACGGAGGCTTCGTACGCAAGTGGTACTGTATTCAACAAGCAAGAAAAAACTGATCGGAGATTCCCCAATTCTGAGGAAGATCGTGGAGAATGGGATGCTTACATGCGCAGCCCTACGCTTTTAGAAGGTGACGGTATGGACAGCCATCGCCAGCCCTTCATAAAAAATCGGTTAGTTGAGGCATCTTTGAAAGCAAAATCTTGGAACATTCACCCACTTTAGAATGCTTGGTTGTGATTCCAATTTTTAGTAGAGAAAGCTAAAACGGATGTTGATCTACCCAGCCCGTGTGTTATCACACGAGAGGTTGTTGAGCGGCGTTCCGCGTCCTACTGTTGACAGTTGGTGAGCCTGTCGGCGACGTCAACCGCCGACAAGCCAATTGGCTGTCTTTCATTCGTCTTTGTTGACAGCATGTGTCGGGTCAGTGTGGCAAAGATGTCGCGCTGTTCCCGGGATGAGGGATCACAGGCTCGGCTGATGCCGATTCCCGCGCCAAAGCTAGCCCGACGGAAGCTGACAGGGGAGAGGGACCTTCGCGTGCCACGTGTCGAGGCGCGGCCCATCTTGATGGGAAAAGCGCGCGCGCCAATCCAAAATCCTATTCAACGACTCTTGTCAACTTTGCCTTCATATTCACCCGCACCCAACATTTCTCATCGCTCACCTTTCATAACTTGGCAATCTCATTTGTTCCTCTCACTGACCTCCCATCGCGTGACCATTCTCCCATCGGCAGTTTAGACTTTCCATAGACCGTTCTTGATTCCATTTCACTTAGCTCTGCGTTGTTGAAACCATGTCAAGCGCTTTACTTCGGAATTTAGGCAGCTCGCCTGCCGCATCAGCCGCCTGCAATCGCTGTCTCCAGTATGCCGTTCCCGCCGCGTGCTGCGCGGCACAGCAACTAATCTCCTCCCTCGGCGCGAGGCTCAACCACCTCTCGTCATCGCGCCCGTCGTCTACCACCACCACCGCGCAGCCCACGAGCGTTTCGGGGCTGCTATGCACGGTCACCAACTCCCCCTGCGGCATGGGCTGCGACGACTGCACCGAGTGCCTCTACCGCAACTCCTCCGCCCCGTCCGCTTCCGCGGCTTCCGCGCAGAAGCCCTTCCCCTCGCAGCGGTCGGCGCAGCACGGCCACGTGCCCACTCTCCAGCCGTTCGCGGCGCGTTCGATCTCGACGGACGTGCGCCACGCGGGCCAGCCGGCTGAGGTGGCGGAGAGCGAGTGTGACGTGGCTGCCGGCGGCGAACCGGGCCGCGTCGACGTGGCGTCGTTCATCATGAAGAACTACACGCCGTACGACGGCGACGATAGCTTCCTCGCCGGCCCTACCGCGCGAACCACGGAGGTGCGTTACAATCGCTTTCGTTTGCGCTGCTCTCGCTGGAATGCACCCGTCGTCGAAACCCTAACCCTAATTCCTCACGCAGTTTTAAAATAGAAATTCAGCAATCGCAGTCTGTACGCTGGCACCACTGACGTCCCCCTCACTCCCTTCCCCCTCCCCCTCCCCCTCCCCCTCTCCCATCGTTCTCTCACTACGGTCAGATTTGGGACAAGTGCTGCGAGATGCTCAAGATCGAGCACGAGAAGGGCGTGCTGGACTGCGACCCGACGACGCCCGCGTCGATCATCTCGCACGGGCCGGGGTACCTGGACAAGGAGAAGGACCTCGTCGTCGGGTTCCAGACGGACGCGCCGCTCAAGCGCATGATCAAGCCCAAGGGCGGCTGGCGCATGGTCGAGGCGGCGCTCGAGAGCTACGGCTACCCGGTCGACGAGAAAGTGCGCGAGGTGTTCACGTAAGTACGCTGACGTGGCGTGTCTTTCGATCTGTTTGTTTGAGCGTCGTTTGCGCGCGTAAGTGCTACTTGGTCTCGCGTGCGGCGTGTCTGTTACGAGGCCCCTCTCCCCATTCTCTCCTTTGACTCTGACCGTTATGCGTGCAGGAAATACGTGAAGACGCATAACGCGGGAGTCTTTGACGCGTACACGCCGGAGATGCTCACCGCGCGGCGCGAGGGCATCCTCACGGGCCTGCCCGACGCGTACGGCCGCGGGCGCATCATCGGCGACTACCGCCGCGTCGCGCTGTACGGAGTCGACGCGCTGATCGCGGCGAAGGAGGCGGACAAGGCGGCGCTGGGCCCGGAAATGACGGAGGAGGTGATTCAGCTGAGTGAGGAAGTTTCGGAGCAGATTCGCGCGCTGGAGGAGCTGAAGGAGATGGCGAAGGGATACGGATACGACGTCAGCCGCCCCGCCACGAACGCGCGCGAGGCCGTGCAGTGGCTGTACTTCGCGTGAGTATGACGAGCGCCGCCCCCGTTTTACCGTGAATGCGGTTGATACAGAGATCGCAGGCTCGGACCCCGAACCCTAAACGAGCGTCTCGCACGGTCGCTCCTTTTTCACCCAACGCTGGACGGCTCTAGGCTCGCACAACCGATCTCACACGACCCTCTCCCGTCGTCTCCCCTGGTCCTGCCAGGTACCTGGCGGCGATTAAGGAGCAGGACGGCGCGGCGATGTCGCTGGGGCGCGTGGACGCATTTTTGGACGTGTTCTTCGAGAAGGACCTCAAGAGCGGCGCGCTCACGGAGGAGCAGGTGCAGGAGCTCATCGACGACCTCGTTATCAAGGTACGCGCTATTGCTGACCTCGGTATTAGGGTACGCGTTATCCTTCCGTGTCCCCGAATCTCCCCGCTTCCCCAGCTGCGCGCTTAGCGCCACCCGCGTGATTTAAAGCGCCCCAGAGTCTCACCTCTTCCCCCGCCCCTCCCCCTCTCCCCCGTTCCCCCCGCCTTACCCCCCTTCCACCCATCAGCTGCGCCTGGTGCGCCATCTCCGCACGCCCGACTACAACAACCTGTTCGCGGGCGACCCGACATGGGTCACCGCCGTGGTGGGCGGCATGACGCGCGGCGAGGGCGGCCGCCACATGGTGACCAAAACGGCGTACCGCATCTTGCACACGCTGCGCAACCTGGGGCCAGCTCCGGAGCCGAACCTAACCGTGCTGTGGTCGCCGAAGCTGCCCGAGCACTTTAAGCGCTTCTGCGGGAAGCTGTCGCTCGACCTGTCGTCGATCCAGTACGAGAACGACGACGTCATGCGACCGCTGTTCGGTGACGACACGGCGATCGCGTGCTGCGTGTCGGCGATGACCATCGGCAAGCACATGCAGTACTTCGGCGCGCGCTGCAACCTGCCGAAGCTGCTCCTATACGCGATGAACGAGGGCAAGGACGAGGTGAGCGGGGTCCAAGTCGCGCCGCAGTTTGCGGCGCTGCCGGACGGCCCGCTGGAGTTTAACGACGTGATGGCGCGGTACGAGACGGCCATGGAGTGGCTGGCCGGGCTGTATGTGAACACGATGAACATCATCCACTACATGCACGACAAGTACAACTACGAGCGCGTGCAGATGGCGCTGCACGACACGCACGTCGGGAGACTCGTCGCGTTCGGCGTCGCCGGGCTGAGTGTCGCCGCGGATTCCTTGTCAGCGATCAAGCACGCCAAGGTGACGCCGATCAGGGACGAGCGGGGGCTGGTGACGGATTTCAAGATCGAGGGGGAGTTCCCAAAGTTCGGGAATGACGTGGAGGAGGTTGATTCGCTGGCGTCGTGGCTGGTGGAGACGTTCATGGCGAAGCTGCGCGAGCATAAGACGTACCGCGGCGCGGAGCACACGTTATCCGTGCTCACCATCACCTCGAACGTGGTCTATGGCAAGCACACGGGCAACACCCCCGACGGGCGCAAGAAGGGCGAGCCGTTCGCGCCTGGCGCGAACCCGCTGCACGGGCGGGACGTGGAGGGGGCTCTGGCGTCGCTTAACTCGGTGGCGAAGCTGCCGTACGAGTCGTGCCTGGATGGGATCAGCAACACGTTCACCATGGTGCCGTCGGCGCTCGGGAAGGACGATGACATGAGGACGTCCAACATGGTCCGCATCCTCGACGGATACTTCAACCAAGGGTGAGTGCTGCTGATCATGCCTTGTAGCACTGCCATGTAGCACTGCCATGCCATGCCACATGTCCTCAGAATTCTTACTAGCTCCCCTCCCAATCCCCTCAACGAACTCCCCTCCCCCTTTCAACCCCTCTCAACGTGAACGCTTTGAACCCTCCTTGCCAAGCACCCCGAGCAGCACCCACAGCTCACCATCCTCATCTCATCCTCTCCCGTCTCCTCCCCCCTCCTGCCTCTCCCTTGCAGAGCCTTCCATCTCAACGTGAACGCGCTGAATAGGGAGACCCTTCTAGACGCCATGGAGCACCCCGAGCAGTACCCGCAGCTGACCATCCGCGTGTCGGGCTACGCCGTGCACTTCACCCGCCTCACGCGCGACCAGCAGCTTGACGTCATCTCCCGCACCTTCCACGAGTCCATGTAGACAGGGAGAGGTACCACGTGGGGAGGGGGGAAGTGCCTAGGGGGAAGCTGTGGCCTTTCCCCATCCCCAGCAGTACCCGCAGCTCTCTGTGGGGCATCCTACATCGTGAGCAGTTCCATCATGTCACCACCATGCGCCACTTCACCTGCCTTACCTGCAACCAGCAGGTGGACTCCGCCCGCCACATATGCATGCGTGCATGTGTGTGTGCCATTCACCACCCCGTCTAACTGCCCGCCAAGCCCATTCCATCCCTCGCCATTCATCCAAGCACATGAATGGTAGTTCATTTTTCCTTAGCTTAGTGTGTAGTTTTGAAAAGTACGGTATTTATTCAGGCTGTCGGCTGCAACTGATGAGGTGCCGTCCACATGTGAAGAGCCCACCCCTGGGGGGGTTACTTAGCATGCTCAGTTGACTGGAAGAGGCTGCTTTCCTTAGCAGTGGGTGTGTGCATGCTCCTCTGCATGCATTAGTGGTGGCAGTTTGAGCCCAACCATATAACGGGTGCTGCTGCATCAAGTGTCCCAGACCTCTTGTATTTAAAGCCCCCGTCTCATAATTCTAGGATCCGACCAAGTGTAAAATGCTTGGTACCCAGTTACGCTGACGAATATGAAGAGACAGGCAAGGAAGTGCCTCGGACAGTGTGTTTCTTGCTGGGGGGCGAGATAGATTGTAAAACCAGCAGTGAAATATGAGAATGAGCAAGTTCACGGAAGAATGGGGACGTTGGACCGTTCGATCTTCTAAAAGTTCCGATCCGACGGTTCAGCGAGTGTATTACTAAATCTACCGCTGTAAACGAAGTGGAATTTGGCTGTGCAGGAAAATTGGATTCTGCACCGTCCGATGTAAAACGAACCTCCAGACTGATGTGCAAAACCTATCGCGAGCCACCCTTCCCCAAACCTGTTTTTGGTTCGGGTGTTTTACCGAAACAAAATGGTCTCGCCACTTGCGTTTCGTTTTCGTCATTTTTTTTATACCTCGCCTACCAATCAGAGTTTGCCTGCTCCAACCAAGTGTAAAACTCTAGTAATTATGAGACGGGGGCTTTAATTCAAGCGTGTGGAACAATTTTCTCTCAGCATTCTATGTCCATAGCTCCTGGTGCTATAAGTGACACATGGAGTATATCTGTAAAAATGTAAAATGACGTGTAAGAAGCGTGCTGTATCTGTATTCCATGTCGAAGTGCGCTATTCTCCCTTCTCCAACTATATTATGGGGTTGGAGTGAAGCCATTGTCTCTTAGCGTTTCCTTCAAGTGGAAGAGCACAGTTGTAAGAAGAGAATGCCATCTTCACCCCTAGGGGAGGAGCGTGTTGCACACCAAGCATTCCCAATTAGCTTTTGCCCAACCAATGCTTCTCCAAGAAAAGCATGTTACCTAGTACCATAGTTACCCGGACATCCTACCGGTATTCCACTTATCTGAATCTGAAATGATCGCCGGAGGAGGTGTAGATGAGGAAGCAAGCAACACGTTACTGCATTCCTGAATTAGCAACCCACACATGTGGTGCGCGAGTGCAGTCGTTGACAGAGCATCATCATTTAGCCCTGCAATCCCAAGCCTTCGTCCACTGCCGAAGGCTCTTTGCATTCGTCTCTTTGCCCAATGCCCTCCCCCCCCCCCCTCTCTCTCTCTCTCTCTCTCTCTCTCTCTCTCTCTCTCTCTCTCTCTCTCTCTCTCTCTCTCTCTCTCTCTCTCTCTCTCTCTCTCTCTCTCTCTCTCTCTCTCTCTCTCTCTCTCTCTCTCTCTCTCTCTCTCTCTCTCTCTCTCTCTCTCTCTCTCTCTCTCTCTCTCTCTCTCTCTCTCTCTCTCTCTCTCTCTCTCTCTCTCTCTCTCTCTCTCTCTCTCTCTGATTTGGTGCACACCACAGCCACGGGGTGCAGGGCAGGGTGCCCTCCCTAGCCACAGGGTGCAGGATAACCCCTCTATCTAGACCACTGGGTGCAGCACCATGCGGTTGAGCGCATCGAGAGTGAAATGGTTGTCAGTGAAGTGGCCGCTGGAGAAGAACGAGCTGAGGTCCACAATGCCGTACTCACGTGCCTGAGAAGGGGAAAGAGGGGAGGGGAAAGGTGGGGGAAGAGGAGGGGGGGAAGGTCAGGTGCATCCACAGCTGAAGATGAACGAGCTCAGGCCCACAATGTCATAGTCACGTGCCTGAGAGGGGGGCGAGGTGGGAGGGGAGGGGAGGGGAGGGGAGGGGAGGGGAGGGGAGGGGAGGGGAGGGGAGGGGAGGGGAGGGGAGGGGAGGGGAGGGGAGGGGAGGGGAGGGGAGGGGAGGGGAGGGGATGGAATGAGGGCTCGGTTTAACGCACCTCAATGGCTGGAGAGAATCGAGCGCATGTCCACAATCTTGCTGTACTCACACACGTGAGAGAAGGGAAAAGGGGGCGCGGAGGTGATGATTGCTGAGGGACAGACAAACAGTGGAGCTAGTGGCGGGGAGGGGACACAGCATTGCTGGCAGCAAAGTGGCGGCTGGAGAAGAACGAACAATGCCAACTCACGCGCCTGAGTGACAAGACCGGCTCACCACCCCCTTGGTTTCCCAGGTCACCCACCCTCACCTCACCTGATCTTGCACACCTATCCTCACTTCATCTTATAAACCTTTTTAGATAAGCCCCGAAGCCCGCACCCATCCCCATCTCACCTTGGCCTCCAGGTCATCCACCCGCATCTCCACCACCTCCTCCCCCTCGCCCCCTGCCGCCCCTCCCCCTCTCCTCCCTGGCTGGGACCACCCCAGGTCCCGCAGCCTCAGCGCCTCCCGCAGCTGCTGCCGCAGCAGGTGCAGCAGCAGCTGGTGCAGGTCGCGGCGGTGCGACATGTAGCGACTGAAGGACTGCTCAGTGGGTGACGCGGGTGGCGTGGGGTGAGGGAGAGACAGTGGAGCAAATGTACAGCAGTATGGAAAGTGGGGTGGGGTATGGATAGCTGTTGCTGCTGCAGCAAGTGCAGCAGCAGCTGGTGCAGGTCGCTGCGGTGCGACATGTAGCCACTGCAGGACTGCTCAGTGGAGAAAGGAATAGGGGGGGAGGAGGGAGAGGGAAAGGGAGCGGGAAGAGCCTCTAGCAGCTGAAGTCGCAGCAGGTGCAGCAGCAGGTGGTGCAAGTTCCGGCGGTGCGACATGGGGCGACTGAAGGGCTGGAATGGGGGGGGAAGGGGGATGGGGGAATGGGGAAGGGATGCAGGGGATTTGCGAACATCGCGCATGTCTGTTGCCTTAGCAGGTGCAGCAACAGCTGGTGCAAATCACGATGGAGGGACATGTCGCGACTGAAGGACTGCAGGGGGGAGTGTGTGGGGGGGACAGAGGAAGGCGGCAGGGGAAAGCGAGATGGTGGGGGGAAAACGCCTCTAGCAGCTGAAGTCGCAGCAGGTGCAGCAGCATGTGGTGCAGGTCACGGCAATGAGACATGTAGCGACTGAAGGACTGCAGGGGGGGAAGGGGGGGAGTGGGGGGCGGGGAAAGGAGGGAGGGGAAATGGGCGATGCGAGACGGCAATTGTGCGTGGTTGCTGCCTCAGCAGGTGCAGCAGCAGCTGCGACATATAGCGACCGAAACTCCGCAGAGTTACAAGGGGATTGGTTGAGAAGGGGGGGGGAGGGAGGAAAGGGGAGAATGAAAGGGGAGCAGAAAGGGGGAGGAAGACGGGGGGCCAAGAAGGGGGGGCAAGAAGGGGGAGAAAGAAGGGGAGCAAAAAAGGTGAGCAAGAAGGGGCGATTGAGACTAGCTGTTGCCTCTGAAACGTACTCCAGTCAAGCCGGCATACAGCATATGATACAGCAGTGTCAGCCAACCACCCACAGTGGTCCAGTGATCCAGCGGTCCAGCGGTCCAGTTTTTTTTTTTTTTTTTTTTTTTTTTTTTTTTGGGGGGGGGGGCTTTTAGCGATCCAGCTTTGGCTGTAGCATCGCAGGGAGTGGTCCAGTTGTTGGTCCAGCCGTCCAGCAGTCCAGTGCACGCCACGCTTCTGAGTGCTCATACATGATTCAAGCAGCACGCGAATGGCGTTGTCCATGTCGCTCAACCAAGCCACCCAGTCCTTGGGAGTTCTCCCTTCTGCCTCCAACCAAACCAGCCAGCCCCTGTTCCCAGTCCTCCACCCAACCTCCTCTTTACTTGTCCAGTGCGTGCTGCACGCCAGACTTCTGTGTGCATACTGCACATGGAGGGCAGTGTCCACCCAACCAGCCACCGTGCCCACATATGCAGCCACCCATATGCCACGGCTGTCCCTACCCCTCCATAACCAAAAAACCCACCCATACCTTTTCAAGTGCACACTGAACGCCATACCTCTGCATGCGGATGGGGGGTAGGGTAGTGCCCACCCAACCAGTCCCCACGCACACGCATGCCACTGCTGTCCCTACCCCTCCATAGCCAATGAACCCACGCGCGCACCTTCTCGAGCGCGCGCTGCATGCTGTACTTCTGTATGCTGATGAAGGACTCCAGCAGCAGGCGGATGGCCGTGTTCCCGCGCTTCAGGCAAGCAGCCATACTACCCCAAACCCTCCGTACCTTTTCAAGTGCGCGCTGCACGCCGTACTTCTGCGTGCTGATGAAGGACTCCAGCAGCACGCGGATGGCCGTGTCCACGTCATCATCCGTCACGAACGGCCGGAGATGCATGCGGGCGTGCGCCTCTGACATGCGGATCATCGACTCCACGTGGCGCACCGCGATCGGCACGCCCTGCCCTTGCTGTGGTGTTTGGGGGGGGGGGGGGGAGGGGTGGAGAGAAGAGGAGTACTACTAAGTACGGTGTATTTTGAGTCGACTCAAAATACACCTCCACTAAGTACCGAGTGCATGTGCCATCAATGAGGCCACGTGGCGCACTGCGATTGGCACGCCCCGCCCTTGCTGTTGGTGGGGTGGCGGGTGGAGGGGAGGGGGGGAGGAGGGGGGGGGCAGGGAGAGGAGAGGAGGAAGTAAGAACGGAGTGAGCCCCAGTGCCCCAGAGCCCCCGTGCCCCCGTGCCCCCGTGAATGTCTGCACGAGAGCGATCTTGTCGGCGTCAGCATCATGCATGTAAGTAAGGACACGCGGCATTCTCACTATCCATCCATCTTTCAGTGTGCACCCCTCCCACCCACCAGGCACCCATTCCCCACCTCCAACCACCCACCAGGGACTGCCGTCTGAGGTCCGCATAGACGAGCGCGATCTTGTCGGAGTCCGCATCGTGCATGCGGGGGAAGACGTTCTGCCGCGCGTACGTGACGTACTTCCTCAGGATGTCCTGCGGGATGATCTGCGGCGTGGGGATGGGGGCGGGGGGGAGAAGGAGACAAGCCACCAGAAATTTCTTGTGTATCGAATCAAGGAAGGTGTTCTGCCGCGCGCAGGAGATGTACTTCCTGAGGATGGCCTGCGGGATGATATGCGGCGTGGGGCGGGGAGCGGAGGGCGTGGGGGGGAGGGAGAAAAGAGATGTATGCTGGGTATTTTTGAGAATTCTAAAAAATACTATGCGCGTTGTGCATGCGAGGGAAGACGTTCTGCCGCCCGTAGGTGACGTACTTCCTCAGGATGTCCTGCGGGATGATCTGCGGCGTGGGGAGGGGGGGGGGGGGCTTGGAACCCTGAGGAAGAAAAGAGGAAGGTAAGGGTCTTAGGGGCCTTGGACCTAGTCCATGTGGCAGGCGGGGGCCACGTTCTTCCTGAGGATGTCCTGTGGAATGATCTGCAGCACGCGGAGACGGGCGGGGGGGAGAGGGAAAGCCACCTGCGTTTTAGGGGCCTTGGAACAAGACGTTCACGAGGAGTGGGGGGGAGCATGCATCTCTTGTTGCGGCTCCTTGGAACAAGACATATGTGGCAGGGGTAGCATGGATGATCCGTGCTAAAGGAAGGATGGGGAAGATGGCAACCGCCCAACCATTCAAGACTGCCCACGAGCGCAAGATCGCACACACTTGCAAGACCACCAACCACCCAAGTTAGCTGGACGCCAGGCAAGTTAGCTGCCAGTGCAAGGCCCATACGTACATCCTCACATCAGGCCCCATCAGGCCCCATCAGGCCCCATCACATGCCCCTGGAACCCCGGGTGGCTGCCCACCACAAAGCTGATAAGGCAGTACCCACGAGCACCCATGAGCACACATGAGCACGTATGAGCACACATGAGCACACATGAGCACCCATGAGCACCCATGAGCACACATGAGCACCCTTGAGCACACATGAGCACCCATGAGCACCCATGAGCATCCATGCGCACCCATGAGCATCCATGAGCACCCATGCGCACCCATGAGCACCCATGAGCACCCATGAGCATCCATGAGCATCCATGAGCACCCATGAGCACGCATGATACGTACATCCGGGTCTTCCTCTCCCGACGCCTGCCCATCGCTGCCGTGCCCGTGCCCCTGCAACCCCGGGTGCGACTTCTGGTGGCTGCCCACCACAAAGCGCGCCAAGTGCTCGTCCACCACGGGGTCTACCAGGTCCTGGGAGGGAGACGGAGGTGCACCCGGACAAGCAGAGAAGGGAGTGGGGAGAAAGAGGGAAGGGCGGGTGTGAGGAGTGGGAGAGAGAGGGAAGGGCGGGTGTGAGGAGTGGGAGAGAGAGGGAAGGGCGGGTGTGAGGAGTGGGAGAGAGAGGGAAGGGCGGGTGTGAGGAGTGGGAGAGAGAGGGAAGGGCGGGTGTGAGGAGTGGGAGAGAGAGGGAAGGGCGGGTGTGAGGAGTGGGAGAGAGAGGGAAGGGCGGGTGTGACGAGTGGGAGAGAGAGGGAAGGGCGGGTGTGAGGAGTGGGAGAGAGAGGGAAGGGCGGGTGTGACGAGTGGGAGAGAGAGGGAAGGGCGGGTGTGAGGAGTGGGAGAGAGAGGGAAGGGCGGGTGTGAGGAGTGGGAGAGAGAGGGAAGGGCGGGTGTGACGAGTGGGAGAGAGAGGGAAGGGCGGGTGTGAGGAGTGGGAGAGAGAGGGAAGGGCGGGTGTGACGAGTGGGAGAGAGAGGGAAGGGCGGGTGTGAGGAGTGGGAGAGAGAGGGAAGGGCGGGTGTGAGGAGTGGGAGAGAGAGGGAAGGGCGGGTGTGTGTGACGAGTGGGAGAAAGAGGGAAGGGCGGGTGTGAGGAGTGGGAGAGAGAGGGAAGGGCGGGTGTGAGGAGTGGGAGAGAGAGGGAAGGGCGGGTGTGTGTGACGAGTGGGAGAAAGAGGGAAGGGCGGGTGTGAGGAGTGGGAGAGAGAGGGAAGGGCGGGTGTGAGGAGTTTCCACCGGAAAGCGCGCCAAGTGCTCGTCCACCACCGGGTCTAACAGGTCCTGGGAGAGCGGCGCACAGAGGGAAAAGCACGTAGTGAGAAGTGAGAGGGAGAGGGACGGGGGAGGTGAGAGCGGAGCAGGGGTGTGAGGTGTGCCCACCACAAAGCGCGCCAAATGCTCATCAACCAGATAGAGGGCTGAGAGATGAGTGAGAGCTGGAAGGGGGACAGGTGAGTGGAGGGCAGGTGAGTGAGACGTGCACACGCCAAGTGGCAACGCCCATAGAAGACGCACCTTGATGACGAGCAGGCAGTCGAACCGCGAGAGGATCGGCTCCGAGAGCTCCACGTTCTGCCCAAACGTCTTGCTTGAGTCGTACCTGAGGCCAACAGGGGACACACGACATGCACCTTGAGGGCTTCGTCAAAACGATTCGCCAAAAGCTTTTGCCAAAATGACTCGTATTCGCCAAAAGCATTCGCCAAAACGATTCGCCAAAATCATTCACCAAAACCGTTTGTCGGAACGATTCGCCAAAAACATTCGCCAATAGCATTCGCCAAAAGCATTCGCCCAAAGCGTTCGCCAAAGGCATTCGCCAAAAGTATTCGCCAAAACCATTCCCAAAACCATTCGCCAAAACCATTCGCCAAAACCATTCGCCATGATCATTCGCCAAATTCATTCGCCAAAACTATTCGCCAAAACCATTTGCCAAAACCATTTGCCAAAATCATTCGCCAGAATCATTCGCCAAAACGATTCGCAAGAAGCATTCGCCAAAAGCGTTCGCCAAAGGCATTTGCCCAAACCATTCGCCATAATTATTTGCCAAAACGATTCGTCAAAAGCTTTCGCGAAAACCAATCGCCAAAACCATTCGTCAAAATCATTCGCCAAAACCATTCGTCAAAATCATTCGCCAAAAGCATTCGCCAAAAGCTTTCGCCAAAACCATTCACCAAAACCAGTCGCCAAATGCATTCGTCAAAACCATTCGACAAAATCATTCTCCAAAAGCATTCGCCAAAAAGCATTCGTCTGTAGCTTTCGTCTGTAGCATTCGCCAAAAGCATTCGCCAAAAGCATTCGTCAAAATCATTCGCCAAAATGATTCGCCAAAAGCATTCGCCAAAGGTATTCGCCAAAACAATTCGCCTTCGGCAAAATCATTCGCCAAAATCAGTTGCCAAAAGCATTCGCCAGAAAAACACGTCAACATCACTCGCCCAAAGCATTCGCCAAAGCAAATGGCCAAAAGCATTCGCCAAATCCATTCGTCACGACGATTCGTCAAAAGCATTCGCCAATTGGGTTGAGTGGCTCATGGGGCTTGTGTGCATAGCTATTCAAAACAGTGCATTTCGTGAGAAACAATGCTGCCCATGCCGTGAGTGTCATTAGTTGGTTTGGGTATGAGGTGTTAGGGACATATATGAGGAACATAGAATGTTAAACAAAACCACCAGGCAGGAAGGCCATCTCGCCCACACTCACCTGCCCCCAATGGGCTTGGCCGTGGCAATGACAGAGCACCTGGCAGCGAGGGAAGTGATGATGTTGGGTGATGGAAGTCTAGTGTTTAGGCCATGGGGTGGGGTTTAGGCAATGCCTCACCTGCCCCCGATGGGGTTGGCAGCGGCAATGACGGAGCATCTGGCAGCGAGGGACGTCACAATGCCCGCCTTGCTGATGCTGATGCTCTGCTGCTCCATGGCCTCGTGGATGGACACCCTGGGAGTGGCATGGCACATGGGACAGGGCGCAAGGCATGGGGCACAGGGCGCATGTGGGGCATGGGTTATAGCACACACGCCTTGCTGATGCTGATGCTCTGGTGCTCCATGGCCTCGTGGATGGACACCCTGCCATGGTAGTGCGGCATGGGTAGACATGGGCAAAACGTGATTGCGATTTAACTCGCATCGCGATGGGGGGCGATTTACCAAAAAGCATCGCATCGCATCGCGCCGATTTAATTTAGAATTGCGTTGCGCGATAAAATTTTCTGGAAATTTTTATTCGCAAAACGCGTTCAGAGGGCGATTTAAATTAAAATCGCGCGCAATGATTATTTAAAGCGAGGGTCTCAAGAAGCAAAAAAAAAACCCTAAGGTTCTGGTTTCGGGGGGTCGCGAAATTTGCGAGGTGTGGTGAGGGGTGCTGGTTGGGCGCTGTTACTGTTTCGCTAATTTCGTCAAACCGAAACCAAATCTTTTGGATTTGGTTTCGCGCTTCTTGAGATCCTCGCTTTAAATAGCGCGATGCGATTTTAAATCGCATCGCGTTCCTGGCCAGAATAAAAACCCTCCCAAAAATTCCCCCAAAAAAGGGCAAAACGCCTTGCACACATAAACCCGATTGTGGTGCGACGAAGTCTACTTCGAAATGGGTGTACGTCCACCCTAAACCGTGGAGAAAGGTGGGGCTGGGAACATGGATGGTATGTGTGCTAGGCCGTAAACGAATTGCCAAAGAGATTCTCCAAAAGAGAATCCCTCTGGTGCGTTTTTAGGCTTAGCGTTTTCCCCCCACATCCTTGCGGGCGAGATTTCAGAGCGGCGGTGAATTTCGATATCGCATGTGATTTTTTTCAAATCGCATATCGCCTTTATATCGCGTTTTTTACTGCGATATGAAAAACGATTTTAAAAAATCGCGCGATAAACCTTACATCGCGTCCCGCGATCTACCAATAAAAAACAATAAGTTCACAATCGCAAAACCGCAATTAAATGCGATGTGATGCGATATACTTGAGCATTTTACCCGGTCGGGTCGCGGGTACCCGACCCGACCCGACATTTTGGCGGGGTCGGGTAATAGAATTTTGACGAATTATCCGGCCGGGTCGGGTCGGGTACTCGGGCCGGGTAATGCATACCCGTTACCCGAAAATTATCCGAAATATCGGGTAATTTATTACCCGTCGGGTCGCGGGTACCCAACCCGACTTCAGGTTTGTTAGTCCGGGTTTGCTGAATTTTACAGCCACCTAGGGGTAACCGGGTAATATTACCCGACTTCAATTAAATGCGGGTCGGGTATATATACCCGACCCGCCAGACGGGTAAACAATTACCCGGTATTAAAATGCCAGGTCGGGTAACAGACCTCCAAACATTACCCAGAAATTACCCGACCCGACCCGACCTGGACCCAATCACGGGTAGGGTAAAACCGGGTCGGGTCGGGTAATTACCCGGTTTTGCTCATGTCTGATGCGATGCGATTTTTTGTGCCCATGTCTAGGCATGGCACCTGGGCATTAGCCATGGGGTAAAGCCTTTGCTCATGCTGATGCTGATGCCCCTTTCCTTGCGTTCAGTCTACCCTCCTCCACTCCCCACTCCCCCAGTCCCACCTCCTGCCCCACCCCCTACCCTACCCCAGGCCCCACTCCCCCGTGTCCCAGTCCCCCTTCTCTCCAGTCCCCCCCAGTTCCCCCCTCCCCCAGTCTCACCTGTCCTGTTCGCTCATCTTGTCGAACTCGTCAATGAGGCACGTGCCTCTGTCCGCCAGCACCAGAGCTCCCCCCTCCAGCGTCCACTCGCGGGTCACCGGGTCCTTGTGCACTGCGGCTGTCAGCCCCACCGCTGATGCGCCCTTGCCAGTAGTATACACTGCTCTGTGGGCTGTCTTCTCCAGGTACCTGGGGGGGGGGAGAAGTGGTTATAAGCCCAGGTGTGGACTGAATATACAGGGTCCGCCAGCACCAGAGCGCCCCCCTCCAGCGTCCACTCGCAGGTCACCGGGTCTTTGTGCACCGCGGCTGTCAGCCCCACGGCTTACGCACCCTTCCCTGTGGTGTGCACTCCTCTGTGCGCGGACTTCTCAAGGTACCTGATGGGCGTGTGGTGATAGGCGGGCTGTGAGACGACGCCTCTACAGGATCCTCATGCATGAGAGCACCCCCCTCCGCCGTCCCCAACTGTCGAGGTGTGTGGTGCCCAAACTGCTGCACGCAGCAGGCACTGCCGGTCGGGGTCACTCTCTCCCAGCAGCAGCGTATTGATGTCGCCCCTCAGCCTGTGCGTGCCGCCCGCATTCTTCTCCTGCCCTCACTCGCTACCCCAATCACTCCCTCACTCCATCACACACTCACTTGAGGAACTGCGACTTGGCGGTGCCGGGGTCCCCCAGCAGCAGCGCGTTGATGTCGCCCCGCAGCCTGTGCTTGCCGCCCGCATTCTTCTCCTGCCCCCCAAACATGGCCAGAGCCAGCGACGTCTTCACGTTCTCATGGCCGTAGATGGACGGCGCGATGGACTTGATGATCTGAAAGGGAGCGGGTGGGGGGAGAGGAGAAGAGAAGCACGCACAGGGTATAACATGACTTATGGCAACTCCAAATGTCCACCGTAACCTCATGCATCTCTCTCACTCTCACTTCTTCCTGCCGTTGTCTCTCACAAACCCGCTCTCACTAACCCGCTCTCACTAACCCGCTCTCACTAACCCGCTCTCAGTAACCCGCTCTGCAACCCTGGGGTCCCTCAACAGCTCCATGCCTTCCTCCTTGCCTTCATCCGTCCGTCTGTACGCCGCCAAGGCATCCTCCCACATTCCCCGCCTCTCTCAACAAGCACACTCACCACCTCAGCAATCCTCGGATCCCTGGACAGCGTCACGATGTCCTCCTTGTCCTCGTCCGTCACCCGGTAAGCAGCAATGTGTCGCGCCTCATTCACCACCTTCCTCTCTTAACAAGCACCCACCCTCCCACTACCAACTCACTCTCTCACTGATCCTGGGGTCTCGAGACAGCTACATGATCTCCTCCTTATCTTCGTCCGTCAGCCGGTATGCCGCAAACGCGTCCTGCCGCTTGCCCATGCCTCTCACACTTTCCCTCCACCTTTCACTCCCCCACTCACCCTCTCAGCAATCCTCGGATCCGTCATGCACCTCCTCGGCAAGGAGGAGGACAGCGTCATGATGTTGTCCTTGCCTTCGTCTGTCAGCCGGTACGCCGCAAGGGCACGCTGCTACTGCTACACGTTATTTACCCTCCTCACTCACCCTCGCAGCGATTCTTGGGTCCCTGGACAGCTTCACGATCTCCTCCTTGTCTTCGTCTGTCAGCCGGTACGCCGCAAACGCGTCCTGCCGCTTGCTGACGTGGTTCGCCTCGATCACCGTGGAGAACACCGGGAAGCCCTGCCGCGTGTTGAGCGCCGCATCGAAGTTGTTCACGTAGATGCCTGTTACTTCCTGGGAGGGGGGAAGGAGGAAGTGAAGGGGGGCGGGGGGGGGGGAATGGAATGGTGGGATGAGGTCGCTCAGCAGCTCCACATTATTGTACCTCGGCATGCTGGAGGCACGTCACAAGCGCACTTCCAGCTCATAAAGTCCACGGCATCGCTTATGCTATCGGCACTCACATCACAATCTCTTCGCCCGGTCGTGCGCAGTCGATCAAGCCGTTCAGCAGCACGACCTCCTTGTAGCGCGGCACGCTGGGGGGCAACTAGAGCACCCACAACAACTCACAAAGTCAAATGCATATCTTAGATCATGTCATCTGCACTCACAATCTCTTCGCCTGGTCGTGCACAGTCGATGAGATCATTCACCAGCACCATCTCCTTGTACCGCGGCCATTCGGTCACTGAATCTTACTAATTCTCCCATCATACACACGTGAACTCACAATCTCTTCGCCTGGCCGTGCGCAGTCGATCAAGTCGTTGAGCAGCACGACCTCCTTGTAGCGCGGCAGCCTACCCGCTGGCACACTGCCCGGGCTCTCCTGCAAGGTCATCTTCTGGTAGTTGCGGTAGATGGTCTGCGGGGGGACGGGGGAAAGTCGGAGAAGAAACGAAGGAAAGGGGAGGGAGGGGGAGAGGGGGAAGGGATGGGGTTAGCTCCAGGAGGGCACCTGCCAGGGCTTTGCTGCAGCATCATCTTCTGGTAGTTGTGGTAAATGGTCAGAGGAGGAAAGGGTGGGGAGGGGGGGGAGAGAGGGGGGAGATCAGCGCTCACTGACAGAGTTTCTGTAGCAGGAAGACCAAAACACGCCGCCTGGGCTTTCCTGCAGCGGCAACCTCTCATAGTTGCCTTGCGGAAGATGGGTCGGAGAATAAGGAGAGAAAAACCTTCAAGGCGCCTCATTTTAAGTCGACTCAATAGGATGCGCAAACACAAACACTGCCCCGCATATTGTCAACATTAGGTAATTGTGGCAGTCGCCAGTCGGTCTGTACGGAGGAGCTCGGGTGATAGGGGGGGAGAGGGGGTGCTAGAGGAACTAGTTGACCTTGGACTGGCAATCCCATCTAGTGCAGTGCCCTAGCAACATGACTACCGCCCCTCCCTAGCCGTCCTTTTGCCACACCCTCCTTTTGAGTCGACTCAAAAGCCCTCCCTAGCCGTCCTTTTGCCACACCCTCCTCTTCTCTCACCTGCTCCACATTCACTTGGAACGGCCCCTTGGACTGGCACTCGGCGCATGTGCGGATCCGAATCTCGGAGGAGGACGTCTGGAAGAAGGGGCCGAGGATGGCTCCGCACTTGACGCAGTTGTACTTCACCTGGGGAGGGAGGGAGGAGGAGGGAGTGGAACAAACAGCCAACACAGGAGCAGTCAAGCAGCAGCACAAGTGTCGTGAGGGCACTGCAACAAGCCTGGAAGAAGGGGCTGAGGATGGCGCCGCACTTGGCACAGTGTACTTCACCTGGGGGGATGGGAGAGGGTGCAGTGAGCTGCGTTTAACCAGTCAAGCAGCCTACTTACAGAGAATCCTGCAATGTACTTTGCATGCAGATGAGGGGCATCAGGGGCGAAACGCATAGCATTTTGCAACAAGAATGCTGCGACTCAAAATGACTCACCTGCTGCAGCTGAGGGAATACTCCGGTTCTGCGAGTGACGACGCCCCCCACTCGAATGAGGCAGTTGAGATGCGTTTGCCTGGCGTGTGGTGCACAGGGTAGGGGTTATGAGGGGGAGGGTTTGACCAAGCTTGTAAGTTACAGGTTCAACAAGGCTGGAAAAAAGGTGGGACTGAGGGAAGGATGGCACTGGTAACCACCTCTGTTGACCTCAATTGACGTCTCAAATCTGATCGATGACTGGCAGCCCTGCCACGTGCACATAGATGTGGTGTGGACATGCACCTGCTGTGTCGCATTCACCTGACACACCTGCTACCCCCTCTGTTGCATTCACCTGACACACCTGCTACCCCCTCTGTTGCATTCACCTGATGTCTCGGATCTGGTCAATGACCGGCAGCCCTGCCACGCGCACGTAGATGCGCTCATGCACCTGCTCGTACATGGGGAACGCGCGGAACACCTCTGCTTGCGCCACCTCATCTAGCACCTCCAGCACCTGCAAGGGGGGGGGGGGAGGTGGGAGGCATTTGAAGGGGCCTCGTGCACCTGCTCGTACATGGGGAACGCCCAGAACAACTCTGCCTGGGCCACCTCATCTCGCACCTCCAGCACCTGGTGGTGAGAACAAAGGGGGGAGGGGGCAGGGGGGAGACCTCATGCAGCAGCTTGTACATGGGGAACATGCGGAAGACCTCTGCTTCCAGCACCTATCACTGGTACGGGAGATGGGCAGTGAGAGTAAACTTGTCCTCCGCCAATTTCTGTGGCGGCAACTTCTCAGGTTTTGTCGCATACTCGGACCAGCTGCCAGATGCTGCTCAAAAGTTATGGGGAAAGTTCAGCTCAGTTCGCCATGTCAGCGACCAGCAGCGCAGCATCGCAGATCGCAGCCGTTGGTGAGAGTTGGGCTCCTCACAACTCGAAAGGATGTGCTTGCGTGAGCGAAAACGTGGTGCATTTTGATCAGTTGTTGAGGATTCGACACTTGCTACAACCGTACGATTTCTCGATGCTGCTGAGTCACCCGGAATTGCTGTAGGCACCCAGTCAGCAGGACGGTCAGCATGGTTCCCTTTTGAGAAATTAGCGCCAACACGCTGGTTGGCACTAACTTCTCACCCTCCCACTAACGACAAGCTACAGTACCAATAACGACAAGGTACAGTGGAACGAGAAATTGGCAGAGGACAGGTGTATGAACCCACCACTACAGTGCTGTGCTCACATGTACAGTGCCCCCCTGCTACAGTGCTGACCTGTTTGGGTGCATCGGCGAGCCAGACAGCGAGGATGGGGTGGGTGGTGAGGAGGTGTGAGTAGTCCAGCTCCAATGAACAGCTGTTCACTGCTCAACACGCCATGTGCATGCACACGTGCACACGCGCACACAAACACACGTGCACACGCGCACACAAACACACGTGCACACGCGCACACAAACACACGTGCAGTAGCACATGCAGGGACGAAGCCGAATGTGAGGAGGGGAATGAAGAGTTGAGCGGAGTCGACAAAATTCAGAAAGAGCGGCGCAATGGAACCAACCAACGGAACTAACGGAACACCAGTGTGCAAACAACTTACCTCCATCCCACACCCTCACTGCCTTCTCTCCCCCATTCTCCCCTCCCCCCCCCACTTACTCTCCACCAGCTCTTGAATGTGAATGGCATAGTCAGAGTCCTTGTCCGCCATGTGCCGCTCTCTGCTGTCCTTGAACGTCCGCCCTTAAACGTCAGCAGGAAGAAGTGCCGGAACTCGCATGAATTAACCCTCCTCACACTCCCCCTCGCCCCCCTTCACTCACTCTCCCCCACTCTCCCCCACTCTCCCCCACTCACTCTCCACCAGCTCCTGAATGCGGATGGCATAGTCAGCCAGTGCCACCCTCTGCCATGTTTGAACGTCTGCAGGAAGTGCCGGAACTTGCTCCCACATTCCTCTCACTCCCCTCTCTCCCTCACTTCCCTCTCTCCCTTCCCCTCTCTCCCTTCTCCTCACTCCCCCCTCTCCCTTCCGCCATTCTCGCCCTCCCCCTCTTTCCCCATTCACTCACTCTCCACCAGCTCTCGAATGCGGATGGCGTAGTCAGCATCGTTATCCCCCCGGTGCCGCCCGCAGCTGTCTTTGAACGTCTGCAGGAAGTGCCGGAACTTGCTTCAACAACCCTCCTCACACTCTCTTCTCTCCCCCCCCGCCACTCACTCTCCACCAGCTCTCGAATGCGGATGGCGTAGTCAGCGTCGCTATCCCCCCGGTGCCGCCCGCGGCTGTCTTTGAACGTCTGCAGGAAGTGCCGGAACTTGCGCGCCATGAAGCGCCGTACCTCGTCACGGGACACCCACTCCCTCAGACTGCCCTGTGTGGTTTAGTTGCGAGGATGGGAAAGGGGGTTGGTAGTGGTGGAAGTGCCGGGGAACTTGCAGACCTAGCGCCGCACCTCGTCGCGGGACACCCACTCCCTTAGGCTTCCCTGGTAGAAGATAGCGGGAGGGATAGAGGGAGGAGACGGAAAAGTAAAGGAGGGGGGTAGAAAGGTGCGAGGAAGGGCTAGGCATACTAGTTGGAATGAAGCAACAGAATTCATCTCGCGACACCCACTCCTGCAAACTGCCCTGCTGGTGGTGTGGTGGCTTTAAAGGGCATGGGGAAGGGTTGGGCAGAACGTTATGAAACCCTAACAGCTGCTGAGCTGCCATCACCTGAATGCTGAGATCAATCACCTGACTGCTGTAATCACCTGACTGCTGTAATCACCTGACGGCTGTAATCACCTGACTGCTGTAATCACCTGACTGCTGTAATCACCTGACTGCTGTAATCACCTGAATGTTGCAATCACCTGAACGCTGCAATCACCTGAATGTTGCAATCACCTGCATGTTGTAGAGCGAGTCATCGTTGATATCTTCCTCCTCCTCCCCCTCGTCCTCCTCTCCCCCCCCTGTGCCCTCCGTAGCAAAGCTCCCCTGCAGGCACGAGAAGAGGGGAGAGATCATTACCACATTATTCATTATGCAATATGCATTATACATTACCCTAATGCCTGCCTGCTGACCCTATGGCCGAGCTACTTACCCTATGGCCGAGCTACATACCCTATCGCCGAGCTACTTACCCTATGGCCGAGCTACTTACCCTGTGGCCGAGCTACTTACCCTCTGGCCGAGCTACTTACCCTATGGCCGAGCTGCTTACCCTATTCCCGAGCTACTTACCCTGTGGCCAAGCTACTTACCCTCTGGCCGAGCTACTTACCCTATGGCCGAGCTGCTTACCCTATTCCCGAGCTACTTACCCTGTGGCCGAGCTACTTACCCTCTGGCCGAGCTACTTACCCTATGGCCGAGCTGCTTACCCTATTCCCGAGCTACTTACCCTGTGGCCGAGCTACTTACCCTATGGCTGAGCAACTTACCCTATGGCCGAGCTACTTACCCTATGGCCGAGCTACTTACCCTGTGGCCGAGCTACTTACCCTCTGGCCGAGCTACTTACCCTATGGCCGAGCTGCTTACCCTATTCCCGAGCTACTTACCCTGTGGCCGAGCTACTTACCCTGTGGCCGAGCTACTTACCCTATGGCCGAGCAACTTACCCTATGGCCGAGCTACTTACCCTATGGCCGAGCTACTTGCCCTATGGCCGAGCTACTTACCCTGTGGCCGAGCTACTTACCCTCTGGCCGAGCTACTTACCCTATGGCCGAGCTGCTTACCCTATTCCCGAGCTACTTACCCTGTGGCCGAGCTACTTACCCTCTGGCCGAGCTACTTACCCTATGGCCGAGCTGCTTACCCTATTCCCGAGCTACTTACCCTGTGGCCGAGCTACTTACCCTATGGCCGAGCTACTTACCCTATGGCCGAGCTACTTACCCTATGGCCGAGCTACTTACCCTGTGGCCGAGCTACTTACCCTATGGCCGAGCTACTTACCCTATGGCCGAGCTACTTACCCTGTGGCCGAGCTACTTACCCTCTGGCCGAGCTACTTACCCTATGGCCGAGCTGCTTACCCTGTGGCCGAGCTACTTACCCTATGGCCGAGCAACTTACCCTATGGCCGAGCTACTTACCCTATGGCCGAGCTACTTGCCCTATGGCCGAGCTACTTACCCTATGGCCGAGCTTCTTGCCCTATGGCCGAGCTACTTACCCTATGGCCGAGCTACTTACCCTGTGGCCGAGCTACTTACCCTCTGGCCGAGCTACTTACCCTATGGCCGAGCTGCTTACCCTATTCCCGAGCTACTTACCCTGTGGCCGAGCTACTTACCTTATGGCCGAGCTTCTTACCTTATGGCCGAGCTACTTACCTTATGGCCGAGCTACTTACCTTATGGCCGAGCTTCTTACCTTATGGCCGAGCTACTTACCTTATGGCCGAGCTACTTACCTTATGGCCGAGCTACTTACCTTATGGCCGAGCTACTTACCTTATGGCCGAGCTACTTACCTTATGGCCGAGCTGCTGACCAAAAGGCCGAGCTGCTGCATGCGCATATCATGCAGTCGTGCATGGTGGCGTTGAGATGGCCACAATGGAGCAGTTGCAGCTGACAGTGAGACCCAGCTTTGCAACAACCGTGCTTAATCGACCGAAGCATTTCTCCCCCCCCCCCCCAACAGCATTGAACATGCAAGCATGTTGCTTCTCACCCCCACAGCAGCATCAGCAGAGTCGGTGCGTCGTCTGCGCTGCCCCCTGCGAGTGAAGAGGCCGCTGTCGTCGTCGTCTGGGGAGGGTGAGAACAAGGCAGGGCGCAGGGCGAGAGCAAGGCAGGGTGCGGGGCAAGGCAGGGCGGGGGGCAAGGCAAGGAGGAGAAGCAAGGCGGCAAAGGGGAAACGAGTTGGAAATGGGTTGGCGGGGGGTTGATTGCTTGCTTGCACTGGCCCCTGCCAGTCAAGAGCCCGCTGTCATTGTAGTCTGGCCAATGGTGGCAGAGAAGGGCAGAGGCAAAGTGGGATAAGGGCCGGCCCGTCAAATATTTGGTAGGCAGGGGGTGTGTTTCTCACTCTCACCCGCCCGCTGCCCATTGCTACTCCTATGCCCTCCGCTGCCCTACCTACCTTGGTCGCTCAAAATTGGCGGCAGGCGGTCATTCCCCCCCTCGCCCCCACCAGTTCTCCCCCCACCATCCCTGTGCGCCATTTCTCTTGCCCTACCACCTCATGATAAAGAAAACTCTCACCTTGGTCTCTCAGAATCGATGGCAGGCGGTCGTTTCCCCCCTCGCCCCCCCCAGCTCTCCTCCCAGCGTCCCTGCGCGCCATCTCTCTCTCCGCCGCCCGCCTGTCTACCGCCCGCTGCCCGCTGCTCCTGGTGTCGCCGTCGCTGTCAGCCAGGTGCGCCCTCTCATACTCGTCCAAGTGGGGCATGGGGCGGTAGTCGCTGGAATAGTAGAAGGGGACACAAAGCACGGTGAGAGCACGAGAGACACATGAGGGGAGGTACCACCACACAGAGGGGCTAGGTCGCTGCCTTTATCCGCCAGGTGCTCCCTCTCGTACTCGTCCAGGTGGGGCATGGGGCGGTGGTCACTGGAAATTGGCGGGATGCACACGGCAGGAACACGGTGACTTGAGATTGATAACTGCTGCCTGCCCGCTGCTTCTGGTGCTGCAATCACTGTCCAGCAGGGGCCCAAGGCACCCACTCACTCCGTGACGTCACCCCTCAGCAGGTCCTCGCCCTCCTCCTCCTCCTCAACCCACAGGAAGTCTCTAACCAACCCATGCACTTTATACGCCGACCCATCACACTCACTCCCCACTCACTCCCCACTCACTCCATGAAGTCATCTCTCAGCAGGTCCTCGCCCTCCTCCTCCTCCTCCTCCCCCGCTCCCCCCGCCACTCCTCCCCCGTCGCCCCCCTCGCTGCCGTTCTCGAACAGCATCGGATCCACCTCCGCCTCCTCCGCCTCCCGCCCTGCCAGAGTATCAGAGAGCCACAACGCAAGAGGGACAGTGGGGAGATCGGCCAGTGAGACAAGAGATTGAGCCTAGAGATCGCCCTCTGGAGGGAAGAGAGAGGAGGAAAGGGATCCCCCTCCCACGTTTCCCCCATCACTCACTGCAGTTCTCAAACAGCATCGGATCTTCCCGCCCTGCCGGAGGTTCAAAGGGAGCCACGGACCCAAAGACACACAGAGCGATTCCAAGGTACACGGAAAGCGGATGCGGATGAGGGGAAGTGGCCCATATACCCCCTCGCTGCGGATTCCAAGCAGGATCAGATTCCCTCCCCTCCCGAGGATTCTCCTCCGCTTCCCCGGCTACGCACCTGCGGAATCCCGGTCGAATTCGTCCATCTGATCGTCGTCATCTCGACCGCTCGCTGTGTATGCATCTGACGGCCCCGATCGGCCGGATCGTCGGTCCGAATCCTGCAGCAACCGAATGGCACACGGCAGCAAGCACACACGACGGGAGCGTCAGAAGGGGCGCATTGGTTCGGAGTGTCGCAGATCTCGGCGGGCGTGACTGGCGCGGAAGCAGGAAGTAAACACGGCCGCGTACCATGATGTGCGGGCCCTGTTGACTCGGTTGACTCCGCTGATGCTTGGCAAGCACAGTTGCGTAGCGACGAAATGATCTTTTTTCTAGAGATGTTTAAAAGGTATATTTTGTTTTCATTAGTTTTCAGCTCTCATAGCTCAGTTGGTTAGAGCACCCGTTTAGTAAGCGGGAGGTCTTGAGTTCAACTCTCAATGAGAGCAAGGGATGGATCCTTTATCCTTCCTCCCTCAGCCCCCTTGTTTTGCGCTAAGTGGGAGTTTGCCTCGCTCTTTCCTCAGCTAGTTACATTTTGCTTCTCGCGCATCCAACGGTCGCCCTTCCTGCCTCATTGACCCGCCTTCTCTGATTCGGTATCGAGCGCGCGAGCGACGAACGCAGGGCAGGGGCATAGTTAGCGATACGGACTCGAATCCAGTCGCGCGCGGTGCCGTTAGAGACTCTTCGCCAACGTTTTGAGCTCTTTTCGTATCACAGACGCTTGTTGACGACATGGCGACATTCGGCATCGAGGCGCAAGAGTGAGTTACCAGTCGCTAGGTTATAATCTTTCGCAAGTGGTTGGGAACGCCGGTCCAGTATAGTCGCCAGTGCGCTCGCGAGTTTCGCCGTTTGCTGTGGCCCGTCGTCGCTGATATGGTTGTTAGTAACGCGGATATGGTCTGCAGAGGTGGTACCAATGCGGATTAGTTCTGTCGAGCTGCTAAGGTCTGCAGGGCTGTTGGGAACGCGGATTGGGTCTGTAGAGCTGCTAGGAACGCGCGTTAGGTTTGCTGAGCGACGTGCTTACCGCCGTCGCCGAGGCGAGTATCCTTCCGAACGTGCCGTGCTGGTTCGGATCCGCAGCTGGAGCCACGCCTTGGGTCTCGCACCCTCGTGCCTTCCTTCCTGCCTGTCCTCATCCGCAAACCCCCACCTCCCTCCCCCCCACACCGCCCTCTCCCCCCCTCTCCTTCCACTCTTCATCCCCCTTACAGTGTGGTCCGCATCATCCTGCAGTTCTGCAAGGAGAACGCGCTACAGCAGACCCTACAAGCCCTGCAGGATGAGTGCCAGGTGCCCTTCAACCCCCTTTCCCCTTCCCCCCCTTCCCTACCCTTCCTTTCTATCCCCCTTACAGTGTGGTCCGCATCACCCTACAGTTCTGCAAGGAGAACGCCCTGCAGCAGACGTTGCAGGCCCTGCAGGACAAGTGCCGGCTGCCATTGGGACCCCTCCATCCATCCCCTCCTGGTCGCCCGTTCATCCATCCCCTCCTGGTCGCCCGTTCATCCATCCCCCTTACAGCGTAGTGCGAATCATCCTTCAGTTCTGCAAGGAGAACGCGCTACAGCAGACGCTACAGGCGCTGCAGGACGAGTGCCAGGTGCCCCTGAACACTGTCGATTCCCTCGAGACCTTCGCCGCTGACGTCAGCAACGGGCGGTGGGATGCAGTGCTGCCGCAGGTGGCTCAGCTGAAGCTTCCGAGAAAGAAGCTGGAGGACCTGTACGAGCAGGTGGGCGCACATAGAGGCTCCAAGGCCGTTCTGAGCTGGTGGGGGAATACTAGTGCGGCCTGTCCTAGCAGGTGAGCGCACACAGAGGCTAGAAGGCCGTTCTGAGCAGGTGGGAGAATACTAGTGCAGGTAGAGGGTTAAGGGAGAGAGAAGGGAGAGAGAAGGGAGAGAGAAGGGAGAGAGAAGGGAGAGAGAAGGGAGAGAGAAGGGAGAGAGAAGGGAGAGAGAAGGGAGAGAGAAGGGAGAGAGAAGGGAGAGAGAAGGGAGAGAGAAGGGAGAGAGAAGGGAGAGAGAAGGGAGAGAGAAGGGAGAGAGAAGGGAGAGAGAAGGGAGAGAGAAGGGAGAGAGAAGGGAGAGAGAAGGGAGAGAGAAGGGAGAGAGAAGGGAGAGAGAAGGGAGAGAGAAGGGAGAGAGAAGGGAGAGAGAAGGGAGAGAGAAGGGAGAGAGAAGGGAGAGAGAAGGGAGAGAGAAGGGAGAGAGAAGGGAGACAGTGAGTCCTCTCGAAAGCCCATGTATGTGCAGCATACTGTGGCGTGGTGAGCTGCTGCATTCGTTGCTTGCGTCAGGTGTCACTGGAGGCTGGCGCTAGCAGAGCCGAGGGAGACGTAGGGGCTGAGACTACGAAGAGGGAGACGTAGAGGATCATTTGTGTGTGTCGTATGTTCATTCATGCCCATGCTGGCCCCCCTCACCCATTCACCCCCTCACCCCCTCACCCGCTCACCCACTCACCCATTCACCCCTCACCCACTCACCTGCTCACCCGCTCAACCGCTCACCCGCTCACCCACTCACCCACTCACCCACTCACCCACTCACCCACTCACCCACTCACCCCCTCACCCGCTCAACCGCTCACCCGCTCACCCACTCACCCATTCACCCACTCACCCACTCACCCGTTCACCCACTCACCCATTCACCCTTTCAGGTGTATGTTGTGGTGTATGCTGCGTGCATACTCTCGGGTGATTCTGGAGCTGGCGGAGCTGAGGGAGACGGAGAGCATTTGACAGGGAAGGGGTGCTCTACCTCTCCCCGACCCCTGCCCCTAGGGGAGATCGAGTAGATCCGAGCCCCTAAAGCATGCACGTAGCTTGACTTGCTGCCCCTTGCCTGCCTAGCCTGTACCCAGGTTTTCAAGCAATAAACGGACCGCTTGAGAGAGCATTTGACAGGAGCGTATGTGCATGCTGTGCCATGTGGCTCATCCCAGGTGGCACTGCCCTGCCCATGCTGCGTGCTCCTGTCCCGTCAACCCCCAGGTGATTCTGGAGCTGGTGGAGCTGAGGGTTACGGCAAGCATTTGTCAGGAGCGTGTCTCTATGGGCATTTCTTCGTGCATGGTGTGCCAATGCATTCCACACTCTCCTGCCCCCTCTGTGCACCAGGTGATTCTGGAGCTGGCGGAGCTGAGGGAGACGGAGACAGCCAAGTCCATCCTCCGACAGACGCCCACCATGCTCGCCATGCGCCAGGTGGGTAGAGTGTTGTGCCATGCGCCAGGTGGGTGTCCTATGCGCCAGCTGGGTGTGCGTGCTGTGCATGCCTCAATGCCCCGTCCTCAGACAGGCGCCCACCATGCTCGCCATGCGCCAGGTGGGTGTTCCTCGTTGTGCTGCCATGCCATGCGCCAGGTGGGTGTCTGCTGGTGTGTTATGCTATGCGCCTCATGTGTATGTGCGTGCCCATCCTCAGACAGACGCCCACCATGCTCGCCATGCACCACGTGGGTATTCTGTGGCACCACTCTGAACCACACTGCATCGTTTTTGGTTTCCCAAATCCCGCCCTCAGGGTTCCGTGTGTTAGAATATTCTCACTTCATTTTATTAGCCTACATCGTTTCGTTGTCTTAGGTACTTATGAGCACCCCACTAGGGTGTATACACCCAAGTTGGGGGTTGGGTTCCCAACCTTGTTGGGTTCCCAAATTGGTTGGACTCCCAATTATTGGAACCCCCAATAATCCCAACCAAGATTATTGGACCCACCAATAATCTTGGCTAGGATTATTGGACCCCCAATAAGTTGGCCAACTCAACTTATTGGGGTCCCCAATAATCGTGGTCACCTCCCAACCAAACCCCCCCTCCTACTCCTCACCTATGTATACCCACTCCTTTCCTAATACAATCATCACTTCAGTTTCTCACACCGTGTGCCCTGCCTCCCTTTCTCCCAATGATTTGCGGCTGCGCTCCATCTGTCCATCGTGCACTCCTTCCAGGATCAACCCGACCGCTATCTCAAGTTGGACCACCTGCTGGCACGGGCGTATTTCGACCCTAGAGAGGTGGGCGGGTGAGGGGTGGCGTGAAGGGTGGCGGGGGTAACCGTTCGGCTAATTGATAGGGCTGGGGAAACTTGTCGCTTTCTGCCTGTTGTGTGCATGCTTGCTGAGATGGGCCAATGATGGTGCTTGCTGAAGTGGGTACTTGTTGGTTGGTGGTGTTTGCTTGGCGGTGTGTGCAGGCGTATGGAGATTCCACCAAGGAGAGAAGAAGAGCGGAGATTGCACATGGTGAGGCGTGATGGGCGTGATGGGCATGAGAGGAGTGCAGAGAATGGGTCAGAGTGTGTGCTGCGACGAGTCTCCTCTCCTCACCTTGTCCTCCTGCCTTCTCCTCTCCTCACCCTGTCAAGCGTTGCCTCTCTCGCCGCACGCACAGTGCTTCTGGTGCTTCTAGTCACGGCGCACCTCGAACCCCTCTCCCTTTCCACCCACTTATCCCATCGCCCCTTCGCCCACCAGGTCTTTCGCAAGAGGTCACCGTCGTGCCCCCCTCGCGCCTCATGGTGCTCCTAGGCCAGGCCCTTAAGTGGCAGCAGCACCAAGGTGAGTGGCAGCAGCACCAAGGTATATTCAGTGTCACATGCGTGTGCCATGCCCTACCATGTGCCTTTTTCCATGCACATGCCCATGCACATACCAGCATGCACATACCAGCATGCACATACCGCCATGCACATACCGCCATGCACATACCACCATGCACATACCAGCATGCACATACCAGCATGCACATACCGCCATGCACATACCGCCATGCACATACCGCCATGCACATACCGCCATGCACATACCGCCATGCACATACCGCCATGCATATGCCACCTTGCTCCTCCCTCTCTTCCTGTGTTCCTTGCTGCCGCACAGGTCTACTCCCGCCCGGCACGCAGTTTGATCTCTTCCGAGGGACAGCAGCAGTGAAGGCGGATGAAGACGAGGCATACCCCACGCAGCTCTTGCACACCATCAAGGTGAGCGTCTGCCGACAACGCTCATCTTGTCGGCTCGGCAGCTGTGATCAGCACTCGTCTGAGTGTGCTCACTGTGTTCTCCACTGCTCCAGCCCCTCGCATGCCTCGTGCAAGCAGGAACACAGGAGCACCCTCGTGCCGCATCCCACTCCTTCCCCTTTGCATCTACCTCTTCCCCTTCGCTCCTCTCATTCCCTTCTTTCTCCCCCACCATCCCATCCCTCTCTCCTCTCTCTCAGTTTGGCATGAAGAGCCACCCCAAATTGGTCCACTGTGCCTCTTCTTCCCTTTTCTCCCCTTTCTGTTGGACCATCCCACCTCCTCCCCCATCCTCTCCACTTTGCATGCGTTTCTCTGACTCCTTTTTTCTCTCTCAGTTCGGCAAGAAGAGCCACCCCGAATCGGCGCGCTTTGCTCCTGATGGCCAGTGCCTAGCCTCCTCCTCCATCGATGGGTTTATTGAGGTGAGGATGGGTGCAGTGCAGTGAGAGCGGGTGCAGTGCAGTGGGGGTGGGGTGCAAAACATTGACTTTTTTGGAGTCTCCACCTCGCATCTTCCTGGTTACTTATTGAAGTGCATGCGGTTCTGGAGAGCAACAGACGGAGACAGGCTTCTGTGCATGGCATGCCTTGTCTCCGTCTGTTGCGCTGAAGCCTGCAATCTTTCCCTCCTCACCTCACTGCCTCCGTGCCTGCCATTTGCCCCCTGCCTCCTTGCCTCCCTGCCTCCTTCCCTCCCTCCCTCCCTGCCTCCCTCCCTCCCTCCCTGCCTGCGTGCCTCTCTGCATGCTTTCCCCGCATGCTTGGCCATTGGCCAGGTGTGGGACTTCCTCACAGGCAAGCTCAAGAAGGACCTGCAGTACCAAGCAGAGGTGGGTGCTTTTGCTGACAAAACGAATGCCTCGTTTTACGTGGCTGTGACTTACGATAAATTCCACTGTTATGGTGTGCTGCAATGCTCATGATGCTCGAGAGAGCAGAGCTGTGCTGTGTGTGGGCCGGAGGGGTCTGTGTCATCAACAATCTACTGACAACAAACCCAGCCCCTCTCCAGGCCACGTTCATGATTCACGAGGAGGCGGTGCTGTGTACAGTGTAATGAACAATCTGCTGACAACCCCCCCCACCCCACCTTTCCTACCGCACCCCCCTTCAGGCCACGTTCATGATGCACGAGGAGGCGGTGCTGTGCGTGGGGTGGAGCCGAGACTCGGAGATGCTCGCTTCGGGATCACAGGATGGCAAGATCAAGGTGGGTATGATGCTGCTCTTGGGTGCATGATGCCAAGGAAATGCGTGGGCGTCTGCAGTTTGCGGCGCCTCACAGCACCCTCTCCCCCAAGCGGTCCTTAATTTGAGGAAATTCAGGGCACAAACTAGGCATGCAGAGGGGGGCCAAGCGAGGCATGCAGAGGGGAGCCAAACAAGGTACGTGTTGCCAGCTTGGGTGCCTAGCCTCACGCCACTCTTCTCCCCCCTCCTCCGCTGTCGTCGTAGAAGGGCACATCTGCTTCCACAATGTCGCCTGTTCCAGAGGCCGGATGCACATCTGCTTTCTAGTTGACTTATTAGAAATCTCTTCCCCCTCTCTCTCAGGTGTGGCGCGTGCGCACGGGGCAGTGTCTGCGGCGCTTTGACAAGGCGCACTCACAGGGAGTCACGTCTGTGGCGTTCTCCCGGGACGGAAGCCACCTGCTCAGCGCCTCGTTTGATGGCACAGCAAGGTGTGCTCAGTGTGCTTCCATATGCACAGGGTCCCGCCCGTGTATGCTCTTCCTCGATGTGGTCTAGGATGTGTGGGCTCACGTGGTGCCGACATGTCTGTTTCATGCTCCCTCTTGTTCAAGGTGCACCGCCTTGAGCCATCTCAACATGTATTCCATCGTTCTGAATGTGTTGTTGCCCGTCCACTGGCCCCTCCGTTCACCCTTCCCCAGGGTGACTTTTGAGTCGACTAAAAAAACTTCCCCAGGGTGACTTTTGAGTCGATTCAAAAAACTTCCCCAGGGTGACTTTTGAGTCGACTCAAAAAACTTCCCCAGGGTGACTTTTGAGTCGACTCAAAAAACTTCCCCAGGGTGACTTTTGAGTCGACTCAAAAAACTTCCCCAGGGTGACTTTTGAGTCGACTCAAAAAAACTCCCCCAGGGTGACTTTTGAGTCGACTCAAAAAACTTCCCCAGGGTGACTTTTGAGTCGACTCAAAAAACTTCCCCAGGGTGACTTTTGAGTCGACTCAAAAAACTTCCCAGGGTGACTTTTGAGTCGACTCAAAAAACTTCCCCAGGGTGCACAGGCTGAAAAAGCCAGAGAAGACCCTCAAGGAGTTCCGCGTCCACACATCCTTTATCTGCTCTATGCTGAACCTTCCTCAACACGTCTTTGCCCGTGCTGGCTCCCTCTTTCCCCTCCTCTTTGCCCGGCCTTCTCCCCCCCCCCCAGGGTGCACGGGTTGAAGTCAGGCAAGACCCTCAAGGGGCCACACATCGTTTGTTTGCTCTATGCCGAGCGTTCCTCAACAAGTATTTGCCCATTCCGACTCTCCCCCAGGGTGCACGGGTTGAAGTCAGGCAAGACCCTCAAGGAGTTCCGTGGCCACACATCCTTTGTCAACGATGCTGTGTACTCTGCTGACGGTGGCCGCGTCATCACTGCCTCCTCCGATGCCTCGGTCAAGGTGAGGCTATGAGGTGTCGCGTGGTGAAGTGTGCTGCAGTGCGGTGATGTGCGGTGCACGTGTGGTGTGAGAGGAAGTGATGCTGCGGCAGCCAGTGCATGGTGATGTTTGCACTCACTTGCTAAGACTCTGAATTCAACCTCAAGGCTCCACTCCCACACTCATCCCTCCCCATCGCCCCCCACCACTCTGCATCCCCCAACCAGGTGTGGGACGTCAAGTCTCTCGAGTGCCTGCACACATTCAAGCCGCCGCCTCCCCTCCGAGTGAGTCCCTCCCAGTGCACCCATCTCCACCCCTCTCCACCTATCTCCAGCCCTCTCCCCTCCCGGTTGCTCATTTTCTTTCCCTGTCGTCGAGCGTCACTCCAGTTTCCTTTTCCAAGATTCAGTCCTCCTGTGATTCGTATTCAACCCCGCTGCTGCTCACACTTCCCCCCGCTCCTCGTTTTCTTTCTTTTCCCATGAGGGCGGCGACGCGTGAGTCAACTCTGTGGTCCTCTGACCCAAGAACGTGGACCCATCTTTGTGTGCAACTGCTGCCTCCCTCTCTCACACACACGTATTCCTCCTCTTCTTTCCCCTGCAGGGCGGGGATGCATCGGTGAACTCAGTCCTGCTCTCCCCCAAGAATGTGGACCACGTCTTTGTGTGCAACCGCTCCTCCTCCATCTTCCTCATGACGCTGCAGGGGCAGGTGGGTGGGTGTGAGGGGTGGTGGGCTAGGTAGGTGTGATGTGGTGTGTGGGCCAGGTGGTGGGGTGTGGGGCTAATAGCATGGAGCGCCTCAAAGCACGTCTTTGCGGGCAACCGCTCCTCATCCATCTTCCTCATGACGCTGCAGGGGCAGGTGGGTGGGATGTGTTAGGCTGGGGGTGGGTGTGAGGCAGGCGGGATGTGAGGCAGGAGGGATGAGAGGGTTATGTGTGGGCCAGGTAATGTGTGGGCCAGGTAATGTGAGGGCCAGGTTATATGTGGGCCAGGTTATGCGTGGTCCAGGTTATGTGTGGGCAAGGTAATGTGTGGGCCAGGTAATGTGTGGGCCGCCAGGTTATGTGTGGGCCAGGTAACGTGTTGGGCAGGTAATGTGTGGGTTAGGTGGGTGCGATGTGGTGTGGGGCAAGTGGATGTTGGGCTAGTTGTTTGGGTCATGCTCCTAGACTGCCCGCCCCATGCTGCTGTATTGCCTGCTATGCTACGACATATTATGCCCCTTGCCATCCGTCTCCTACTATCCCCTGCCCCATGCACCCATGCACCCATGCACCCATGCACCCATGCACCCATGCACTCATGCGCCCATGCACCCATGCACTGATGCGCCCGTGCACCCATGCACCCATGCACCCATGCACTCATGCGCCCGTGCGCCCATCAGGTGGTGCGCAGTTTCACGTCGGGAAAGAGGGAGGGTGGTGACTTCGTGGCCGCATGCCTGTCGCCCAAGGGCGACTGGATCTACTGCATGGGGGAGGACGCGTGAGTTGGTGCTTATTGCAGTGAGAGAATGCCCAAGGTGTTGAGGTCACGGCCTGTGTTGGTGTGAGCACCTGTGCCTTGCGTCAAGCCTGTCGCCCAAGGGCGACTGGATCTACTGAGGACGCGTGGACAAGTGCACAAGTGTTCTGGTCACTGTGTGGTGGGTGTGAGTGCTGCTTCCTTGCCTCATGCCTGTCGCCCAAGGGCGACTGGATCTACTGCATGGGGGAGGACGCATGAGTCGTGGCTTAAGGGTTGGGAGGGGATGCACAGAGTGGTGAGGTCACACTGTGGTGGTTGTGACTGCTGGTGCTGTCCCACATACTCGTGCCTTTCTCGCAAGCCTGTCTCCCAAGGGCGACTGGATCTACTGCATGGGAGAGGACGCGTGAGGGACTGCATTTGTGTGTGCGGTGTGGTGTGGTGCGGTCATGCCCAGCACTGCGTTGAGGCGCTCAAAACTAGACTCCTATCACGCGGATTTTGAGGCGCCTCAAAACTAGACTCCCAGCACTGCATGCTTGCATGAGTGTTCCTCGCTTCCTTGCTGCGCGCACCAACACACACTGCTTCCCCTCCCCTCTTCTCCCCGCCCCTCTCCCCCGCAGCAACATGCACTGCTTCAGCTTCCGAAGCAGCAGCTCACTCCCCTTTTCCCCCCTCCGCCCCCCGTTTTACGCCCCTTGCCCGGCCTCCCCCTCTCCCCCGCAGCAACATGTACTGCTTCAGCTTCCAGAGCGGCAAGCTCACTCCCCTTCTCCCCTCCCCTCTTCCCGTTTTACTCCCCTTGTCCGACCACCCCCTCTCCCCTGCAGCAGCATGCACTGCTTCAGAGTGGCAAGCTCACTCCCCCTCTCCCCCATCCGTCCCCCTTTTACTCCCCTTGCCCACCCCCCCCCTCTCCCCCGCAGCAACATGGACTGCTTCAGCTTCCAGAGCGGCAAGCTCACTCCCCTTTCCCCCTGCCTTCCCCGCCCAACTCCCCTGTCACCCCCCTTCTTGCCGGGTCCCTCCCTCTCCTTCATGCCCGGTCTATCCCCCCCGCAGCAACATGTACTGCTTCAGCTTCCAGAGCGGCAAGCTCGAGCATCTCATGAAGGTACGGCCTGCTCGCTCTGCTTGCCTGGTTAGCTTCCATCGATGCGATGCATGCACCCATAACACAGTACCTCATCACCTCCGCACAACATGAGAGTGCACAACACGTCACTGTGAGGCATATCCGTTACTCAAGTTTGTGTACGGGTATGTGTGTGCATGCGCGTGTGTGGATGCGTCCTCGCCTTGCCTCGGGCATGTGTGCAGGTGCATGACAAGGACGTCATCGGCATCACACACCATCCCCATCGCAACCTCATCGCTACCTTCAGTGAAGACTGCACCCTCAAGCTATGGCAGCCCTAGTCTCGTCTAATCTCTGAACTTAGATCCAACTTACTACTACTGACTGACAGCCAGAGTGGCAACAGTAGAGCCAAGCTTTGGCTGGCAGCCATTGCCTTTGTCTGCTCAAGCTATGGCAGATATCTGTGTGTTGAGTGAGAGCTCTACCTCCTGCGACAGGTACCGTACAAGAGATGCACGAATGCTGCTGCCGAGTAACCTATGGGCAAACTGTCAGAAACCCAGTCACTAACCACTGGGTTAAAAGGGCTTGTTGAATAACGGGTAAGTGCGCCCATAGCCCCCCAGGCTCTGCACCTGTGGCCCTTTCCCGAGGATCTCAAGGGCAACCCCAGCGGGTCACTCAACACAAACATCTGGGAAGACAAGTCGATAAAAAAGAGCTTTCATAATAAGGCCATCATAAACTGCAACGATGCTCATCCGAGCCATGACTAGATAGTAGATACTATATCTCAGCCTCACCTCTTCACCCACATGTTGGAAAGTTGGTGGCATGTCTGTTAGTGCTTCACTTGACGTTTTTTTTAGGACCCAACATTACCACTAAAAATGTAATTTTTTGAAAGTGTGTAACACTTTCTAAAAATGTGTATTGTGAGAGTGTAGCGAGGGCCAACGCAGCAAAGGCAGCGACGAAGCGCTACTCACCCTCTTTTGCCTACAAAAGAGGGACGTGAGGCCATTCGGCCTCACCCACGTTCTTCATTTCTAGTTTCTCTAGTTCAATTTCCGCAGTTTCTCGTCCAACCTGGCGAAGACCCAGTCCCTCCCCCGAGGCAAGGCTCCGCAACCCGCTAACATGGCGTCGGCGAACACGACTCCGAATCGTCCGACAAACAACCCCAACAATTCCGTGGAGCCCGGAACTTCGGCCGGGGCAACCGCCCGTCGCCAGAAACGTCCTGCTGAGGAAATTTTTGGCGAGGGTCCCTCGGCTGTCGAGGTCCTGCTTGGCGCCAATCGCGCTGCTCCAGAAGAAACAGCAGCCGCGCGAGCTGCCAACGGAGGACCACGCGCCTGCGCACGTCGCGACGGCTGCAGGCCACGCGGGCCCCACCGAGCACACGCCCTTTGACGAGGTCGTGCCAGGCGCCGCCGCCCCCGCGTTGACCGCACAACAGCTCCAGGCGCTTTTGGCGCTGTTACACCAGCAGCCGAATGTTACGCTCGGAACATCTTCGGACAATATAACTGCTACGACCAATTTCGCCAAGAAGAAAGAAATGCCGCCACCTACTCGTGCGCCGAAAGCTCCGCGCGTCGACAACCAGCCCCCGGCACCGACTCCCGCACTCGCCAATGACACCGACGACAGCGACGACTCTGAAAACGATGATGGTGAGGCTCCTGCCAATATTGCTCGCCATCGCATTCTCGCCCCCGCCCCCCTCTTCCCCCCCTTGGTCCCACGCCCACAGCAACTACCTTCATGCGTAAGGGCGTGCGCGACCAGGCCGAAGTCTTCACTGCTATCCAAGCGCACCTGCAGCACATCGACTTCGAGCTGCAGCACGGCAACGTCACTGGCGCACTCAACAACGTGAAACACATCGAGACGCTTATTAATAAGCGTTTCGAGGTGCTTCTCGTGGCGGATGAGGCCGGCTTTGAGGCTGCTGATCGCTTCCAGCTCTACCAGTCCAAGAGTGTGCTGACGTCTCGTTCCTACAAGCTGGCGGTCGCCGACGTGGCTGCACTCAAGCGCGCACGCGCCATCTACCCCCGTGGTGGTCGTCCCGGCGGCCGTGACGGAGAAATGGACCTCAAAGGCTCCCCCCCTCTCACGTGCCAGCAGCCACGCTTCAAGGGCGTGTGCTTCCGCTGTGGCCAGCCAGGTCACATGGCTAACGCATGCCCCATGGGCGGGCGTGGAGCACAAGGCCCCTCACCGGTGGTGTGAGCGGGGGTAAGGGCGGTGCCCTTCGCCAATATGCAAGAAGCATATTGGGCTGCACCGGGGGTGCGTGGCTGGTGGCCGGCCTTAGGACAAGGCAAATGGCCTAGTAGACTAGGGTAGCCCTAGGGGCAGAGAAGGCCGTGGGCCTAGAACCTTGTGTTATTCCTTGTATGGATCATGCACGCCGTTATGGCGCATTGAAACTAAGATTGCAAAAAAAAAAAAAAAAAAAAAAAAAAAAAAAAAACTTTTGCAAGGCCTCGATGAAAGAGAGAAGGAGAGCGAGCGAGAGAAACAGAGAGAGAGCGAGAGAGTGAGAGAGAGAGAGAGAGAGAGAGAGAGAGAGAGAGAGAGAGAGAGAGAGAGAGAGAGGGAGAGAGAGAGAGAGAGAGAGAGAGAGAGAGAGAGAGAGAGAGAGAGAGAGAGAGAGAGAGAGAGAATAAGATAAAGAGAGAGAAAGACCATAAGAGAAAGAGAGAGAGAGAGAAAGAGAGAAAGAGAGAGAGAGAGAGAGAGAGAGAGAGAGAGAGAGAGAGAGAGAGAGAGAGAGAGAGAGAGAATGGATGAGAGAGAGAGAGAGAGCATAAGAGAAAGCAAAGGGAAAGAGCATAAGAGAAAGAGAGAGATAGAAAGAGAAAGAAAGAAAGTTTGTGTGTATGTGTGTGTGTGTGTGTGTGTGTGAGAGAGAGAGAGAGAGAGAGAGAGAGAGAGAGAGAGAGAGAGAGAGAGAGAGAGAGAGAGAGAGAGAGAGATCAAAGAGAGAGAGAGAGAGAGAGAGAGAGAGAGAGAGCGAGAGAGAAAGAGAGAGAGAGAGAGAGAGAGAGAGAGAGAGAGAGAGAGAGAGAGAGAGAGAGAGAGAGAGGTGACGAAGGCTCGAGCGCTGAAGGGAGAAGGCATGAATATCAGCCATGCCCTTTTTGCAATTGAACATGAGCCACTCTCGCTTTGCCAACTGAATGGGAGCTATGCCCTCCATGGAATTGACTATGACACATCCAACCTTTAGGCAATTTTCTGGTCTCACTCACTTGGGTACCTATGTGATTCTTGCCACCCGACCCTTTGGTCCAGCAGAAATCGGGAAAGGATGGTTACACAACGAACATGACCCCTACGAGTACGCGGTTACAGACAAGGACGTAACTGTCATGCATAGTTGATTGCGCCACGCCCTACACTGGTGGTGCTCATGGTGCGATAGCAGTTTCATCCTGTCCATCATTGCGAAAGGATATTGGCTTCCCTGGAAGGAAGGCGTGCCACATGCCTTTGAGGATAGCAATCATGCTGGAGTTCACACACACCTGGACTTCACTCGTGGAGCGATTCGCGACCTCGTCACCTCGGGTGCCGCCGTCAAGGTCCCTACGAAGGACGCGCTCATGTGTGTCAGTCCACTTAACGTGGTGGAGCAGCGCGACAAGTGTCGCCTCATTCTTGACTTGCGCAAAGTCAACAACTACCTCGACATCCCCAAGTTCAAGTACGAAGGCTTGAACAGGGTAGCCGAACTCATCCGCCCAGGCGATTGGATGTTCTCCATCGACCTAAAGTCAGGCTACCACCATGTCGAGATCCACCCCTCCTGCTGGAAGTTCTTGGGATTTCAGCTCGAAGGAGACTGCTATTCCTTCATATCGCTCTCGTTCGGGCTTGCCACTGCCCCGTTCATCTTCACACAACTGATCAAACAACTGGCAAAGCGATGGCGGGCAAGCGGCGTGCGGGTTGTTCCATATGTCGACGACTTACTATTCCTCTGCAACTCCCACTCGGATGCACGCTCGACCTGCGCAGCTGTTGTTCAGGACCTGAAGGCAGCAGGTTTTGTTATAAACGGCAAAAAGTCACATCAACACCCCTCGCGCCAGATAGCTTTCCTCGGCTTGGAGATTGATGCCGCCCAAGGCACCTTCTCCGTCGGACTCGAACGTCGAGCACAACTTTTTGCTTCACTCCAAGCCCTCATCGCCCAGGGACAAGAGGGACGACCGGTTCCCATCCGGTCCCTTGCGAGAATCACAGGAATGCTGGCCTCCATGAATCTGGCATTGGGCGCTACGGCACGTGCCTTTAGTCACGAGCTCCTTCGACTTATTGCAGACGCCACCTCTTGGCATGCCAAGGCACACTTGTCGTCGACAGCAGTGCACGAGCTGCATTTTTGGCTTGCGCAATTCGACAAGTTCAACGGAAACCCATTCCATCTCAGTCACCAGTTCGATGCCGTCATCCACGTCGATGCAAGCGCACACAGCTGGGGCGCCACCCTGACACAACTTCCTGGGACGCCCATTGAAGCCAGTGCTCGCATGCCCGAGGAACTACTGCCCACCTCCAGCACTCGACGGGAACTCGAAGGAGTTTTATGGGCTCTCCGAACTTTCGCTGCCCGCATACCCAAGCGACACGTGCTCGTTCGGGTAGACAATCAAGGCGTGGTATTCATCCTACGCAAAGGTGGATCGCGCCACCCCACGCTTACGCTACTATGTCAAGCAATCATTCGCCTCTGCCTGGAACACCAAACAAGGCTAGCTGTCGAATGGATCCCACGAGAGCTGAATGCGCACGCCGACGAACTTTCAAAAATCCAAGACCACGATGACTACTCCCTCAAAGCCCCGTGGTCCCGGCTCTTGGATTGCCGCCTGGGTCTCCACTCTATCGATCTCTTCGCAAATGTGCACAACGCTCAGCTGGAGAGGTTTTGTTCCAAGATTCCACACCCTACGGCCGCAGTGTTTGACGCTTTTTCGTTCAGTTGGCAGCACGAGCGCGGCTTTGCGTTTCCCCCTCCCAACCTCATTCCAGCCACATTACGACACGCTAAACGCACACACGCTGAGGTGACCTTGGTCATTCCCGAGTGGCCGGGAGCATCATGGTGGCCACTCCTCCAACAGGCACCTGACGCCTGGGTGCCAGAAGTAACGGCACACATTCCCCTCACCCACGGCAGCCAATGCCTACGCCCCGGCACACACGCACTCGCTTTCGTAGGACAAGGCTTTCCTCCTAGTAAGATGATTGCACTGCATGTCACGTATAAAAATTAATAATAATTGTACTCTACGCTGTACCTTTTCAGGCATTATAACGAAGCTGCAAACACAACTGCTACACGTAATCACCCATGTCCGTGCCCCTTCCACCATCCGAACGTATGAGCCCTACTGGCTCAAATTTTGCTCCTTCTGCATGAAGGTGAAGTTGAGCTACCTGCCTTCAACGGATATGACCTTGGCACTCTACCTTATTCATGCACTAAATCACCAGGCCACCACATCTGCCATATCGCTTACATGCTCCGCCGTCGCCTTCGCGCATCGCATGACTGGTGAGCCCTCTCCCTCGACTGGACCATTTACACTACAAGTGCGCGAATTTGCCAAACGCCATGGCCTGCGCCCCACCCGGAACAAGGAACCGTTGTCGCTGCACCAAGTGCACACCATGGCCCGCCCCTTTCTGGAGTCCACCCGGCCGGCCGAATACCAGAAAGGACTCATCCCCATCCTTATGTTCGCCACCTTCCTACGCTACTCCGACCTTGTCAGTCTCCAATGGCACGACATTCAGTTTGTGCCTGAGGCGATGTGGCTGCTCATCCCGCACTCCAAGACCGACCAGGAAAGCAGGGGCACGTGGATTCCGGTCGCCGCCACTTCCGGCCCATACTGCCCGGTACGCTGCACACGACACTTTCTTCTCCTCGCGGGTCACACCTCCACCCCACACTGGCCATTGATCCGAGTCTTCGGGAACAGCAGTACGGCAGCTCCACAGGACCACGCACCTTCGTACACCACCATCCGGAACTGGTGCCTTGAAGCATTCACCAGGGCCGGCCTCGATAGCGCCCACCTCGGCACCCACTCCTTTCGCAAGGGCGCTGCTACAGCGGCAGCCAGCCTGGGGATATCCGATCGGCTGTTCAAGCGACTTGGCCGTTGGCGCAGCGATAATGCCAAGGAGCTCTACGTTACCATCGCGCATGACCAACTCCTTCAAGCCTCCATGCAACTCCAAGACGCAGCCACCGCTCCCACGCCCAATCAGCACCAGCTATCTATTCAACGCCACCGCCAACCCCTTCTGCACATGTCTCAGAAGACCCAGATGAAATGAAGCACGCTGCCTTTACAAGAGGACCTGAGCAAGCTTTCACAATATGTAATTTTTTGAAAGTGTGTAACACTTTCTAAAAATGTGTATTGTGAGAGTGTAGAGAGGGCCAACGCAGCAAAGGCAACGACGAAGTGCTACTCACCCTCTTTTGCCTACAAAAGAGGGACGTGAGGCCATTCGGCCTCACCCACGTTCTTCATTTCTAGTTTCTCTAGTTCAATTTCCCCGCCCACCCACCCTCTTGTGCGTAGTTATGTATTGGACGAGAACCATGTATGTTTCCCAGATGAAATGAAGCACGCTGCCTTTACAAGAGGACCTAAGCAAGCTTTCACAATTCTGGGTTGCAGGACAAGATGTGCGTTATTTTGGCTAGAGTTAACTTGGACAAAATATATTCACCTTGGGTTTTGCCGCTCTTCTATGGACAATATGATGTTCTAGAGTGTACCATGTCCATGTTGTGATATAATTGGTACTTAGCATTTCTGTAAGTCGATTATGTGTAGTTAGTGCCGAATCCTACTGTAGAAGATAAGTCCGTAGGATGACGTCAGCAAATAGCGCTCGTCATAGGACAGTCGTTTCAGTCACGCGAACAGTCGCACCTCTTCAATATCATCTAGGGCGCATAGCGCTATAGTGACGAACAGGTACATTAGCGAATATGTACTTTTCCTAGAACTATAAATACTTGTTAGGTCTTTTCATTATTAACGTTCATTACTCACAAGTTCACGTACTCAGGTTATTCAACCTTGACCTTTATATTTTACAAGACTTCCGCTGTCTTACTAGTCTACCATTCCAGCAAAGATCCTGGACCAACACTTGAGGATTTGCCAAGTGTTCGTGTTTATAGTTTTATACTTAGTCTACTACAACACCAGACGATTTACTTCATGGTATGAGAGCTATCTGGGATTAAGACTACCGACAACTATGACTGGTCCAACACCAGCACCATCTGCTGGATCGGTTACTGGGAATACTGGAGCACATGCCTCCACTACCGCCGCTGGTCTCTCAGCCTCTGGGCACTTTCCACCAGCCTATGCTAATATCGGTATGCAGAATCCGCCTTCTGTGAATACTCCAGAAGCTCCATCGACTGCACCTGCAACACAGCAGCAACAGTCACAGACAACAGCACAGCAACAAGCATCAGTACAGCCACCAGTCTCAACGCAATCTATTTCATCTGCGTTCAGTGGAATGAGCCTTGACGGCTCAAGTTACATGCGTGGAGCAACAGCTCCAAATACTGGTTCGTTCGCTTTCTCACCTTTCGTACAGCAGCCGCAGTCGCAGCAGTTTCAGCATCCTTTTTATGTCTTCGGTCGTTCTCCTGCTCAGCAACCACAGCAAGTACAGCAACAGCAATATCAGCAACCACAAATACAGCAACCACAGCAACAGCAATCGCAAAAACAGCAACAGCAACAACGGCAACAGCTAGGCTTTGTTTTTCAGCCTCCAAATCTACTTAACAATACTCAAATCAAGACAACCGTACCTTTTAATGGAGTGGATTTTTACTCCTGGAGTTTTGAGTTTGAGCTTCTGGCGCAGTCCGCTGGGCTATGGCCGTTCTTCACTGGCGAATTTACATATCCTGTAGTGGGAACACAACTGGAGCAGCAGAGTTTCTTGCACGCTTCTCTCGGGGCGTATACAGTTCTTGTACGGAACCTGTCGCCGAAGGAGCAACTCGGCGTTCGATAATTTCACTCAAGTTTCACACCAGCCGAAATTGCATGGAACCATTTGAAAGGGGTGTACATGGCAAAGGATACGATAACAGTGAGTAAAATACTTTCGCAGCTGACAAGTGTGCAGATGATGACAAACGAAACGTCATGGATTACGTTAACCGTGTCCGTACACTACGTGATCAACTGGAAAAAAGTGGGGGATAATTCCCTCGTGAGATGTATCTCACGGTCCTTCTTGCTGGTCTTGGACCCGAATGGCGACAGACGCGCGCCTTCTTGCGCATGAATCCCAACCTCTCCGAAGCTGAAATTTCTTCTTATCTTCAAGCCGAGCAGCAAGATCCTGACCTGCAGTCACAACGCAACCAGAAAAGGGGGGTTCATTTAAGTTTTTACTCCAATCCAGAAACACAGCATTGACATCCACCAAAGTATCCGTTCTGCCATTTCTGTAAGAAACCAGGACATACTTACCAAAACTGTCGCAACCGTCATCAAAATCGTCGCAGCACTTCGCAGCCGTATCACCGATCGCAGCAGTCACCGAAGACACAACCGCCACAGCAGCAGTTAACGTCTCAGCAGCAGTAGATGCCGAAACCGCCGCAGAGTTCATCAACGTCGCAGCAGCGCCCGCCGGTCTTCGCATCTGCCACATCAGGAAAAGGAGTTTTCGGATGTGTTACAACAGTTGATGTTTCAGAAACAGATTTCGAGACACGACTTGAAGAAACAACAAGTGCTGAAGGCATTCCTTTACCTCAAGTTTACGCTAATCTTGCTCGCATAATTTCAGGACCAAATACCTGGTATCTCGACAGCTGCTGCGGATGGCATATGTGTTCTGCCGAAACAAGCGTCATCACGAATCAGCGTCCGCTTCGTCGTCCCATACCTGTCACAGTCGCCAACGGACAAACAATAATGGCACGATCAGTTGGCAGTGTCATGCTCGAATCTATCGACACGGGATACTCACTTCATGTTACGAACGTTCTTATCGTCGCTGGTCTTGGTTTCAACCTTCTTTCCACAGCTCAACTCCTGGCGCACAAAATCCGCACACAAGGAAATTGTGAGACGATGGATCAAGAGCTCTGGCACTGTACAACTAATACCTACCTTGGTCGTGCCGCCACTCAACATGGCGTATCGGTACTTCAGTTCGCAGCACAAGGAACTTCTGGCGATTCTGAACGCGTCCTTGCACTTGGTCCCAGGGATCATCCCGAAGAAACAGATTATCAAAACGTGGATATTGACTTTCGAGCAACTTCGGTACCATCAGCTTCTCGAACAGCAGCCGCCGTCCTTACCGCGTTGGATACCTGGGAATTCAACACCGCCGATGAAAGTGCCAATGCGTGGCGAACGTTTTATAATACCCGAGCAGCCTTCCAAGGAACTCCAGCACCACTTTGGGGAGAAATAAGTGGTCTTGCAGCTGATGAACCCGACTTCGTTGAAGAAGCCGAACAGGAAGCCGTAGCTGAGGAGCCGAGTCCAACCGTAGCTGTCGCCGAAATACCTGCCACAACATCAACAGAAGCAGTATCAGGGGTTATCCTTGCAACTGCAGCAGCACCAACACATGTCACGTTACCTCTTAACCATTTTGTCGAAGGCGAAATTGACAAGTCACCAGCACTTTCTCCTTTTCTTCTTTCTTCTTTTTATACTAACTCCGATTTCTATCTGCGATCATCAGGACATAAAGCCACAGAAGATATATGGCATCAAAGGTTAGGGCATCCATCACAAGGGATTCTAAATCATTCAATCCGAGCAGCAGTTCTTGATAAAAACAGTTTACTTTTACCTGATGGCACGGAGATGAAGCCGCAGTCTCGTCCGACGGTTTGCACCACCTGTCCAGTTGCCAACCTTACGCACGATCCGTTTCCAAGTCATTTTCCCGGCTCAACCCGTTATAAACTGATGCAGAAAGTCTACAGCGACATACTTAACTTGTCTGAAGCAGGACCTAAAGACGAGAAGTATGTGATAACCTTCATCAAAGCGTCTACACGCTATGTCTGGACAGCTAACTTACCTGCGCGCCATCACGCTCACTCCGTCTTCATCGCGTGGCTCGCTGTCGCTGCACGAGAGTCAGGCGTTAAAACTGCAAGAATTTCAGAGCGATGGTGCAGGGGAGTACACCAGCAACACCTTCACAGACTACCTTCAGACACTCGGCATCAAACGAAAGCAATCGCTGCCACATGCGCACCAACAGATGGGGGTAGCCGAAAGGATGAACAGAACACTGCAAGAGAAGATGCGTGCTCTGCTGACGCAGGCCGCTCTTCCACCGCATTTTTGGCCGTATGCGATGGACCACGCTGTGCTGTTACACAATCTTCTTTCTTCAACGTCCCTGCCCGAGTTTTCTTCTCCGCACCTGCAGTGGACACGTACAGTTGGAAGCACAAAACTTTTACGAGTTTTCGGGTGTGTTGTACAGTTTCGTCCTCCAACTGCAGCTCTCGGCAAATTTTCTGAACGAGCAAAATGGGGGGTCCATCTCGGCATCGAAAAACAGTATCATGCGTGGAAGATTTTGGATCTCCGCTCAAACCAAATCATCCCGTCACGTGATTGTCTTTTCTATGAAAGACTCACCTTGCCCGTTTTTCGTGCTCACCAGGCAACATCTGCCAACCCCGCCAGGCTGTTCGAAGGCTCGCGTGCATTTGCCACTGACGAGGCTGAAAGTGATGTACAGGACGAAGCAGTTTCTGAAGCATCCGAAGCTGTCGCAACTGACATTCCCGAACGTGTAACCTCGACTGGCATACCTGAATTCATTCCTCTCGCAGATGCTGACCTGGAGGATGTTCGCGAAGTTCGTCTCAGTTATGAACGTGATCGTCAACAGGAGCCGATGCCCGTCGTCTCCGACGACGCCGTTCGTGTTACACCTGACGAAATTGGGGGGGAAGAAGGACCAGAAGAAAATTTCGCAAGTGCAAACGAAGAACGTCCGCGTTTTACAGAAACTGGATTGCAAATACTGGGATTTGCAGCAGCAGTACAGCGCAACGACAGTAAGATACCTGAACCGAAAACCGTCCGACAAGCTCTTACGAGTCCTCACTGAGAAAAATGGCGCGAAGCCATGGACAAGGAGCTAGCAGCACTCAAGAATCGTGGTACATGGGATTTAATCCCGACTTCAGAAGTCAAAGGGAAGAAGGTACTTACCGGAAAGTGGGTCTTCCGCGTCAAGACTAGTGTAGATGGGTCGTTTGAAAAGTTCAAAGCGCGATGGGTCGTCCGCGGTTTCGAGCAGACTTACGGTATCGATTACGAACTAACCTTTGCTCCTCTCGGCCGACATACAAGCGTTCGGATTCTGCTTTGTGTCGCCGCCTGCCGTAATCTCCGACTTCGACAAATCGACGTCTCGAATGCATTTCTCTACGCGCCTGTCGACGCACTTATCCTGGTAGAGTACCCGCATTCTTATACTACTAACCCACCGAGCGTTTGTCGTCTGCGGAAATCTCTGTACGGCATTAAACAGGCACCACGACTCTGGGAGCAGTATCTTCATTCGCAGCTGATCATTGCTGGATTTCGACAACTATCACATGATCAAGGAATGTATCTACTGACCGACGGCAGCGACTACATTTTACTCGTTGCCTACGTCGACGACATTCTATACGTCAGTACTATAGATTCTCTTGCCGAGACCTTCACACTGAAATTACAGAAAAATCTACAGCTTATCGTCTCCGAAACAGTCTCACAGTTTCTTGGACTAAACATTACCTGTTCACCGACAACTATTCATCTCACCGCTTCTAAGTATGCAGCAACACTCGCTGCCCGTTTCAACCTCACGCCTACTACAGTCTCTACACCTTACCGCTCACTACCGACTGACCACAAACCGAACACCGCACTGTTAACTTCAACCGGTTTACAGATCTATCAGCAGCAGTTAGGCTGTCTACTCTTCGCCGCTGTCACTTGTCGTCCTGATCTAGCCTACGCGGCCAGTCAGCTCGCTTAGTTCCTACGCCGACCTGAGGAGGAGCATCAGCTTGATCTGCTTCGTGCACTTCAGTATTTTATCTCGACACCTGACGTCGGATTAGTCTACAACGTCATCGGCTGTAAAACACTCTATCTACATGGTTTTGTCGACGCCGATCACGCTGCTGATTCTACTAATCGACGGTCGCGCACTGGGTTCATCTATCGACTGGAACCTATCGGACCTATCTCTTGGAATTCTACGAAGCAGGAGCTAATTGCACTCTCCTCTGCTGAAGCCGAGTTTATTGCTGTCTGCACAGCAACACGCGAATGACTTTACTTACAGGAACTACTGGAAGAAACGAAGTTGACGACAACTACCCAGTTTACGTTACAGTGCGACAATCAAAGTGCAATTCGCATCGCACATCAACATTGTTTCGTCAACAGGACGAAGCATATTTCGCTTCGTTATTTCTTCGTCAAAGATGAAGTCGAGAAGGGGAGGATGCGATTGGTCTACTGTTCGACCAATGAAATGGCTGCCGATTTTCTCACGAAGAAGCTGACACGACAGAAGTTTCAGTACTGTAACAAGCTCTGTGGAATCTTCAAGAAGTGACACTATCGACGTTCCAGAAATGAAGGGGAGTGTTGTGATATAATTGGTACTTAGCATTTCTGTAAGTCGATTATGTGTAGTTAGTGCCGAATCCTACTGTAGAAGATAAGTCCGTAGGATGACGTCAGCAAATAGCGCTCGTCATAGGACAGTCGTTTCAGTCACGCGAACAGTCGCACCTCTTCAATATCATCTAGGGTGCATAGCGCGATAGTGACGAACAGGTACATTAGCGAATAGGTACTTTTCCTAGAACTATAAATACTTGTTAGGTATTTTCATTATTAACGTTCATTACTCACAAGTTCACGTACTCAGGTTATTCAACCTTGACCTTTATATTTTACAAGACTTCCGCTGTCTTACTAGTCTACCATTCCAGCAAAGATCCTGGACCAACACTCGAGGATTTGCCAAGTGTTCGTGTTTATAGTTTTATACTTAGTCTACTACAACACCAGACGATTTACTTCATGTGGCATGTCTGTTAGTGCTTCACTTGACGTTTTTTTTAGGACCCAACATTACCTCTAAAATCTGGGTTGCAGGACAAGATGTGCGTTATTTTGGCTAGAGTTAACTTGGACAAAATATATTCACCTTGGGTTTTGCCGCTCTTCTATGGACAATATGATGTTCTAGAGTGTACCATGTCCATATTCCAATTTATATTGGAGGTGACCACCAGTCCACCACCTTGGGATTTGTCAAAATTCCAGCAGATTCCAGACCAGAGAGGGGCGGTGTCATGACACCAGGGCTTGGTTGGTTATCACCAGGAGAGCATCAGGCGCAAGTAGGTTTTCATGATGTTATGGAGTACTGGGTAATTCTGCTGTCATAGCCACCCAAGGAAAGCTCAAGAGCAAGCTTGGAATGTTGCGGAGAATCTATCCTTAGTCCTGACATGCTGCCATGGGCTTTCCCTTCGAGCTCATATAATTTTCATGAAGTACGAAGCAGGTTGTGATCTTAGGCGTAAGTTTAGGCCGTTGGCCATGCGTCCTTTTGGGTTCGGACTCTGAAGCTGAATAGTCACAATGGCATCTGCACCTTCCATGGCGCCGGCGGGGACGTCGTTGCGTGAACCGTCGATCGTGCATCAGAATCTACGGTTCTCGTTCAACGTGCTGCTAGGCGTCGCTGCGACTGTGCTCGTGCAGCATCTCGCGTTACAACTGTCAGCGCCGTTCCTCCGGGAAGCTTCATACGGCGTCGACGGCATTCCCAAGGTGGAGTTTCTGGCAACCCTATGACCCGTAATAAGCTTCTTCCTGCGTAGTTTCATCGCATCGTGCTTATCTCTTCTCCTGCGCCCTTTCAATTAAATTTCCCTCCAGGCAGGCTTTGCAGTGGAGCCACGGACTGATCGCAGCGTAATTGCGGAGCGAAAAACCGTTCAAGCTCGCATCGGGTCGACGCCAGCGGATCTATCCCGCGCCAATGTGATCCTCTCTGACTTGCGCGCCAAGCTCGACGCGCTCGCCAGACGCCTTCCCTCACTGTAAGCACGCTTTCAATGTGCAAATCACCCGATTTGCCAAAATCTTGCTTCTGCTAACGTATGGGTCGTTGGATTACGCTCACACATAACTGTTGCTCCGTTGCCTTCCTCCCTACTCTGGCTCATGAATTCACCAACATTTTTATCCCCTATCGCATGTTCAGATCCGCGGATGACTCCGATTTCGAGGCCATCGCTCGAGAGCCAGAGGGTTTGCATCTCCCCGCGCACCCGCCTGTCGCCGCGCTGCCTCTGCCGGGCCAGGCCGTGGTTCCCCGCGACGAGCCTCCCATCTACCAGCACCTGCGCGAGCAGAACACCCTGCCGATGCAAACGGCTGACACCGCTGCTCCAATCGACCCGGTAACAGCTGACGCGGTAACAGATGACGCAGTATCAGATAGCGCGGAATCTGACAACTCGGTGAAAGCTGACGCGATAGCAGATCAGGCGCCCGGCGCTGCTGCGAACCCTGAATTTTTGGGGACGCACGCTACGAAAGAATTCTCCAGTGGCATCTCCAGGCGGCGTTTGAGCGATGCCTCCGGGAACGTGGCGGTCGAAGGACATGTTTTTTTTGGCTCTCATCGCGTGCCGCCGTCACAGCTCCCACCGCCGTCACCGCTCCCACCGCCGTCTCCCAAGTACTTCCTCTCCGCCATGGCGTACAATCGCGTGTTCCGGGGTGACCGACTCAACTTCTCCTCCTTCGAAATCTGGCAGGCAAGTGCCCGCATTCTCCTTCATCCCGGCCCTCCCAACACCCTTTCCCCCCCCCACCATGCCGTACCCTTCTCTTCTCCGGAAGTGGTTGGCGGTTGTCTATGATCTGATTCGATTCGATCTGATCTGATTTCATGGTTCGCTGTCATCGTGCAGTGGGTGGCGTTCTCGAGGCTGGCGGGCGTGGAGCACGTCTTCTGGTATGACTGCGCGCACGACGCGTCGGAGCGCCAGGCGGAGGCCCTCGGACCGTTCGTCCGCGCGAACTACCTCACCTACCTGCCGCTGCACCGCATCGTGAGCGCCGCCTACAACGTCTTTCCCGAGCAGAACGGCGCCATCCTGCACTATCTGAAGGAGTACCGCCACGTGTCCACGTGGGTGGTGTTCTGCGATATCGACGAGTTTGTCTTCGCCCCTCGGGATCTCCGCCCGGGCTTTCTCTTCCGCTTCATGCTCAACGTCTCGCTCGCGGATCCCTCCGTCACTCAGGTATGCTCCTTTCCGCTTAGTTGTCCGTTTGTTTATCCGCTTCTCCCGTTTCCGCTATCCAATATCTTCTACCAACGGCAACGCAAACGTGCTCACCAACATCTTGCCCTCCGCCCTCTTTATTTCTGCCTCCATCTTTCACCAACCCGCCTTCAGGTTCTCGCGCCGAACATCTTTTTCGTGGGCAACAGCGAAGCCCCCCGCTCCTCCCTGCTCTTCCGCCGCTTTACTAAGTGCCAGCACTTAGCCGACTGGCGGCGCCACCTTCAGCGCTCCAAGCCCATAGTGCGCCCAGCCGCGGTGGAGCAGTGGGCGGACATGCGCGTTGCGCCGCACTTCTTCCCCATGGCGGCGGGCGCCACTGAGCGCGCAGAACCCGCGCAGCTGCGCATGCACCACTACTGGGGGCCGCGGGGGACGGGGTTTGGCGTGGAGACTAGAGAATTCGAGAAAGGGGTGGAGAGGGATACGGCCATTCAGGTGAGGAGGGGATTAAGGCTTTGGGGTTGCGCCACTTTCTCGCTGCCCTTCCTTCTCCCCGTCCCTCTCCCCTCCCCTCCTCTTCCCCTCTTTCCCCCATTATCCGCACGCGAGTTCGTCACTTATCGAGCCTCCTGTGGTCACTCCAGTGGGCTTACTGCGTTCCCGTCTCCCTTGTTTGGCCTGGGCTGTGGCGCTTATGTCGTCGTTGCGTGGTGTTGTTGTTGCTTGGTGCTGGTGCATGCGTGCGGCAATTGGTGCTGTTTGCTTGCTGCTTGCATGCTTGCTGGGTGCTTGTTCGCTGCAGCCGTTGGAGGGGCCTCTGACGCGAATGCTGGACCCGGGCCTGCCGTATCTCACGTACCTGGAGGCCAAGCGAAGGATCCTGGAAGCAGCAGACAGCGCCATGCGGCTCTCGTACACCCTCGCCGACCCGTTTGAACGACGCTGACTCAGCTTCACTGGCGTTGATTCGGCTCACTGGCGTTGACCTGGCGTCACTGGCGTTGACATTCCGTTACTGGCGTTGACTCAGCTTCACTGGTCGTCTCCATGCATTGACCAGCGTCCCACATCGGATGCCACAGGTAGGTCAGCACCCACCTGCTTCCCCTTGCCTCGCCCAGTCTCTCTCTCACAAGTCAGTGCCTCGCGATTGCGTCGGCACTCTTAGTTACCGGGCTCAATGCTCTCCCCTTCAGGTGTATTCTGAGTCGACTCAACATGCGTCTGTCTAGCAACCCCCTGCTCCGTGATTGATGTGGCGTTCAAAGCTAGCTAGCGGGGTCTGGCTCTCCCCCTTCATAACATTCAACGCTAGCGGGTTCTGGCGCTTCCCCTTCAGGGCCAGCCTTGGGACACTCTGGTCGGTCTGCCATTTGCCGGTGATGCTCTTATTTCCGTAAACTCCTGAGCGCGCCGATGATTGCACACAATCACCGAACTTCAACTCTTCTGAGGCAAATGACCTTCCCTCCGACTGGTTCCCCTTCGTCCCATCTTCTCTGCTGGCCCTCAGCCATGCCTGGCACCATATGCCTGCATGAGAAGTAGCATGCGGGCCATGCTTGTCCCACATGCATGTATTACATGCATGTCTCACGTGTATGTCTCTCGTGTCATGTCAGTCGGTGAGTCGGCATCCCACGCCATGGGTCCGAGCAGCATGATGATAAACCATCATAGACCTGTGCTGATCCACATGAAGAGTACTCACATGCACTACCAGCTGACTGCTCATCCATCGCTGTCTTTTACGTTTTGTCCCCCACAGCTCGTTTCGTCCGTTTGCCGGTGATGCTTGTATTTCCGTAAACTCCTGAGCGTGCCTATGATTGCACACAATCACCGAACTTCAACTTTGACTGAGGCAAATGACCCTTCTCTGAGCGAGATCCCAATCCGTCCGCTCTTATCTTGAACAATGCTCTTCTTTTGTCACGCATCTTATCACTCGAGCATGCCTGCGTCCACCTGTCAGCATCTAGCCGAGCCATTGGTCAGAGCAGAGGGATGATCAATATCATAGACCTGTACTGAGTCTAATGAAGAGTACTCACATGCACTACCAGCTGACTGCTCTCTCTATCGCTCTGCCCGCTTTCTTCTACCGCCATAAAATGTGATCTTTGCTCAGTGGGCTTGCTCGTTTCGCCATGAGGTGCTGGTGCCAGCCAGCACCGCATGGGGTATATTTTCCAGTCCTGGCTTGAGCTATCGAGTCCTGGCGAGGCGTTTGCTGGTGATGTAAACAGTGTTCCAATTCATGAGCCTGTCTCTGATTCACCAAACATTTATCACCATCTTTCGACTGAGGCAAATGCAAGGCTCAAGCCAGCAGCAACTGTCCTCGTTTTGTCTTATTATTTCATGTTTTGTCTCTTTATTGCTATTTCACTGCTCATGTGCTCTCACCGTTCTTTTTGCGGCGAGGTGTACCCTCTCTCTGATTTCCCTAATGCTTCCGGGTTTGCCTTGAGCGATGGGTTAAAGAGACCATTTGCTGATGATGCAGAATTGTCCAATTCATGAGCCTGTCTTTGATTCTAAAACCTTATCACCATCTTTCGACTGAGGCAAATTTGTAGCTCAAGATAACAGGGTTATGTATCATGGGCTTCTTTTTACCCGTTTTCTTCAAATTTACCCTATCATGGGCTCTTTTAACCCTTTTTCTTCATGTTTGCCCTTCTTTGTTCCACTTGGAGCAGCATGATGAACAACCTCATAGACCTGTGCTGATTCACTGTGAAGAGTACTCACATGCACTACCAGCTGACTGCTCCATGCTCCACCCTTGTCTCCCCGTCTCCTCGTCTCCCCTGTCTCCCCCTGTCTCCCCCTGCCTCCCCCTGTTCCCCTACCCTTGTCGTCTCCCCTTCCGTTAATTGCCTCATCTGCACAGGTGCAATCCTGTGTTGTCGTGTAGTCTGTATGCTGATTATTCTCGTTTCTCGGATCCCTTGATTCATTATGGAGGGCTTGCTCTTGAGTGCATGCTCGCTTCCTTGGGGGTCTGTACAACAATACAGCCTTGAAAGGCTGTGTGCGTGGCTTATCGTTTCAGGCAGCTATGGCTGTTACAGTCACAACTTAGCTGTATGATTGTGTCCTCGCAACATGGGTGATCATGTTTGCATCCTAATGTGGTGTACATTCGGACATGAGCGGGTGTGTGAGTAAACCAGCCATCCTGATTCGGAAACATTGTTGCATCCCCCCATCCTGTCAGGTGCTGTTGCTGGCTCGAGTTATGGGAGTGCATGCAAGGTCGCTCCTGGAGAATGTTGAATTCATGGCTAATGACTAAATGGCGTTAGGAGGCCCACAAGTTAAAAGATATGGTCTTCTATTAGGTGACTTGTCTTCTGATTTCCCACTGATAAGATAAATTTTGGGCTGTAAGTCAGATCCCCCCTTAGGGCTGGTATTCTATATCTTGAGATTATGTTGTGGAAGGTTGTGTTGTATTGTGGTTGCCATAGATTGGCACGAGCAGGCTATGGTAAACTCAGTTTTGCGTTGTCTGCTATTATGTGAATGCGTTGCTAAGTTAATAATTTCTTCTGATTTGTTTTTGCCTAAATGAAAGTACACACTTTCTTGTAGACTACAATCTCAGAATGTTTATGGTTATTCTGTAGTCATTAGACGCTTCAGTTCTTCTCTGACAACCTTTCACATTGAGAGTGTCGATCTTATCACATGGCATTCTCACATCGCACTGCGGGGCTGACATGTGATCGCGAGCGTCCAATGCCTTGCACTTTCACATTCCTCGTGGGCTCCACCCTTCACGGCGGAACTCAAGGTGGTATGCCAGAGCATCAGTAAGAGGAGGAATTGCTGACATGGTGCGAACTGAATGGCTCGGTGACCTTATCCATTCTGAACAGCCAAGCTGCACGGCCTTGATCCAACAATGAAGGAATCCTGATCACGTGGAAATCGCTTAAGGTTTTCTTTTTGCCCGTTGCGTCCTGAGATATTTGACCTGATCTGCGCTGGCCATTGGCCAGCACAGCAAATGACTGCCTTATCAGGTGTGCGAAGTGCCGACCTGTGGTAATGAACGGCTAAGATCTCGTTTTCCGTGTCAAATATGAATCTTGACTACCCCTTGTTACCGCTGATGTGGAATAGCAACCAATCGAGAAAGCGCAGCTGCTTTCTGAAGTGGCGTTACACGAGTGGCGGCTGGCTGACGCATCAGCAGCCGATGGGTCGAGCAGAAAAAGTGCAACCCTCGCCGCGCGTTCTCCCAGCAAGCCCAGCTGCCCAGCCGTGGCTAGGCAACTCTCAGTATGATCACAGAGCAACAGCTACGCTGGGGCTGTCCCAAGGGGAATCCTAGGGAATATCAGAACATCCTCCATGCATATAAATCACGGAGAGTTGACGGCCTAGATCATTACCGCTTTGATCAGCTGCTTCTTTCACCAGACACTACTTCGACACGTTTCTAGAATCCGGTTTGCACCTCTCCTATTCTTCTTCGCGTTACACGCCTACCGCTTCTTTCGTCCTCGGTAACACGCGAACATGGCGTCGTCCATCGACCAGCTGAAGAACATTGAGATCACCACCGGCGAGATCATTGCTGAATACATCTGGTCAGTCCGTCTTCCTTTCAGTCTAGATCCTCGATCTTCTCCTTACAGCCACGTCGTCGATCTTCCATATTGTTTGTGGCTATGAGATGAGACCTAACACGACCCGAGCTCGCTATTTGTGTGTGTGTGTGTGGGTGCAGGATCGGCGGCTCAGGCATTGATATCAGGAGCAAGGCTCGGGTAAGCATCGTTGCTGCACTGATGCTTTCGATCTGCATTCCGTCCCGCTCCGCTTCTCGCACTGCATCAACTCTCACTGAACTCATTTCTCTTCTCTTTCCATGATCGCTTGCCACGTGCCGCGAAATACGCCTTCCAGACTCTCAAGGGACCCATCGGCCCGAACGACGTGGCGAAGCTTCCCAAGTGGAACTTCGACGGCTCCAGCACCGGCCAGGCCCCCGGCGATGACAGCGAGGTCATTCTCTAGTGAGTCCCACCCTCGCACCCAACTGGTCCGGCAGGAAAAATGGAATCGACCAAATTCGTCATGATCAGTTTCCGCAATGCACTTTCCAGCATCACGAAGTCAGCTATGCTGCTCCGGAGCATTTCGACCTGTTTTTTTTCTTCTCTTTCTGACCGTCCTTCTTCGCCTGGCATTGTCCATCGCGCAGCCCGCAAGCGATTTTCAAGGACCCGTTCCGCGGCGGCGACAACATTCTGGTGGTGTGCGACTGCTACACTCCCCAGGGCCAGCCCATCCCCACCAATAAGCGCGCCGTCGCCGCCGCCATCTTCGACAAAGTCAAGGAGCACGAGGCCTGGTGAGCTGCATGGCACGAGCATTGCATGAGCTTTGCATTGAGTCGACTCAGTAGCCAGCCTATTCCCACCAACAACCGCGCCGTCGCCGCTGCCACCTTTGATAAGGAACACGAGGAGCACGAGGCCTGGTGAGTGCCGCGCACGAACAGAGCTCGTCAACAGCCTAGAGATTAAGCTACCCTTCTCTGCGTCGCGTTTCCAGGAGTCATATGATTACCTCCAGGCTCGGCCACACTCTGAGCGATGCTCATCTCTGAGTTCCGTCTGCTGCTTCCCGCTTGCCCCTCCCTCTGCCAGGTTCGGTTTGGAGCAGGAGTACACGTTGATGCAGAAGGACGTCAAGTGGCCGCTCGGGTGGCCCACGGGCGGGTACCCCGCGCCTCAGGGCCCGTACTACTGCGGCACGGGCGCGGACAAGGCATGGGGGCGCGACATCGTGGACGCGCACTACAAGGCGTGCCTGTACGCGGGGGTCAAGATCAGCGGCATCAACGCGGAAGTCATGCCCGGCCAGGTACGACCGCATGTTCTGCGCGGCCAACCTCCATATTGCCGAGAGACGTTTGCTGCAGCCGTGGGCTTGTCGCTCGATGCCTGAAGCTCTAATATGTGCGTTCTTCTGTTGGTATGCAGTGGGAGTTCCAAGTGGGGCCGTGCACGGGCATTGAGGCGGGCGACCACCTCTGGATGGGGCGCTACCTGCTCGAGGTACGCTCTCGGATTCTGCTTCTTTTGCTAGTTCTGCTCTCATAACAAAACGGGGACTCTTGCGCTGGTTCCTTTTTACCTGTTTTGACCGCACGTCACTTTCGTATTGCTGTCTGGTGCGCTGCCCTTGCAGAGAGTGACGGAGATGGCCGGTGTGGTTCTGACGCTCGACCCCAAGCCCATTGATGTAAGCTTTGCTGTCCTTTGCTGCATTGTCGACGCGTTGTCTTCCATTCGCGTCACTGGCACGCCCTTGGGTTGCCACGCCTCCGCCGTCGGTTCTCATCATGCAAAACTAACCTGTGGAGGTGCTTCCTTGGCCGTCCGCAGGGCGACTGGAACGGAGCCGGGTGCCACACGAACTACAGCACCAAGGCGATGCGCGAGGAGGGCGGGTACGAGGTGATCCTCAAGGCCATCGAGAAGCTCGGCCTGCGCCACAAGGAGCACATCGCCGCCTATGGCGAGGGCAACGAGCGCCGGCTCACTGGCAAGCACGAGACGGCTGACGTCAACACCTTCTCATGGGTAAGGGATGGGATGTCTGCATGCGTGTGACCACCGCATGCACGTGTGCACCGCATGGGTGTGAGCTCAGTTGAATGACACGGGGAATGTATGTGCGCTGAAAGGCACCTGCATGACACTAGCTTCTCAACAACCCCACCTCTAGCTTCTGGTCCCTTGCAACGGCTCTTCTGCAGAACAACCCCCCCTTGCTCCTCTCACACACACACATTCTCCCTCCCTGCCCATGCTGGTCTTGGACCTGTATCTTCCAGGGTGTGGCGAACCGCGGGTGCTCGGTGCGAGTGGGGCGGGACACGGAGGCGCAGAAGAAGGGGTACTTTGAGGACCGCCGGCCAGCCAGCAACATGGACCCCTACGTGGTCACCTCCAAGATCGCTGACACCACCATCCTCTGGGACCCCAAGGGTGAGCCACCTTGCTTGCTTGCTGTTAGTCTCGTATTTAACTTGGTACCCCTAGCCAGCCGGCCAGCCAGCAACACGGGCCCCTGTGTGGTCACATCTAAGACTGCCTACACCAGCATTCTCTGGTCCAAACAAGGGTGGGGCACCGGCTCTGGAACCTGTGTGCTGCTCATGCTGCTCTGGCTTGGTGCATCTGTGCATCTGTCTGTGCTCCAAGATTCCATCCCCTCAACCCCTCAACAACCTTCATCCTTCCCTGCGCCTTCTCTTCTCCATTTTCTCTGCAGCTTGATCCACTGGAACGCACTGTTTATCCCATGGAAGATGCCCTTCCAGGGGGAGGTTCTAGAGAGAAGGCTTGCAGCCTCAGTGTAGGAATGGTTCTGCCCTGCAGTCCATGATAGAGTGGCACCCCAGGAAGGGTACTTGCAATCTCCAAATTAGAAAACGTCTGCCTCAGAATAGGATGTATACGCCTGGCTTGTTATGTTATTCCTCCCCTAGTAGTGATTTGAGATTGTGCCGACAAAAATCTCCCAACTCTTTGCTAAAAAAAACCCGATAAAGAGGATTTCGTTCTGTGCAGCTTCTGTTAAACACAAGCTTCTAAAACGATCTGCGAAGAGGTGGAACTCAGATGCGTGCGAAAATCATAGAGTGCAACTTCCATGTGAGCTGATTAGATGTGGTTGACTAAAGGGGAACGCGATTAGATGTGGTTGACAGTTTGTCTGAAATGGGATCCTAGGACCACGCTCTTTACAAACCGCCAGTGTTTGTATATTATGTACACCAGTACATGCCCCTCCTCCGCCTCCCATCAATCTTCATCGCTCTCATCGCTGAAATAGCCTTGATGTTTCTTCGGGCCCTGCACCACATGCACCACATGCACCGCGCCACATTACTCACATGACACGAGTCACAAATAACATTACACAAGGCATCACACATCCCAGCATACCTTGAGCGACAGCCTTGGGCCCTGGGGTGCCCCTGCTGGTGCTGCATCCCATTGTAAGAAGTGCCTGCCAGGAGGGAGCAAGGGGGGGAAGCAGGACAGGGGTCACAGAGGTTGACAGAGGGTGATAGAGCGTGATAGGGGCTTATAAGAGGGTGACAGAAATGCAGAGCGAGGGAGAAGCAAGGTGACAGGGCCAGGGCTGGAGGTCATGCATAATACCTGGGAGCTACAGCAGAAGCCCAATCATCATCATCAAACTTCTCCGCCTCCTCTTTCTCCTCCTCCTCCCCTTCCGCTTCCCCCCCTCCATTCCCATCCCTGCCTCTGCCCATGCCTCCTCCCCCCCCTCTCGCCCCCCCTGCCCCTCTCCCCCCCTCGCTCTTGCGCTTGCGCTTTGGGACAGGCCGCTCACGTGGACCTAACTGGTGGAGGGGGAAGCGGAGAGACGCATGGTGGGATGAAGATGGCGCATGGCAGAGAATGTACGCGCTATAGTCACCATTTTCTGATAGCCACCACTGCTTTATAATCGCCACTGATTACAATCACCACTGCAGTATAGCCAACACTGCACCGCGGAGAGTCGCATGGTGGGATGGAGATGGCGCATGGCAGAGAATGTATGCTTATTAGTTGCCATCTTATGATAGCCACCACTGCACCGCCCTCACCTGATTCGTGGGGCATTGATATGACAGCTGTCCCGCATCCCCACTGCAGAGCAGCCTGCCCTACATTACAGCCACTATTGCACTACAGCCACCACCGCACTGGCCTCACCTGGTTCTTGGGGCACTCGTACGACAGATGACCCGCCTCCCCACACTCGTAGCACCAGCTCTTGTCCTTGTACTCCTGGTGGGGGAGGGAGGGCGGGTGGAGAGGCGGGAAGGGGGTGGGGGGTTCAGGGGGAATGGAGGCGGGGACTGGAAGCAGGGAGTATGCACGCATACACACACGTGACATGCATGCAGTAAGGCGTCATAAGACGGCCCACCTTGCGGCGGATGAACTCAGCAGCGCGCCCGTTGCTGCTGGCGATGCGGACTGTGACTCAGGCGCTTGCCATGCACCCATGCACACAGGTGACACGCGCGTGGCAAGGCATTCAAAGAGCGCCCACCTTGCGGCGGATGAACTCAGCAGCGCGCCCGTTGTCGCTGGCGATGCGGACTGTGAGCGTGCGGCCGTTCAGGCGCTTGCCGTGCATCGCTGCCACCTGCCCTGCCATGCACCCATGCGCCCATGCACCCATGCGCCCATGCACACACACACATGCCATAAGACCTGTTAGTTTGGTGCATGATGGCCATGATGCATCAGGCGCTTGCCGTGCATTGCTGCCACCTGCCCTGCCATGCGCCCATGCACACATGCATGTACCCGTTAACGTATTAGGAACCACATAGTATTCCTGCTCCCAAAAGCGCCTCACCTCACAAATAACCTTGTTCCGGATAAACGTCTTACCGCTTTAAGACCGTCTTACCGCTTTAAGAGCATCCTCTTTACGCACATAGAGCACAAAGGCCACCCCCTTGCTCTCTCGGGTCTCTCTGTCCTTCAATACTGTCACCCTGCCGACAAGCACACGCCAAGAAACAGCACCCCCAGCACCTCAGCACAACAAACAGCAACGGACCAATCAGAGCTTTCAGCAAGGAATGCAATCCACCGTTTGACTCACTCGCTCATGTGCCCTTTCTCCCTTACCCACCCACCCTCACCCACTCACGCACTCTCACTCACTCACTTACAAACCTACCTCACACACACTCACCTGGCCACTCACTCACTTGCAGATCTGTCCAAAGGACCCCAAAGCGAGTGCAGGTCATTGTTGGGTTGCCCCGGCTGCCGCATTCTACAGCTCACTCACTTCACCACCCACTCTCGCTCTCTCTCAATCCTACACACTCACTCACACACTCACACTCACTCACTCACACTCACTCACTCACTCACTCACTCACACACTCACTCACTCACCCACATCCACACTCACTCACTTGGCAATCTGTCCGAACGCGCCGAACAGAGTGTGCAGGTCGTTGTTGGTCAGTGAGTAGTCCAGATTGCCCGCATACACCGTCGACTGCGACGGCGCGAGCTTCTTCTTATATCGAGTATCGCTCGACTTTTGAGGCGCCTCGGACATCGAATTCAAGGGGGTACCGCTACCGATACCGACAGCACTCGCGCTAACGGCACTCGCGCTGATAGGTCCTATCCCTGCCAGTGCGGCGGTCGCGCTGCCATCACCCGAAGTAGCAGTGCTAAAGCCGACAGGTTCAATCCCTGCCAGCGCTATCGGCGATCTGCTGCTGCCGCTCTCCATCCCTGTGTCGCTCCTCGCTATCGCCTACTAGTGTCTCGTAGCATCGCCTAGCATCGCCTGGCATCGGCTAGCATCGCCTGGCATCGGCTAACATCGCCTAGTTTCGCCTAGCATCGCCTAGTTTCGCCTAGCATAGCCTAGTATCGCCTAAAATCGCCTAGTATCGCTCTTCGCTAAAGCATCATGCCGTCGCGCCAGCGAGGAGGCAGCCTGGACTGACGGAGACGTCTAGGTTGACAGAGGTCGTCCAAATAGACGGAGGTGGCCTAGATTGACTAAGGCAGGGCTGAATGGCTTTGTTACAATGGCTTGGCTGCTGTGCTCTCGCGCAGCAAAGCACGAATTCACCATCCGCTCCAAAGTGAGATTCGCAACACCGCCTAAGCGATTATGCGTTTCGGTGGGTTTATCTGTGTAGCGAATTCAAGCTCAACAACACTCACGTTCACCGCACTTTGTAACGCGTATGAATCTGCTCGAACACTCGGGTTCTTTCAGTGCCCCTGCAAAACTCCATGGCAAATGAAATGTAGATTGTATTCGCTTTTCTAACATAGAAGGCCAAAAAACTCTATTTGCTCTTGTGTTCCAGCTTCTTTCTCCCGACCTCCCTGCCCTATTTCGTCAGGCGTAGCTTCCCGCCTGCGATATGTTTCGCAGAGTCGCTCTCGTCACATGTCGCACAACCGCGTCGCAGGAGGCTGCGGCAACATCGCGATGGCGAAGCGTGCGAGGCCTGCGAACAGTAGCGAGCGACGGGGCGACGACGTCCGCTGTGGAAGAATTCAACCAGGTCGAGCGATGAATGCGATGAGAGCGCGACGAGAATGCGATGGGAATGCGACGGGAATACGACGAGATTGCGGCGAGAATGCGACGAGAATGCTAGTGACTCAGCCAGCCTTTCCTCCTCCTTGTTGTTTCCTCTCTCCGTACCTCCCGCTTTCCGCATCTCCCGCTTTCCGCATCTCCCGCTTTCCGCATCTCCCGCTTTCCGCGTCTCCCGCTTTCCGCATCTCCCGCTTTCCGCGTCTCCCGCTTTCCGCGTCTCCCGCTTTCCGCATCTCCCGCTTTCCGCGTCTCCCGCTTTCCGCATCTCCCGCTTTCCGCACCTCCCGCTTTCAGCACGTCCCGCTCTCCGTTCCTCGCTCTGCTTGTCTCCCCAACAGGGATGGAGGCGATATTCGGGCTTCACCCGTCCAACGACCCCCCACCATCGCACTCCCCTGCCCGCCGTCACACTCCCCTACCTGCGCATATCCGTCTTGCTGTCGCGCGTGTCGTGGAATGCCCTCGAATCACCTGTCCGCCAGTCCCCGCCCTTTCTCCCCGCCCAACAGGAGATGGAGGCGATATTCGGCCTTCACCCGTCCGCCGACCCTCTGCCGTCCCACTCTCCTGCGCAATATCCTCCCTCGTCCGCGCATCCCCCGTCACCCCCGCCACAGGCACAACGAGCATCAAGGCCCCATTCCTCCGCCCCACCTCCCCCTTCGCCCTCGCCTCATTCCAACCCTTTCCCCTCCGCCGCCTCCCGTTCCGCCCCTCGCTCCTACCCAATCCATGCACGCCACGTGGAGAGTGCACAGCTCACAGCTGAGAGGCCCCAGGATGGCACGCTCAGCGCCCCTTCAGTGAATAACGCTCAAACCACATGGCGGGCAAACGACACAGGCACCAACGCACCGGCATCAGAATCAGCATCAGCATCAGCCACCCCCCGCCTCACGCACGTGGATGCTTCCGGGAAAGCCACCATGGTGGACGTGTCTCACAAGCCTCCCACACACCGCCGGGCCCTCGCCTCCGCTCTCGTCCTCCTGGGCCCCCTCGCGTTCCCCCTGGTCGCCTCCAACCAGATCGCCAAGGGCGACGTGCTCACTGTCGCTCAGATCGCCGGAATCAACGGCGCAAAAGCCACGAGCAGCCTCATCCCGTTATGTCACAATGTGCCTATATCGAAGGTCGGGGTGACTCTGACTCTAGACCATGAAAAACAGGCTGTGGAGGTGAGGGCGGAGGCGTGCACGGTGGCCGGTACGGGGGTGGAGATGGAGGCTTTAAGTGCTGCTGCTGTGGCAGCGCTGACTGTGTATGACATGTGCAAAGGGGTTAGCAAGGGAATTGAGATTAGGTGGGTGAGACTGGAGGAGAAGAGTGGCGGGAAGAGTGGGGAGTGGAGGCGAGGAGAGGAGGGGGGGAGAGTAGAGGAGGCGGGGAGATGAGGGGAGGAGGGGAGAGCAGGAGGGGAGTAGTGGAGAGGCGGTTCGATGATGGTCAAAGGAGGGAGGGAGAGTGAGAGGAGGCGTTAACAGCTGCTGCTGTGGCGACGTTGACTGTGTATGACATGTGCAAGGGGGTGAGCAAGGGGATTGAGATTAAGTGGGTGAGACTGGAGGGGAAGAGTGGCGGGAAGAGTGGGGAGTGGAGGCGAGGAGAGGAGGGGAGAGGAAGGGAGGAGGGAAGACCAGGAAGACAGTAGAGACGGGGGGAAAGGGGGGGAAGTGGGGGAAGGGGGCGGAGAGGGGGGATGATAGTCGAAGGAGGGAGGGAGGGGGAGGCTTTAACAGCTGCTGCAGTGGCGCCGCTGACAGTGGGGATGAGCCAGGGGATGGAGATTAGATGGGTGCGGTTGGAGGAAAGAGTGGAGGGAAGAGTGGGGACTGGCGGCGAGGAGGGAAGGAGAGGGGGAGAGGAGGGGAAGGGAGGAGTGGGTGAGGAGAGGAGTGGGTGAGGAGAGGAGTGGGTGAGGAGAGGAGTGGGTGAGGAGAGGAGTGGGTGCGACGAAGGGGAGAGGATGCACAGGGAATGATTTGGGGAGCAGGCAGGAGAGCATCTCTCCCCTTTTCTTTCGCACTGGTTGACGACTGGCTAGCTGAATCCATGTTGGCTACAGGGCATATAGCATCAAGACAAAGAACGTGGGCGGCGTGATCAGCCACTACCTGGACGGAATCTTCTTACTGTTTCATCTTCGCCGCCCGCCCTGTCGCACAGGTTCATCTGCAGCAGCTCTGTGTTAAAGTAGCTACTAAGCAGTAGGCAGGAACAAGGCCGCCATGAATGTGGCGGCGGGGTTTAGCTAGGAGAGTAGGCGAGAGTGTCGAGAGAAAAAGAGTGATGATTAGGAAGAGAGAGGAGTACAAGGAGGGGTTTGTACCCTCTACAGAAAGGTTCAGTAACAACCTACCAAGCCTATATAAATTATAACTTACATAATTTTAACACACCCCCTAGGCTTGGTAGTGTCAAGCCCACTCACACCCCCTAGGCTTGGTAGTGTCAAGCCCATTCACACCCCCACACCCACACCCACACCCACACCCACACCCACACCCACACCCACACCCCCTAGCCCAGCACCCCCATTCCCAGCAACGACTCCGGAGGTGGGCAGCTCCCACGACCCTTGGGACGGCAATGGCGGCAGCAGCGACAGTGACGACAGCGGCGGCGGCGGCGGCGTGCGGCAGCGCCCGGCCCGCGGCAACAGCGGCGGCATGAACGTCAGAGGCTGGTGCAGCGGCCCCCGCCCTCTCGGCGGCATGTCCAGTCACCTTGGCGGTGGGGAGGGCCCTCATGAGGCAGTCGTCGGCTGCAGCAAGGAAGGGGGGGATGCAGGGGAAGGAGGGGGAGGTGGGGGGGGGGGGGGGGGGGGGGGGGGGCGCGGCGTAGTCCATAATCACGCCGGTGGCGATAGAGCGGGCGGCAGGTCCGGCGGCACCACTGACGTTGTGCGGCCGGCTGTCGCCCGACAACGCCGCCACGGCAGCCTTACGACGCCGTCAGGCCGACGACGCACCACGGAACCTCGACGGCGCCACCACGGCGCGGCATCGTCGCTGCTGCTGCTCGGCGACGCTGACACGGCGGCAGCAAAAAAAAGGAGCCGCCGCGGCATCTCGTCGGAGAAGTTGCCACGGCGGCAGGAAATTGGAAGACAGGGAACGTAAACGCAGCGGAAGCACGGAGGGGAGCAGGCCCAGGGAGGGCGTCCTGCTCTCGATACCAAGTTAAAGTAGCTACTAAGCAGTAGGCAGGAACAAGGCCGCAATGAATGTAGCGGCGGGGTTTAGCTAGGAGAGTAGGCGAGAGTGTCGAGAGAAAAAGAGTGATGATTAGGAAGAGAGAGGAGTACAAGGAGGGGTTTGTACCATCTACAGAAAGGTTCAGTAACAACCTACCAAGCCTATATAAATTATAACTTAGATAATTTTAACACTCTGTGTGTTAGAATTTTCGTTTTGAGGCATCTCAAAACCAGTCTACCTGCAGCAGCGCCTCAGCCGCAACGATGCCGTCATCCGCTCCACCTCCTTCCGCATCAAGGCGTGACGCGCACCTGCGAGGGTGTGAGAGGCAGTCTGAGGATTTGAGGCAGTGTAAGGGCGTATTCCTACGAATGGTGTTCAGTACCAGGACAGTAAAAAATGCTCTTGAACACCGTGCTGTAATTGCCGATTTACAGGAACGCTGTGTCAATTTATACATACACTCTGCATGTAGAAGTTATAGGCTAAAATAGGTGTATGTTCTTAAAGAGTACAACTCAACCCTATACTTTGCTTGTTCTCTCTTGATTCTAGTCATTCCAGTATTCTAACTGTAATAATTTGACAGGTGGTGCAGGAGACTAAGTATAGAATCTGCAACCACAAGTACTTAACCAAGGATCTTTGCTGGAATGGTAGACTAGTCTTAGAAACTTAGGACTCAAGGTTCTTAAACTTAGGAGGCTAGGTTGGCTAGAATACTAGGAAGAAGGCCGCCATGGAATGGCGTGAGGAAAAACGGATCTAGGAAGGGAGAGAATGTCGAGAAGAAAGGAAGTTGGATTAGGAAGAGAGGGGAGTACAAGGAGGGGTTTGTACCCCCTACAAAAAGGTTCAATAACAACCTACCAAGCCTATATTAAATTATAACTTATATAATTTTAACACACCCCCTAGGCTTGGTAGTGTCAAGCCCACGCACACCCCCACACCCACACCCACACCCACACCCTCTAGCCCAGCACCCCCATTCCCAGCAGGAGCCGCAACGACTCCGGAAGAGGGTAGGTCTCACGACCCCTTGAGACGGCAATGGCGGCAGCAGCGACAGTGACGACGGCGGCGGCGGCGGCGGTGTGCGGCGGCTCCAGGCCTGCGGCAACAGCGGCGGCGCCGGCGGCTCGAACGACAGAGGCTGGTGCGGCGCCCCCCGCCCTCTCGGCGGCATGTCCTGTCTCCTCGGCGGTGGAGAGGTCCCTCACATGGCAGTCATCGGCTGCAGCAAGAAAGGGGGGGATGCAGGGGAAGCAGGTGCAGGTGGGGGGGGAGGGGAGGGGGCGGGGCGAGGCGAGTCTTCAGCGACGCGCCATAAATGGCGCGGCGCTTACTGGCGGGAGGACGTCGTCCTGAGGGACGCCCGTCTGTGGCGAGCGGGCGGCAGGCCCGGCGACGCCACAGACGTCGCTCGGCCGGCCGCAGCCCGACGATGCCGTCGGCTGCCGCAGACGCCGCCACAGCGCACCGTCAATGTCGCAGCGGCGAGGCGGACGGGCGACGGCTGCACCAAGGGGCCGTCGCGACACCTTGGCGCCGCGACGGTAGGCAACGAGGGACCGTCACGACATCTTGGTGCCGCGACGGCAGGCAACAAGGGGCCGTCGCGACATCCTGGCGCCGCGACGGCAGGCAACAAGGGACCGTCGCGACAACTTAGTGCCGCGACGGCAGGCAGGCAGAAAACCGCGAAGGCTGCGAATGCAGTAGGAGTACGCAACGGGAACGTAGGGAGAGGGTCCGGTGGACACGACCGGCTCTGATACCATCTTAGAAACTTAGGACTCAAGGTTCTTAAACTTAGAAGGCTAGGTTGGCTAGAATACTAGGAAGAAGGCCGCCATGGAATGGCGTGAGGAAAAACGGATCTAGGAAGGGAGAGAATGTCGATAAGAAAGGAAGTTGGATTAGGAAGAGAGGGGAGTACAAGGAGGGGTTTGTACCCCCTACAAAAAGGTTCAATAACAACCTACCAAGCCTATATTAAATTATAACTTATATAATTTTAACAACTAGTAAGACAACGGAAGTCTTATAGGAGTGAACCTGAGCACATGAACTTGTGGGTAGTCGAAGGTTGAATAACCTGAGCACATAATTATGTGGAAAGTCAAGGTTGATAATAGAAAGGCATTACAAGGATTTAAAGCTCTAGGAAAATACCTGTTCGGCTAGTTGCGCGCTATGCGACCTATTCGTCATTCTATAAGGTCGCGACTGTTCGCGTGACTGAAACAACTCGTTACGCCTATTTGCGTAACTGAAGCAGTATGCTAACGTCATCCCGTAGACCCGCGATGGTTTGCTGACATCAGCACTCGGACTTGTTTCCTTACCGAGAAACTCGATACCGCTAGCTACACTGAAAACGGAAGTTGCAGGAATGCAAAACTTAATATATTACAACACTCCCCTTCATTCCTGGAAGCTTGATGTAGTCACGTCGTAGTTGGAGTCCGGCGAATGCAATCTGCAATTTGGAATCTTGTGACGTGTAAAATTCATGTGCTGTAAGAAGTCGGCGGTCATTCCATTGGTCAAATGGTAGACCAATCGCTTTCTTATGTTCGCCGCGCGAGCCGGAGCAGAATTGGCGGAAGTCATCGTGACGATATTTGTCGTGGCACTGGGATAACCCTGTCGATCATCTCTCTCTGTCTAGGGAGGGTACAGGGGAGGCTTTCCCCGGGGAAGGTGGATATATGGAGCCTAACCCTCCTGATGACATCCCTTCTTGTCCCAGTGGTTAGGACTGGAGACTTTCTGACTATATTGTGCTGCAGAATGTCGGTGACGAGCGTTGTCGGGGCTTTGAAGCGCGGAAGAGACTGGGTTTTCGCCAGGTTGGGCGAGAACAAAGGAGACTAGAACTACCGTAATCCCCCGTATAAAGCACCCTATGGTGTTAATAAAAATGCAGCAAGTTTCTGGGCTGGGTATGATTAAAGGCCCAAAAAATAAAACACCCAGGAGTTATGGAATGTGCATATGTTTTTTTTAATTGGAATTCAAGTATACCTGTTTCACCACATTCATTTGAGTCAGATACCCACTTCTGATCATCTCGTTGCATATTGGACGATATTGCTGATTTGCATGCCACATTGGCACTGAGCGTGCTTCACTTGTGTCAAGGAGGATGCTGTCAGAATAACCAATGAGCACACGTTTAATTTGGCAGGACGCGCGAAAGTCGATTTTGGATTTCAATGTTCTCGTCGATTTTGTTTTCATTCGGGCAGATTTGTCTCCTACCTAAGAGCGTGTTTTGTCAAACATAACTAATGCAGTTACTGTAGACAATATATGTTTGTGCCTTAGTGCGTACAGCTCACTAGTCTATATTGCCTTGTATCTCCCAATTCTAGTTATTAGTCATTCTGATATGGTATCATAGTAGGTTAGGTCCCCCCCTAGCCCGCCCACGCTTCCGCCCCTAGGCCCTAGCCGCCATCTTGCCCCGCTCCTAGCCGGCCCTCTGGCCGTCGCGTACGTCCCTAGCCGGCCCCCTGGCCGTCGCGCCCGTCCCTAGCCGGCCCCCTGGCCGTCGCGCCCGTCCCTAGCCGGCCCCCTGGCCGTTCGCGCCCGTCCCTAGCCGGCCCCCTGGCCGTCACGCCCGACCCTAGCAGGCCCCCTGGCCTTCGCGCCCATCCCTAGCCGGCCCCCTAGCCGTCACGCCCGTCCCTAGCAGGTGATAGTGAGAGAAGGCTATAAGCAGATGATTCAATGGCTCCTTGGAAATTTCTGCAGCACTTCGTTATGATGCCCAGAAAACTTGCGACCTTCGAAAAGCTATATCCAAAACTCCTATCGATGAAACGATATGAAAATCGGATATGTTGTAGCTTGCAGCGTCATCTTTCCAATAAAAGTTGAATCTCTCGATTCCGTTGCTTATCGAGTGAGCTATGGCATTTGGCGCACTGGGGGGTAATCTGCCCTAGGAGAAATTGACAGTCCTCACAGTCACTATGATAGAAGCTTACAAGTTCAGAGGCATGATGGAAAAGGAATTGAAGCATAGTTGGAAGGTGGGGTGGGAAGGGAAGGATGAAAGGGAAGGACCCTGGAGGCCCTTGGTCAAGAACATGACAAGAGTCAAAGTCTTGACTCCCCATCCTCAGGTTCAGCCAGCCTGGCAAGACAAAATTCACACTGTGCCAGGTTGGTCTCCAAACCCCAAGTGCTGCAGCTGCAAGGTGGGGACAAAAGCCCCACACATGCTGGTCCCTCCTCGTTATAGGGCTCTCCAACTTTGGTGTAGCAGCTGCCAAGGACTTCCAATGAGTTGTAACAAATCCATCAAACATTTCTTCGTAACTTCTTCATATGTGCTCCGATTCCAACAATTCTTGGCTCGTTGGAATGCGCTCGATCTGATGTACAATCCAAGCACATCTGCACAAGCACAAGATGAATATGCAAAGACATGCAAACCCAACAAGCCACACAAACAACGTAGCATACAAAACACATGCAGCGAAATGATGCGAACAGACGACAGGATGACGTGCAAACGAATATGCACCAACAGCAGGCCCCCTGGCCGTTCGCGCCTGTCCCTAGCCGGCCCCCTGGCCGTCACGCCCGCCCCTAGCAGGCCCCCTGGCCATTCGCGCCCGCCCCTAGCTGGCCCCCTGGCCGTCGCGCCCGCTTCTAGCCGCCCCTCTGGCCGTCAAGCCCCTCCTAGCCGGCGCCCTGGTCGTTCGCGCCCGCCCCTAGCTGGCCCCCTGGCCGTTTGCGCCCACCCCTAGCTGACTCACTCGCCGTCGCGGCCGCCCCTAGCTGTCGTCGCGGCCGCCCCAAGCCGTCGCGGCTGCCTCTAGCCGCCGTCGCGGACGTTTCCCGCCATCCCACGGTCGACCCTAGCAGTCGCGCCCGCCCCTAGCCGCCGTCGCGCCTGCTCCTAGCCATCGCGGCCGCCCCTAGCTGCCGTCGCGGCCGTTTCCAACCGGCTCACGGCCGCCCCTCGCCGTCGCGGCCGCCCCTAGCCACCATCGCTGCCGTCTCCAGCCGCCCCACGGTCGCGGCTGCCCCTAGCCGCCGTCGCGGCTGTCCCTGGCCGATGTCGCGGCCGGCTCTACACACTGTCGCGCCAGCTCCTAGCCGGCCCCCGTTGCCGCCGTTTGCTGGCCCCTCGCGTCCGTCGCCCACCGGCCCGCCCCTGCATTCGCGTCGTCGCCAGCCTGCCGCCGCATCGGGTTCGGCCCGTTCTTCCCGATCAGCACCGCCTTGTGAACCCCTCCCGTACCGTACTGCACAGCTTTGTACCACACTTCACCGCTTTGCACCGCACTGCACCGCTTTCCACCGCACTGAACCGCTTTGCACCGCATTGTACCGCACTACAGCGCACTGCACCGCACTGTACCGCTCTGCACTGCCTGCACTGCACAGCACCGCACTGCGCCGCCCTGCACTGCACTGCACCATATTGCACCGCTCTCACTGCCCTCTATTGTCACTGATGGCGGAGGTGCTTCGCTTTGACGCTGAGGGCCAGCCGATTGAGTTTGATGCATGGCTTGCTGACCTCCCCCCCTCCTCCTCCCCCTCCCCGTTCTGCTCCCTCTGGTGTGTCCCACATCACCCCACTTCTGTCGGTTGTCCCGGTTGAGGAGTCTGCTGACTCTGGTGGTCCTGCGGCGCAGTCATCGCCGCATGCCCCTTCTCAGGTGTCTCCTCCTCCGCCGCCTCCGCAGCTGCCGTCGCCACCGCTGTCGCAGCCGTCGTCACCGCCACAGCCACCGCCGCAGCCGTTGTTGCAACCGCCGCCGCCGCCGCAGTTTGTTGCCTCTGGGGGTACTGGAGTTGGGGTGGGTACTAGTCCTGGGACCCCTGTCGTGGCTTGTCCCGGCGGGCCTGGTGGTGGTACCTGTGCTCGAGGGGTTTTGAGCTCTGGGGGTGTTTTTTCTGGGGGTGCTGGCGTGGAGTGTTCTGGAGGTAGCTGCCAGGCAGCTTGCGGTCCCGGTGTCGGTGTCACACCGCCGCCGCAGCAGTCCCCGCCGGTGTCCACTCTTTGCCTGCTCGGCCTTCCGTCCCCTGACCCCGTGCCTGTGCCTCCTCCTCCTGCTGTCTACGGCCCTGTGTTCCCTCCTCCGGACTCGTCTCTGGCCCGTTTCCCCCCTCGTTCCCCTCTTGTGTCCCCTCCTCTGTCTCCTGACCCGACTCCTCCGTCTCACGTCTGGTCTCGCCGTCCCTCCCGTGCTCGACCTGTCTCCCCTGTCTCACGCTCTCACCCTATGTTGCTTCGTTCCCACGCGTCTCGTCCTCCCCTTCTCCCGTCGCCCCCTCCGTCCTCCCGTTCTCCTGCGGCGCCCCGTCTACGGCCTACGACAGGCTCCTCGTGAGTGGCACGACACGCTGCGTGCTACCCTTGCTGACCTGCAGTTATTTCCGTCCTCTGCGGACCCCTCGCTCTTTGTTCGTGCAGGCCAGACTCCATTCTAGATCCTTGTTTACGTAGACGATCTGGTCTTCGCCACTGCAGACAGGGACGCACTGGCCTCCGTAAAGGTAGAGCTGCTGAAGAGACACACTTGCACTGACCTTGGAGAACTCCGCCACTACCTTGGCTTGCACATCTCCAGGGACAAAGCAGCGCGCACGATCACCCTCACTTAGTCACACTTGGTGCGCCAGGTCCTTTAGAGGTTCGGTCTTCAGTTCTCCTCTGCAGAGACCACCCGTCTATCTGTAGACCATAGGCTCTCTGCTCCAATTCCTGAGGAGTTGGTAGAGCCAAGTGGTCCTTACGCCGAGCTGGTGGGTTGCCTCATGTACCTGATGACTTGCACTAGCCTAGATCTCACGTACCCTCTCAGCATCCTGGCTCGCTTTGTGGCTCTAGTCAGACACCGACCTCAGCACTGGTCTGCCGCTAAGAGGGTTTTGCGTTATCTTGCAAGTACATCGGGCATGGGGTTAGTGCTAGGAGGACGCAGGCCAGTGGTCCTTACTGGACACACAGACGCTTCTTGGGCAGACGACGCCGAGACCCTCAGGTCCTTGCAGGGCTACTGCTTCAGCCTTGGTTCAGGTGCCGTCTCGTGGAGAGCTACCCGCTCCTCGTCTGTTGCCCATTCCAGCTGTGAGGCCGAGATCTACGCCGGTGCCATGGCGGCACAGGAGCTCCGCCGGCTGACCTTCTTGCTCACTGACTTAGGTGAGCGGCCTAGCTCTGCCCCAGTCCTGTACGCTGAAAACAGGGCCCTCCAGTGTTAGGAGCCTCGATTCGAGGGCAGAGCGAAGCACATCTTGCTGCGGTACTTCCTCCTGCGTGAGCTCTAGCAGCGCCGCCAGGCGCGCGTAGTACACTTGGCCTCCGGTGCCAACACAGCTGATATCTTTACGAAGGCGCTTGCGCCTAAAGATCATCAGCGGCACTGTGTACAGCTAGGTCTCGTTCCTGTAGCCTCTCACTTGCTAGGGCCTTGACTTTGTACTGTCCTTTATATATATATATTTTACCCTGACTGGCCTTGTGGCCTCTCCCAGTGGCTAGACTAGTAGTGCCGCCCTGGTCTTGCTCTTGCCTTGTCTGTCCTCCTTGTGACTGGTCTTTAGACCCTTGCCTCAGAGGTTAGACTAGTAGTGCTGCCCTGAGCTGCTTCTTCCCTTGTTAGGCACTGCCCCTATATAGTCTAAGGGGTGTGTCAAACATAACTTATGCAGTTACTGTAGGCTATATATGTTTGTGCCTTAGTGCGTACAGCTCACTAGTCTATATTGCCTTGTATCTCCCCATTGTAGTTATTATTCATTTTGATATGTTTCTACGAGCCTCTTCCCAGGGAACATCTTCCCAGACTCGCAAGCTACAGCGTCGCGAATTCTGACGCGAAATGTTTCAGTGTTGTCCTGTAAGGTGCAACGTCAAGTTCAGTCTGCCGAGATTCATGGGCGTGTTTCAAAACCTCTGTTCAGGCGAACATTGTTTCCGACACGCGCGAATCTGTACAAAAAAAAATCAGCTCGAGCAGTTTTTTTTTTTGCGATTGAGAGCAGCGGAACGCAAATATGAAACAACAATATGGAAAAGGGGCCACGAGAACATGCTCTAAATACCTGCCTCGCAATGGCCACTAGCTCATTTTCCCCACTCGCTTTGACGTGCATATAATTGCCCCAGCAGGAGTGGAACAAAATGAACGGCAATGCACATTTGCGCAACACGAAATTCTGGCGTTTCCTGCTAAAAATGGAGATTCTAGTGGCAGGGGGGTGTTCAAAAGTTTTCACGTCCGAGAGTAGGGTGTTGTGTATATCCAGAGAAATTAAACACCCATACCCGCTCAAGCTACCCGGGGAAGCTTAATTCCGGCGGGTGTTTTATACGGGGGAATACGGTAGGACGAGAACTGGAAAACGAAACTGGAACTAGAAATGAAGAACGTGGGTGAGGTCGAATGGCCTCACGTCCCTCTTTTGTAGGCAAAAGAGGGTGAGTAGCGCTTCGACGCTGTCCTTGCTGCGTTGGCCCTCGCTACACTTTCAGTATACAAATTTTTCATAAAGCGTTACACGCATTCAAAAAATTACATATCGTGAAAGCTTGCTTGGGTCATCTTGGCAAAGGCAGCGTGCTTCATTTCATATGGGTCTTCTGAGGCATGTGTAGCAGGGGCTGGCGATGTCGCTTGATAGACAACGGGTGGTGACTGGGCGACGGAGCGGCGGAAGCGTCTTGGATGCGCGTGGACGCCGCAAGGAGCTGGTCCTGCGCAATGGTGACGTAGAGATCTTTGGCCGTATCACTGCGCCAGCGACCGAGTCGTTTGAAGAGCCGGTCGGGGATCCCCAAGTTAGCTGCCACAGTTGCTGCGCCCTTGCGAAAAGAGTGGGTGCCGAGGTGTCTGTTGTCGAGCCCAGCCTTAGCGAAGGCTTCGAGGCACCAGTTTTGGATGGTTGTGTAAGACGGAGCGCTGTCTTGAGGGGTTGCCCTGCCGCTGGTGCCAAAGACACGGATCAATGGTCCATGGGGGGTGGTGGGGTGTCCCACGAGTTGTGGCACCAGCAGAAGAGGGAGGGCCGAGCCGCCATCAAACAGGGAAGCGTTTCGTCGTCGCCGCCCGCCATCACCACCCCGGCTCCGTTGCTGACTTGCACCTCGGCCACTGCCTCTTCCACTTTCACCCCGCCCCCTGCTGTGCAGACCACTATCTTCCCCTCTACGTCCAAGCTGGCCAGGGAGCCGGGCACACAATACTGTGTGGGATCGCTGTCCTCCTCCTCTTCTGCTGCTGCTGCTTCACTCCCAGGAGCGACAGTCCCTGTAGAGTCACTCCCTGTGGATTGCCCCGTGTGGGTACCACTGCCAGCAGCGGCCAGAGCCGGCAGGAGCAGCGGCGCCTGTAGGTCGAAGTCAGTGAGGGAGTAGCCTCGCACCTCGCTGCCGTCTGGAAGTACCAGCTTGCCCTGCTGCCGTGCCACCGTGCTGCAAGAGGCGGGGGGGGGGGGGAGAGGGGCCAGGGGCGAGGTGACTTTTGAATCGACTCAAAAGCAGCGGCGCCTGTAGGTCGAAATCATTGAGGGAGTAGCTTCGCACCTCGCTGCTGTCTGGAAGCCGGGCCACCGTGTTGCAAGGGGAGTGGAGAGGGGGTGGGTGGGGAAATAGGGGCAAGGTGGGAGAGGGGCAAGGGGGGAGAGGCGCAAAGGGATTTAAGGACAAAGGAAGAGAAGGGCAAGGGGAGAGTCAAATGTCACATTCAAGTTCACATCTCAAACTGAGTGCACGTTTCACGGCCCGAGCTAACACATGGGCGCACCTGCTCCATGTAATTGATACTTCTCAAATACGGCCCGAGAAATGTGGGCGGATCTAGTTCTTGAGAATTCTTAGAAGCGGCCCAAGAAAGTACGGCGCACCTGATGCCCAATACAAGAATAATATGCGCCCAATACGGCACATCCAATACAGCATTCCTAGAAGCGGCCCAAGAAAGTATAGTGCTAAAGTAGGGCGCTAAAGTAGGGCGCTAATGTAGGGCGCTAAAGTAAAGTAGGGCGCTAAAGTAGGGCGCTAAAGTAGGGCACACCTGATTCCCACAGTGAGTGCGAAGGGTGAGGTGTTCTGGAGAGTCTGCCACGTGGTCTCATCGTAGGGCGGCTGGCCATTGCTGCCTGCGGACATGGCCAGCACCACACCCGCCTGGAGGTGTGTGAGGGTGTGTGAGAGAGGGGGAGGAAGAGAGCACGAATGGTCATGTGTACAGGCACTGCCGAGCATGCGTGTGCGTGATTGAGTTTTGTGTGTGTGTGTGTGTGTGTGTGTGTGTGTGTGTGTGTGTGTGTGTGTGTGTGTGTGTGTGTGTGTGTTTCCTGACACTCATAAGCATGCTGGCATGCTGTGAGTCGCAGCAGCAGCATCACGTACGAGGTAGGCGCGCAGGTGGGACATCTGGCTGAGGTAGTCGTTCAGCTGAGGCGCGCCCTGCGCCGTCCCCAGCGACATGCTGACGACGTCCACTCCGTCCGCCACAGCTTGGTTCATCGCCGCCTCTATGTCTGCCGCCTCGCACGCGCTGCTGCCATCCTCGAGCAGCCAGCATGCCTGGAAATGGGGGAGGGGATGTTCAAGTCGCCTCACGAAAAGAGTCTGTCAGACACTGCTTGGTTGAGGGTGGCTCACTTTTGAGACCAGAGCCTGTCGCCTCAATGTCCGCCGTCTCACACGCGCTGCTGCCATCCTCGTGCAGCCAGCACGCTTAAAAGGGGAGGGGGGGGAGCTTTGCAGGCGGCTTAGGAAATGACTTCGTCAGACACTGCTTCGTTGAGGGTGGCTGACTTTTGAGACCAGAGCCTGTCGCCTCGCCTCGCTTCGCCTCCACTCCGCTTCGCTTCACTGTGCTACAAAAGCAGCAGAGGAGTCCAAACCTAGAAGCGAACCGGGGCTCACCTTGTACACGGCCAGCCGTGTTCTCGCCTCACCTTGTACACGGCCAGGCGGGCTCTTGGCGCCACTCCACTGATCGTGAGGCCATAGCCTGTCGCCTCCACTCCGCTGTTCCCCACGGCTATGCTGCAAAGAGAGATTGGAAACTGAGAAAGGAACAAGAGAGGTGGAGGAAAGGTAAGAGAGGTGGAGGAAAGAGGAGAGAGGTTGAGGAAACCGGAGGGACAATGGGTTCCTTGATTTATTCCCCCCCTCCCACCATCCCTCACCCCGCACAGTGTGTGTGCGATTCACCCTGCGCAGTGTGCGACTCACCCCACGCGTTGTGTGTGCGACTCACCCCGCGCAGTGAGTGCCATGGCCAGAGTTGTCTCTGGGGGATTCGAAGTCCCCTAGGCTCGTCTAGACCTCCTTCCCCGATGCCTTCAGTCCCGCAGTGTAGTAGCGCGCGCCAATGAGCTTCTTATTGCACGCGGTCGCGGGGAAGTCCTCTGGCAGAACATCCGCCCTTCCACCGCGCGGGGATGGCGGAGTACGGCGGGTCGACGTCGTCCGAAAACGAGGGGTATTCCGGCCAGATACCCGAGTCAATCACGCCTACAATCACTCCTTCCCCTGCGTTCTCGTGCACTCTTGGAGGCGATCGGCTTCAGTCCCTTAACGGCCGATCAATCGTTGTTCATGCTTGGCGAGGGGGAGCAGAGGAGCTTCATGGTGGTTTACATGGATGACATCCTCATATTCTCACCCTCCTCTCACCTTGTGAAGGAGGCGATGCTAAAGCTTAAAGACAAGTTCAAGTGCAAGACCCTTGGTGACGTCAACTACTACCTTTCTCGCCAACCCGACTGCCTCAATTGGGTGTGGCATGCGCATCAGGCAGCGGGAAAATTCGCGTTTGAGTTGGCCCACAGATTGCGCACAGGTTTTGTAACGGCAGTTTAGCCATCTAGGACGTTTTAAGCAGTTACAAAATGCACCACAAGGGATTCACACCTACAACAGGATAATTACTAGCCATTTTAGTCCGACACTCAAGCCAATTGCAAGACGCATCGCCCGCATGGACATGTTCCTCAATAGTTCAAAAAGAAAAGACTTCTGGTGGGGCACAAGAATCGCCTCAACACGAGCCGTCTTCCTCCTACCTACCCTACCACTCTCTGTCATTGCCCTGCAGTATGCTCCATTGCTCTCCCTCGCCCCTTCCTCTTCACCATCAGATGGCCTGCCAGCGTCGGCTCAAACGCCAAGGCCTTCATCCCAGGCACCTGCAACAAACCCTGCCCTACCACTCGCTGTCCGTCCCCTGCACCCTGCTCTCAAACTGCACGCCCCTCCCCCGCCCCTTCCTCTTCACTGTGAGGTGATCCGCCATCATCGGCTCAAACGCCCAGAACTGCATATCAGGCACCTGCCACCAGTACGAGTCCACAGGATCGTTCACGAAAAACCGCTCTACCAGCTTCTCAGCGCCCTCCAGGGAGACTATATACGCAAACGAGCACCACACTAAAGGGGAAATAACCACGTGGGGCGAGAGCTTGGGGTAGTAGAAGGTCGTCATGATGCCGGATTTCCCAAGGAAGACAATGTCCGGGCGGAAGGGGTTGATTTCTCGCGTGATCACCTCGTTGGCTTCAGCCACGTTGCGCTCAAACACCTCTCTGAAGGACCGAGTTCTGAACCGGACGTCGTCTTCGAAGACGATCGCGTATGGGAGCTGTCTTCGCACCACCTCCAGCCAGACAAAGTAGTGAGAGAGTGCACACCCCACCTCTCCTTTGCTCAGGGTCGGCCGAGCCTGCTTCTCCTGCCACCAGGGTGTGGTTCGGGTGCGTGCCCGATGCTCCTTGTCTACTAGATGCGATACCACCTGGTAGTCCGTGTTGGAGATGGCAATGCCGTTGGCTTTAATGATCTCTCCAAAGCCCTGTTGCTGCAGTACGGGTTCTAGTGAGTCGAACCGGTCCGCGTCTTCGGCTAAGCCAATCACGAACGTCGGCCACATGGATAGTTTGGGCGGCATGGATCGCATCAGAACTCGCACCCCGGCCGGCGGTTTCAGCCCGGGCACCTGAGAATTCACCTGGGGAATCACCTGGGAACCTGACCCCGGCACCAGGAGAATCTCCTGGTAGGATCGAATCAGGCACTGCGCAGGCGTCCCACAGTCAGCATCCACAGCAATCGTAGCAGCAGCTCTCGCCTCTACTGACGCCTGCCTCACCCAATCCTTCCTCACTATATTGCCCCGGATTCTGGGGTGCCCCGGGAAGCTAAGGAAGAGTGTGGAGCGGCAGGAGGAGGAGAGGCGGGAGGAGGAGTAGAGGTCGAGGGGCGGGGCGCGGCAGGGCTTGGGGCGACACATAAACATGTGGGCGGCGAAGAGAGGCGGGTCTGCTGCTAGGATGTTGGCGTGGGGGACGGTGAAGAGGGCTTCGGAGATTGGGCTGGTGGGGGGGGACAGAACGCAGGGGGAAAGGGTGGGGGGGGGGACAGGGGGGTAGTAGGATACACAGAGAGTCGATCAGGGCTTGGGGTGGCACATGAACATGTGGGTGGCGAAGAGAGGTGGGTTCGCTGCTAGGATGTTGGCGCGCGGAATGGTGAAGAGCGCTTCTGATATTGGGCTGGTGGGGGGAATGCGGGGGGGGAAAGGGGGGGAAGGGGGGGGGAAGAGGGGGGAGGTCGGAAGAACATGCAGAGAGCTAAAGTGGGCTTGGGGTGGCACATGAACATGTGGGCGGCGAAGAGAGGCGGGTCTGCTGCTAGGATGTCGGCAGGGGGACAGTGACGAGGGCTTCGGAGATTGGGCTGGTGGGGGGGAACGCAGCGGGGGAAGAGGGGCGGAGCGGGGGTTTGGAAGGAACATGAGGGAGGGCAAGAGGGGCGGGACTGCTGCAAGGATGTTGGCGTGGGGAATGGTGAAGAGAGCTTCAGATATTGGGCTGGTGGTGGGGAACAGTACGCAGGGGGGGGAGAGGGGGAGGGGGAGGAGAAGGGGGTGAGGGTAGGATACACAGAGAGTCACAGGAGGGCTTGGGGGGCAGGGAGTGGGCAGTGGCGGTGGGCAGCAGGGCTCTGGCTAACAGGGTAATTACCCTTCATGTCGCGAGATCAAGAGTTGTTTTTGGCGTGATTCCGTTTTTCGGCATAGTAAAACTTTCCTGATTCCGTCTGCCTAACGGATGTTTTTTTTTGTGATTCCTTGATATTACGGGCAACTTTTCTTTGATTCCGTGTGAAGTGCACTTGTAGTAGGAGATCAGTTCGTGGTCGTGTATTACCCCCTCCCGCCCTCCCCCTACCTCCACTAAGCAGAGAGAGAGGTTAGTTAGCGGGAAATTTTTATACACTTCCAACAGCCTGAGGCATAGTATGTGCGAGGAACAGTCCCTGGGGGTTCGAAGGCCTTTCATTAGCCCTGGCGAACGCCATTTGTCTTGAGGATGTTAGAATCAAAACGAAAGTAGCACTTGGACGAATCCGTAGTTTAACGGGTAGTGTTTCGGGGATTCCGTCCACTAACGGGTAATTTTGGGGCCGATTCGGTGGGCGGTGGGCGGTGGGCGGTGGGCGGTGGGCGGTGGGCGCTGGGTGGTGGGCGGTGTTGTAACATATATATCTATACAACATGCATGCCTAGATTAGGAGGTGTAGTCATTATAATTATTGGGGGGTTGTTGGTTGGGTTGACCAACCCCACATTTGGGTTGGCACTATTCCAACCAAATGGTCCTTGGTCCTAGGAACCAACCAATCATCAAGCACCACACTTTGTGGTTGCTTGCCTTCCAAGCAATCTCTCTCATTGGTCCACATTGTGGCCAATCGGAGAGCACCATACTTTGTGGTTGCTTGCCCTACAAGCAACCTCTCTCATTGGTCCACTTTATGGCCAATAGGGGAGCTTCCTTTCCAACTCTTCCTTGCTCCTTGTTTCGTACAAAATAGCCTCTTGGCTCCCTACTCAACCAATCTTTTCTCTTCCAAGCTACTTCCTTCATGGTATTCAGAGCCACAATGGCTCACGCCACCTCTAGTCGATCCTAACTAGCACGGCCCTATGCCGTCCCTCCTCGTCATCGAAGCCTAGCCCTTCCTAGGCTACTTCGCGCGCCGTCCGTGCGCCCTCTCCCGACGCGGTCTCCCATCGCGCACACTCTCTCTCCCGTCGCGCGCCTCCTATCGCGCCCGCTCTCCCTTCCGTTGCGCACCTCCCCTCGCGTCTTTTGACGCCCTTTTCCTCCTCGCGCGGTTCGTCGCCGCGTCCTCCCGTCGTGCGCCCTCCGCCACTGCGCGCACTCGTTCGTCGCGCTCTCACACTACGCGCCTGTTCGTTGCGGCACCCGCGTGCTTCCACTGACGAATCCGTCCATCGCGAACGTGCTCGCCGCCGCAGCCGCCGCCGATTCCGCCGTTACTTACGGCTGTCCGTTGCCGATTTCGCCGCCGTCGCGTGCGGCTGTCCGTCGTCGCTTCCGCCGACCGCGCGCGGCCGTCCGTCGCCGCATCCCTCCTTGGAGCGCGACTTAAGAGCTGCTCTCCGCCCACCTATCCTTCTTCTCCCTCCCCCTTCTCCTCCTCCTTTCCTTTTCCCCCTCTTTTCTTTCTCCTCCTCCCCCCCCCCCCCCCCCTTCCTTCCCCTCCTCCTCCTCAATGGCGTCCGATTCCTCGGTGGACCTTACCTCCGTCGACGCTCTTGAGCTGCTGCCCGACAACACCGCGGTCAGTTGGCATTCCTATGCCCAAACCGTTACGGTGTTTCTCTCCTCGGTGACGGTCAACGGCTACAACCTGAAAGCCGTTGTCCATCTCGAGGAGCGCGGTCTTCAGCCTGCCCAGCCGAATGCTCCCGCGGGCCCTGCACCTCCTCCTCCTGGCGATGCTCCCGTCAGCCCTGGCGATCCTCCAACCTTCGCCCCTGACGTCAACGACCCTCAGAGCTCCAAGACCGCCATTCGCACCTACCGTGCCGGCCTCACCGACCACGTCCGCCAGCAGCTGCTCTTCGAGGCTTCCCGCGCCGAGCATGACGCCGCCGCTGCCGCCTACAACACTTATCAGGCGGAGCTCGCGGAGTACGTCAGGCGCGAGCGCGCATACATCACCGACCTCGCCGCCTGGCGTGTCGCTGACCGGCGCGCGCTCACTGTCCTCCTCGCCACCATTCCTCCCACCCTCAAGCGCGAGCTTGCTCCCACCTCCTCCTCCCACCTCTGGCTCCTCCTCACTGATCTCTATGATCGGCAGGACGTCGCCACTTTCTACTCCCTCATCAAGGAGTTCCAGAGCCTCACCATGGACTCTACCACCGGCGCAGCTGCCTTTACGCGTCGCGTCCTCGACCTCGCTCGGCGCCTGGCGGCTCTTGGCGTGCCGTACCCGGACCCAGTGCTCTGCTGCCACCTCCTTGAAGGCCTGACTCCTGCCTTCGACACCCATAAGATCGCTTACATGCAGCTGATCGACAAGCGCATCACCCCGGCTGAAGTCGCCCAGTGGATTATCACCACCGAGGCCGACCTCTTGCGCCATTCCTCCTCAACTGCCGCTGTTGCTCAGCAGCGCAACACCAGGGGAGGGCGTGGGGGTGGGCGTGGCACTGGTCGTGGTGGTGGTGCGGGTCGCGGTGGCAACGGCGCAGGACGTGGTGCAGCAGCCGCCTTTCCTCCTTGTCAGTATCTCCCTCGCTATGGCCCCACGCGGGGTCAGCGCTGCGGCCAGACCACTCATGCCACTGACTCTTGCTTCAAAGCGCTCAGTGATGAGTGGTTTGCCCGCGGCAACACCGGCACCCCCCCCCGCTGGTCCTCCCTCTCCCCTCGCCCCACTCCTCAAGAGGTTCGTACCTCCCCTCTTTTCCAGCCCGTCTCCTCCCCGTTGGCCCACCAGGCCGTCTCTCAGCAACAGCAGCAGCAGCAGACTCCGCAGCAGATCCTGCCGCAGCCGTTTCAGCAGCAGCAGCAGCAGCAGGGGTAGCAGCACCTCTTCTCCCAGTTGCAGCAGCAGCTCCAGCAGCAGCTTGACCTCCAGTCGCAGCTCCCCCTTGCACCTCCTCCTATGGCTCCCCCCCAGCAGCCCTACCCCGCTTGGACCGCCGGCACCGCCGCTTCCGCAGCTCACCTCTCGGGCGCGTCTCCCGCGCCCTCAGCCACAGGCAGTGTGACTCCTTTCCCCTCCTCTGGTTTTGTTGGCATGGTTAGTCAGGCTAGAACCCCCGCCCCTTCTATGTATTCAGCTGCTATTAATGAGAATGTGATTCAGTACTCCGTCCCACCTCCTCCCCCACATCCTCCCCCCTCCACCACGCTGGACTTTGTCCTTGACAGTGGAGCCACCGAGTCCGTCCTTCGTGATGCTGGTACCCTTCACCCCCTCCCAGCCCCCACCTCTCTCCTTGGTGCCGATTCCAGCTTCTCTATTCCCTGTCGCCACACCTCTACCCTCCCCTGTCCCCTCTTCCCCTCAGGTACCGTCACTGGTTTACACATCCCCTCCCTCCGTACTAACCTCCTCTCCTAGCGATCCCTTCAGCAGGCTGGTATCACCACCGTCTTCCCTGGTCGCGCTAATCACTGCCTCCTATACCATCCCACAGGTCGCCTCCTCTCCCGTATTCTCTTTTGTCCTCGCTCCCGCCTATATACCCTTCGAGTTCCTCGTCTTCCCTCTGCCCAGGCAGTCTCCCGCTCCCTCCCCCCACCTCACATCCCTCCCCCTCCTCTCCCTCCTTCTAACCCAACCATTCCCCCCCTCCCCCCTAACCCAACCTGCTCCTGTCGATCCCTCTCCCATCCCACCGTCCTCCTCCACCACAGGCTTGGTCACCCCAACTTTGCCACCCTCCGCTCGACCGTCTCCTCAGGTCTCCTTCGAGGTCTTCCCCTCACCCTCCCTCCCCTCCCTCCCTCCCTTGCCCCTCCCTGCTTCGTCTGTGTCCAGAGCAAGCTCAAGCAGCTGCCGCATCGGAGTTCCCCCTCCGCTGCTGCTCAGCCGCTTGATCTTGTTCACATGGACCTCTGGGGCCCCAACCCCTCCCCTTCCCGCCAGGGCCATCGCTACATGCTTGTTCTGGTCGATGATCATAGCCGATATTCAACCGTCTCCCTTCTTCGCTCGAAGGGTGACGCTCCGGCTGCGATCATCGCCTGGCTCAAGCAAGCGAGCACCCACTTTGGCCGCCCTGTGCGCCGCCTTCACTCTGATGGCGGTGGCGAATTCCTTAATCGTCAGGTAGCCTCCCTTTCCGAGCTTCATGGCATTCGCCAGACTCACACCCTCCCCCACTCCCCCCAGCAGAATGGTGTGGCCGAGAGCCGTGTTCGGGAGATCACCAAGATTGCTCGGTGTCTCCTCGTCCATGCCTCTTGCCCCCCTTCTCTGTGGGGCTATGCCCTCCTTCACGCCACCCTCCTTACTAACCTATACCCCCACCCTATCCTTCCCTCCACCACTCCCACCGAGCTCTGGATGTCGGCCAAGCCTAACGTCTCTTCCCTCCGTGTGTGGGGCTCCAAGGCGTTTGTCCTCATTCACCCTGCGGACCGCCCCCGCACCATGGGAAAGCTCGCCTCCCGTACCCTCCCCTGCATCTTCCTTGGTCATGATCCCTCCTCCCCGGACTACCTCTTCCTTCACCCCCCCTCAGGTCGTTTCCTCCGCAGTCAGGATGTAGTCTTTGATGAGTCCACACCCTACTATTCCACTCCTCCCCCCACTGACCCTCTCGCCCCTGCTCCCAAGCCCCTCACCTGGTCCGACACTATCCCACCCCCTCTTCTCCCTCCCCCTCCCATCCTCCCCCCCGCTCCACCTCCTCCATTCCCCGCTGCCTCGGTCCCTAGTGCTCCCCCCTCCTCTGGTGACATATTTGACCCTGACCCTTTTTTTCCCCCCGCCTCCCCGTCCCACTCCTCCCCCTCCGCTCCCTTCCATCCTCCCCCCTCCCTTCCTTCCCCCTCTCCCCCGCGACCCCCCCCCCCCTGCGTCCCACCCGCTCCATCCTCACCCGGTATCCCCACACCAGGTCGCGTGACGCAGTCCTAGGTGCCCCGCCTCCTGTTATCCTCTCTTCCTCTACCTTGCCTCCTCTCTCCCCTCTCATGGACCTCCTTTTTCAGACAGTCTTACAACAAAACACTAGCCCAACCCTACCGTCGAGCTCCAGTACAGCAGTCCCAGCAGCAGCAGCAACAGCTGCAGCAGCAGTTCCACCCACCGCAGCAGCAGCAGCCGCAGCAGCTGCAGTCCTCCCATTCATTTTCCACTCCTCCCTCCTCGAGGACTCCCATGAGGAGTTCCTCAACCTCCACCTGCATGATCCAGCCCTCCTACCCATCTCCCCTGACCTCAGCGGCACACCAGTCTTCGCCTTCTCCTCCGCCCCCGCCATCTTCGTCCCCGCCATATACGAGGAGGCCATGGCGTGCCCTGACGCTCATCTCTGGCTCGCGGCCATCCTCAAGGAGTTGGAGGCGTTTATTGCCAACTTCTCCTTTGTGGATGTGCCCCGCCTTCCCTCTACCACGAACGTGGTCAAAGGGAAGTGGGTGTTTCGGGTGAAACAGCTTCCTCGCGAGCCGCCGGTCTACAAGGCCCGCTACGTCGCCAAGGGCTTCACCCAGCGCTACGCTGTCGACTTCTTCGACACCTTCTCTCCCACCGCCAAGCCCGCTACCATTCGCGCAGTCCTCGATCTCGCAGCTCGCCTCAACATGGAGATTCACTCCATGGACGTCTCCAACGCATTCCTCCAAGGGGTCTTGCGCGAGCTCATTTACATGGAACGTCTTGCAGGCTTCCACCTCCCCTTTCCTTCCGACTCTGTCTGGCAGCTGCGTCGACCAGTCTATGGGCTCAAGCAGGCACCAAGGGAGTGGCATGCCAAGCTTGCTGCCACCCTCGCCGAGCTTGGCTTCAGCACCTCCCGCGCCGACCCCAGCCTCTTCCTCCGCACCTCCCCCTCCCCCTTCTACATCCTCGCCTATGTCGACGATATGATCCTCATCACTGCCGACTCCGCCGAGCTCGAGCGCGTCAAGCGTGAGCTTGGCGGCCGGCTCAAGTGTAAGGATCTAGGGGAGCTGCAGCACTATCTCGGCATGGAGATTACCCGCGACCGTGCTGCTCGCACCATCTCCCTCTCCCAGGGCCACTACCCTGCAGCTGGTCCTGGAGCGGTTCGACATGGCTCGAGGCACCCCTCAGGTCACCCCTCTTCCTGTTGGGCACCACCTCACTCCCCTCACCTCCCCCTCCTCCTCCTCCCACCCCTACGCTGAGCTCATCGGCTCTCTCATGTATGCCATGGTCTCCACCTGCCCTGACTTGGCATACCCCATCAGCGTTTTGGCCCGCTTCGTTGGTACCGGCAAGCATGATGCCGCCCATTGGCAAGCGGCAAAGCGTGTCCTCCGCTACCTTCGGGGGACCAAGGACTACGTCCTTACCCTTGGCAGCCCCTCCCCTCCCCTCCTCACTGGCTACTCTGATTCCTCCTGGGCTGACTCTAGGCCTGACCGCCGCTCCTCTCAGGGCTATGGCTTCTCTCTTGGCAGTGGCCTCATCAGCTGGCGCTCCACCCGCTCCTCCTCCATTGCCCTCTCCTCCTGCGAAGCGGAGCTGTATGCCGCTACCATGGCTGCACAGGAGGCCCGCTGGCTCTCCTTCCTTCTTGAGGAGCTTGGTGCCCCTCAGCGCTGTCCCACCATCTGGTGCGACAACGCCAGCACCATCCACCTCACGAAGGATGCAGTGTTCCACGGGCGCTCCAAGCACATTGAGCTTCGCCATTACTTCATTCGCGAGCTTGTGCAGGGTGGCCACCTCCAACTGGGCAAGATTGACTCTGCTGCCAATCTTGCCGACATCTTCACCAAAGCCCTCCCCCACGCCGCCCACTCATCCCTCCTTCGCCTTCTTGGACTCGCTCCCCCCGTTCCCTCGTCCACCTCCTGATTCAAGCCCTCTAGTCTTATGCATGTTGGGGGGTTGTGTTGTAACATATATATCTATACAACATGCATGCCTAGATTAGGAGGTGTAGTCATTATAATTATTTGGGGATTGTTGGTTGGGTTGACCAACCCCACATTTGGGTTGGTCAAGATTGGATTTGGTCCTAGACATTTGGTTGGCACTATTCCAACCAAATGGTCCTTGGTCCTAGGAACCAACCAATCATCAAGCACCACACTTTGTGGTTGCTTGCCTTCCAAGCAATCTCTCTCATTGGTCCACATTGTGGCCAATCGGAAAGCACCACACTTTGTGGTTGCTTGCCCTACAAGCAACCTCTCCCATTGGTCCACTTTATGGCCAATAGGAGAGCTTCCCTTCCAACTCTTCCTTGCTCCTTGTTTCGTACAAAATAGCCTCTTGGCTCCCTACTCAACCAATCTTTTCCCTTCTAAGCTACTTCCTTCAGGCGGTGGGCGGTGGGCGGTGGGCGGTGGGCGGTGGGCGGTGGGCGGAACCTGAGACCTTTCCCTTTCTTGGTTTTTTTTTGCCCACTAGGACACTAGGTATGCAGGATTATGGATCAATCACCTCCAGATCTTCGAGAGCCTTTCTTGCAGCCCCAGTGGCATTGGTTAAAGTTTGAAGTTGAGGCCTTCAGAAGTCTGATCGGCAGTTGAGCATTACGAGCAGCGTACCCCTTTCATGTGGCGGTGAGGGGCTGCTCCCATTACAGGGCGAGGGCACTCAACACAAGACTCACAAATGGCTAGAGGATAGCAGCAGCACTGCACTTACACGTTGAGGCGCATGTTGGAAAGCATCTTCTACGCTTCGCTTGCACATGTTATTAGGTGGGCGTGCGACCCCGTGCTGGGCTGGGCTTTAAAGTTGTTGGAGGTGAGAGGCTGCTCGGAGCATATTGCCTAGCCTCGGATTAGGACTAGAGGACGGGGGCAACTCACACAACCGTACTCACACAGTCAGTCGCATTTGAGAAAGCATCTTCTTGGCTCCAGCGTAGGTGATCAGGTAGGCGTGCGATCCCATGCTGGGCTGGGCTTTAAAGATGTTGGTCGTGAGGGGCTGCTCCGAGTAGGGGGCGAGGGCGGAGCGAGCGAGGAGCAGGGCGTCGAAAAAGAAGCGATTGCCGTTCTGAATGATGAGGAGATTAAGTTGTCGGAGTACCTGCATTGGGGGGAAGGGATGAGGGGTGGAGAGAGGTGGTGAGGGATGCCGGGACGGCTCGGAGGAGCGTGCGAGGAGCAGCGCATCGAAGAAGAAGCGTTTGCCGTTCTGAATGATGAGCAGGTTGACCTGACGGAGTGGCTGCACGGGTGGGAAGGGATGAGGAGTGGCGAGGGGTGGTGAGGGGTGGTGAGGGCCGTTCTGGATGATGAGCAGGTTGAGCTGACAGAGAAGCGGCAAAGAGGGGAGGGGAGCAGGGAAGAAGGCGGAAGGGCATCAAGCATCACAGGGTGTAAGGGGCTGCTTAGGTAGGGGGCGAGGGCAGAGTGGAAAAGGAGGAGGGCGTCGAAGAAGAAGCGGCTGAGCGCCGAGAAGAATAAGCTGACGGACTGGCAACTGCAATCGGAAGGGTGAGAGGTGGTGAAGCACGACAGCCAAGGAGCGGTCGACGTAACAGCTGTAATGCGGGGGGTAGTGAAGAATGAGGGGATTAAGGGGCTGAGGGATGAAGGGGTGGGTGACTGGGTGGAGCAATTTCCACAATTTAAATTTAAAGAACCGTCCACAGTGCCCCTGCTCAAGAGCACACGTGTTCAAGAGCACCCATACTCTCGAGCACCCGCGCTCAAGAGCACCCACGCTCAAGAGCACCCACGCTCAAGAGCACCCATGCTCAAGAGCACCCACGCCCAAGAGCACAGCACCCACGCCCAAGAGCAACCATGCTCAAGAGCACCCACGCCCAAGAGCACCCACGCTCAAGAGCACCCACGCTCAAGAGCACCCACGCTAAAGAGCACCCACGCTCAAGAGCACCCACGCCCAAGAGCACCCACGCTCAAGAGCACCCACGCACAAGAGCACCCACTCTCAAGAGCACCCACTCTCAAGAGCACCCACTCTCAAGAGCACCCACTCTCAAGAGGACCCACGCTCAAGAGCACCCACGCTCAAGAGCACCCACGCTCAAGAGCACCCACGCTCAAGAGCACCCACGCTCAAGAGCACCCACGCTCAAGAGCACCCACGCTCAAGAGCACCCACGCCCAAGAGCACCCACGCTCAAGAGCACCCACGCTCAAGAGCACCCACGCTCAAGAGCACCCACGCCCAAGAGCACCCACGCTCAAGAGCACCCACGCTCAAGAGCACCCACGCTCAAGAGCAACCACGCTCAAGAGCACCCACGCTCGAGAGCACCCACGCCCAAGAGCACCCACGCTCAAGAGCACCCATGCTCAAGAGCAGCCACGCCCAAGAGCAGCCACGCCCAAGAGCACCCACGCCCAAGAGCACCCACGCCCAAGAGCACCCACGCCCAAGAGCACCCACGCTCAAGAGCACCCACTCTCAAGAGCACCCACTCTCAAGAGCACCCACTCTCAAGAGCACCCACGCTCAAGAGCACCCACGCTCAAGAGCACCCACGCTCAAGAGCACCCATGCTCAACGGTGGCAGCCGCATACTCTCTCAACCTTACAAAGTCACCCCTTCCATCCGGTGCTTCCATCCGGTGCTTCCACGCTGCATTCCTCTCCACCTCGTTCCTCGCGCCACCCTCTAACACCAGCGCGAGTGGGCAGCAGCACGAACACCAGTCGCAGCACCACCACTAATATGGGGTGCACTGGGGCAACTGCCATGTACTAACAAGATGCTGCTGAGACGCTGGTGATTGAAGGTGACTTCTATGGGAACTAACAAGACTCACCCCTTCCATCCTGTGCTTCCAAGCCGTGTTGCTCTCCACCTCGTTCCTCGCGTCGTCTTCAAACACCAGCGCGAACGGCAGTCGCAGCACCACCACTCTCGCCCACACCTCGAAATGCGCAAAGGCGTATGCAAGGGCGTGAGGACGAAAGGTCGAGCGGAGGGCGGGCACTCGGGCTGGGAAGACTGGGTCGTATCTGGGGAAGAAAGGGGGGGGGGGAGGGGGGAAGGAGGGGGGGTGGTAGCAGAGAGCAGGTGAGCGGCAGCCCCAGCACCACCACCATCGCCCACACCTCGAAATGCGCGAAAGCATATGCGAGGTCGTGCAGGCGGAAGAGGGAGCGGAGGACGGGAGTGCGAGCAGGGAAGACAAGGGAGGGCGGGAGTGCGAGCAGGGAAGACAGGGTCGTACCTGAAAACGAAGGGCCGAAGTACAAGCACGGGGGAAAGAAGGGGGGACAGGGGGTTCGACTCGACACGAGGGAGCAGCACACGAGAAGGCGTATGAGACAGAAGAAGAGGAAGAGGTGGTTATGTGGGCAATGAATCGATCGACTTGCCCATTTCTTGTGGTGCCTCAGAAACAAGCAGGAGGCGTGTGAGATGGGGGTCATGCGGGTGGCTCACTCATGCGGGCGGATGAGGGAGAGGAAGGAAGGCACTAGTGCCACCTGCCTGTACTTGAGAGTCCTTCCTGCTGCATGCATGCGTGCATACACCATAGATTACCCATCATCATTCATGATACCCATCATCATGCATGATACACCCATCATCATGCATGATCCACCCATCATCATGCACGATACACCCATCATCATGCACGATACACCCATCATCATGCATGATACACCCATCATCAGGCACGATAAACCCATCATCATGCACGATACACCCATCATCATGCATGATACACCCATCATCATGCACAATATACCCATCTTTTTGCACGATACACCCATCATCATGCACGATACACCCATCATCATGCACGATACACCCATCATCATGCATGATACACCCATCATCATGCATGATCCACCCATCATCATGCTTGATCCACCCATCATCATGCACGATACACCCATCATCATGCACGATACACCCGTCATCATGCACGATACACCCATCATCATGCATGATCCACCCATCATCATGCATGATACACCCATCATCATACATGATACACCCATCATCATGCATGATCCACCCATCATCATGCTTGATCCACCCATCATCATGCATGATACACCCATCATCATGCACGATACACCCCTCATCATGCACGATACACCCGTCATCATGCATGATACACCCATCATCATACATTATACACCCATCATCATGCATGATCCACCCATAATCATGCTTGATCCACCCATCATCATGCATGATCCACCCATCATCATGCATGATCCACCCATCATCATGCATGATCCACCCATCATCATGCATGATCCACCCATAATCATGCATGATCCACCCATCATCATGCATGATCCACCCATAATCATGCTTGATCCACCCATCATCATGCATGATCCACCCATCATCATGCATGATCCACCCATCATCATGCATGATCTACCCATCATCATGCATGATCCACCCATAATCATGCATGATCCACCCATCATCATGCATGATACCCATCATCCAACACGCAAGGGCATTCACCTGGCTTTGAAGGGCTCCTCCAGCTGCATGGGCATCACCACCTGCGTGTACTTGAGCCCTGCTGCAAGCGTTCACACGCACACACACAGTACACTCCCTGCGATGATCGCTTCAGTTCGCAGCATGCAACAGCCCTACCTGGCTTTGAAGGGCTCCTCCAGCTGCATGGGCATCACCACCTGCGTGTACTTGAGCCCTGCTGCAAGCGTTCACACGCACACACACAGTACACTCCCTGCGATGATCGCTTCAGTTCGCAGCATGCAACAGCCCTACCTGGCTTTGAACGGCTCCTCCAGCTGCATGGGCATCACCACCTGCGTGTACTTGAGCCCTGCTCCATGGAACCGCTTGTCTAGCGCCTGCATGGGGTAAAGCGAAAGCAGAGTGGCCGGCAGAACAAAGGGGATGGGAGAGAGATGAGTGTATGTGCCTGTGGTAGGGAGTACTCGAGCCCTGCTCCATGGAACCGCTTGACTGCCGCCTGCACGGGGTAAAGCAAGGGAGATTGGGAGGCAGAAGGAAGGAAGGCGCGGGGGAGGGATGAGTGTGTGTGCCCGTGGCACGGTGGACTGAGCCCTGATGCATAGCACAGCTTATCTAGAGCTTCTCTCCCCTCCCCCCCCCTTCCAGGCCGACTACAGACACGCTTTCAGCATTCCACTCAAACAGTTTCAGAGGCAGCCCTGTGCAGCGGCAAGATCGGGCGTGCGCGAAGGAGGTGCAACAGAGGTGCAACAGAGGTGCAACAGAGGTGCAACAGAGACAAGAGCGTTCGCTCACCATACCAGCAGGGTCTCTCGTCTTCCCTTCCCCGGATCCCCAGTCCCAATGACAAACACACTGTCAGCGCGCCACTTCTCCAGCTTTAGCGGCAGCCCCGTGCGGTGGCGGGAGGGGTCCAGAGTGAGCGGGAGAGAGATGAGAAGGGGGGGCGAAGAGAGAGGACACAGAAGCTCTCACCATACCAGCAGGGTCTCTCTTCGCCCTTTCCCTGGCTCCCCCGTTCCAATCACGAACACGCTGTCAGCGCTCCACTCCTCCAGCTTCAGAGGCAGCCCCGTGCGGCGGCGGGAGGGGTCCAGAGTGAGCAGGCGCACGGAGAAGTTTCTGGGAAGCAGCGCGTCCTCCCTGAGGCCTTCGACTTCTAGCACGTGGTCCAGCTCGTACGGGCAGTCACTGGCTGATGATGATGATGCTGCTGACGCTGCTTTTGATGATGCTGCTGCTGCTGCAGCTGCTGCTGCTGCTGACGCATTGGACAATGCGGTTGCACCAGCAGCACCAGCAGGCCCCTGTTCCAACAGTCCTGCTCTCCTGCTACCCCCCTCTTTGCTGCTGCTGCTTCGGCTGCTGGTGAGAGCGGCCACAGTGGTGGGAGTGACAGAACCACTGATGCTGTTGCTGCTGTCATAGCCACTGTGGCTGCTACTGCTGGTGTGTGTATCTGACGCATTTCTCATCATATCTAGCCTTCCACTCACTTCAACAACACTCGCTTTCCTCTTTCTCCTCCTCCCTTTTCCACCTCTCCTTCTCTCCACCATCCTCTCCCTCCTATCCCTCTCAACCACTCTCCGCCACTTCTTCCTACTCCTCGCCTCCTTCTCCCTCCTCTCCCACACCTCCAACCCCTTTTTCACAACCCCTCCCATCCTCTCCCACGTGGCACTCGCCAACTGGCTCCCAAATCCCGCCAATCTCCCCACCAACCCCCAGCTCACCTTTCCCTTCTCTCTCCCCACCTCCTCCGCCTCCTCCTCCTCCTCCTCCCCTCCTCGCCCCCCCTCCTCCTCGTTCTCCTGCCCATCCTCCTCCTCTACTGGCTGCTCTAGGAGGCTCTCTAAGGTCTTAAAGTCGTCCGCGGAAAGCGGGGGAGCAGCGACGGCCGGCGAGTGCTCCTCCTCCTCCTGCTCGGATTCGTCTCCCTGGTGCGGGTTAATCTGGATAGTACTCTCTGTAGCCGGGTGTTTACGGTGCAAGTGGCCTATGAGTGCCAGGAATCGCTGCGAGCGGCCTTGCCGTTGCGGTTCGGAACTTCCGTGCGACTCGACGCCTCCTAGCGACTCGAAGCCTCGTTGCATTTGGAATTCGCCGGTGATGAGGAGGGAGACGGCGAGCAGGATCGCCAGCGCGACGAAGCGGGGCGGCGTGGAACGCATGATCCGCGCGCGAACCCGCCGAATCTGGGGGAGGAATGAGGGGGTGTTGGGCTGAGCCGCGCGTGCTGGCTGCGCCATAGAGCGCATGGCGCAGCGAGATTAGTATTCAAGACCCGCGACCGTTACGATGATCGGTAGTATGTCTGAGTGATACGCCATTGCTAGTGATTCGTCATGTCAGCATAGCGGAGTCTGGGAATTCGATAAAGAGTAAAGCGCACACTTCATAAGCTTTATAAATCTGGGAAAAGCAGATGGAAAAGAGCACCTTTTAGTGTTTATTGTAACTGCGGAGGGGTAACGCAGAAATATCTGCAGTCTTGCGAATGGGACGAAGAGGAGACAGGCGCGGTTGGGAATGGTTGGGCGACGAGAAATATCTCCGCAGAATGTTCAGCAAAAGATTTTTACCAATCATATTCCAGGGGTGGGTAAGGGACGGTTTTGTTTCTGACCGATTGCACGTTGGCGACCGTCATCTCTCACCCAAAATGAATTACCACGCCACCTGGCACCTTTCTGGCTTCCCTCCTCCTTTCCACCGTGGACTGGGCAAACCAAAACCCACCAATCACGCCGATACAGTTCTTGAACACAATTCAACTCCAGGTTCGTCTCATGTAACCAGACCGGGCGAAAGTCAACAGGTCGTAAATGTCCACAAATTCGCTGGACCTGCTGTGGCAGCTCATGGACCTTGAGATTGTCGCGAAGAGGCCAGCCCGTGGTAACCACCCCTCCCCGTCCCTTGGGAATCTCGTCTCCTCCACCCCACCCCTCCACTCTCCGCTCACCGTCCCCATCGCGCTCAGCTTACCTTCCGCCACAACTCTACACTGGGCTCCCCCCTCTCCCCCCATTTCGTTGCTCCGCTTCCCTTCCGCTGCCTTGCGCTGTCCCTCAGCGGTTGGTGCTCTGACCTCAGCTGCTCCGCGGCTGTTTCTTGAGCTTTCTGCTTCAGTTATCCCCACTGCTGACAGAATACAGTACAACAGCTCTGTTCCCGTCAGCTGCTCTGTTGAATCCTATCAAGTGATTCGCCACGTCAGGTTGAGCCACGTCTTTCCTTCGCCTCTTTGATAAATCTTTCGGTTGAGTCTTAGAAGCGATCGACCATGGCGACTGCAGTCCGCGCAGCCGTTTCCGCCGAGCTAGCCTCGGCTGCCAGCAGAGCAGCGACGAGGACATCGACCCCGCTTAGTAAGCTCCGAGCTCTCGTGTACGCTGTAATAGCACATCCTAGTAATCAATAGTTCCCTGCGTAAATGTTTTTACAACGAATGCCTATGGCGCCTTTCATCCACCGGCCCATACAGTAATTGATTAAGGGTTTCGCGCGTTTTGCTCGACAGACCCCGTTTCAGAATCACAGCCTGCCAACCCTCGTTCGTACGTCAGCATAGCGACCTGCCGCGTCTCGTTCCCTCACTTCCGTTTGCTATCAGTGCTGTCCACTCGCCAACCGCCTTTCTTCATCCACTTCAAATCATACACATTCACCATTCACAACCGCTCCTGATCCTCCCCTCTCCCCCTCCCCCCCTGTCTTGTCCCCTTCATACCTTTTCCGCCTCGCCGCCCGACCTCCCTCTCTATTCCCTCTCAACCAATCAGCATCCGCGTTCGTCGGCTCTTTCAACTCTCTCTCCACCGTCCCCGCCGCTCCTCTGCGCGCCGCATCGGCCGCCAAGAGGCCAGTCGTCCGCGCCGCCGTCGCAACCGACAAACCCGCTACCGCGTGAGTTGATTCGTGCCGCCAAGTGAATCGAACCTTTTTCCGTCAAGTGAGTGGACTCTGTTCCGTTAAGTAACTCCACTCTGATTCCGGCATTCGAGTAGATTCGCACGTCAGATGAGGTCAGTCCGGCTGCAAGTTGTACGTTCCAAGTGCCGGTACGAGTTCCAGCTCCGTCGCTGTTCCTGGTCTTCACTGGTTCAGGCGCTTCAAAAGTGGATTCCAGCTTCGTCGATGCTGCTCCTGCTCTTCGCCTCTTCGCTTTTCTCTGCTTACACACCGGGTCCTCTCCTCTTCTCTCCCCCCCTCCCCCCCCCTCCCCCCAACCCCCCCCTCCCCCCACGTCATCAGGTATCAGCTGCCCACGTGGGCGCGCTTCGAGCTCGGCTTAGCCTCCGTCTTCTGGGAAACTGCCACCGGCACCCGCCCTGCTTCCGTACGTCCTTCATCGCCCTCTCCTTGCATCCTTATTTCCTCCCTTCCCCCTCTCCCCTCCCCCCCCCCCCCCCCCGCACGCCCTCCCCACCCTTTCCTATGCTGCTGCTGTACGTCTTTCTTATCTCCCGACTCTCCCCCTTCCCCCCTCCCCACCTCTCTCCCCCGTCCCGCCTCCCCCCACGGGACCACTACAACACTGGCAACTGTCCTCCGGCCGAGCTGATGACTATCTGATTCAAACCCGATGCATCCACCCTCACTCCCAAGCTGCACACACAGTCGAGACGTCTCGCAAGACCTGATGACTTCAAAGTCGACTCAAAAGTTACCTCAGTCGAGACGTCTCGCAAGACCTATCCATCACACCCCTCTCTCCCGCCCCTCCAGCCCCCTGCCCCACCCGCATCGGAATCACATTCGACTATCGCCCTTGTGTGCAGGGCGAGCTGATGACCATCTGGTTCAACCCCGAGGCATCCACCGTCACGCCCAACGGTCCTAGACGACTCACACGCACATCTATCACAATCACCTCTCCTGGCCCTCTTCCACCCGCATGTCTCCCTTTCACAGGGCGAGCTTATGACCATCTGGTTCAACCCCGAGGCATCCACCCTCACGCCCAACCCTGAGTTTGGTGTCGCCTTCAACGGTACGCTCCTGCTTTCGCTGCTCGTTCTGCTGCTTGTCTCTCTATCACTGCTTGTCCCCTTTGGAACAAACAACACGGTTTTCTGGCTAATCTCCAATCATCGCCCCCCCTTGTGTCTGCTTTGCCCTTGCCTTCACTCAATCCCCAGGCGGCTTCAACAGCCCCATCATGTGGGCAGCGAGGCGAGAGGCGAGGCGAGGCGAGGCGAGGCGAGGCGAGGCGAATGACCCGCAAGGACTGTGGCTATTTTTAATTCTCTCCCCCCACCCCCACCCCCCGCCCCCCTTCTATTCCTGTGTTATTTCTTTGCCTTAACTCAAACCCCCAGGCGGGTTCAACAGCCCAATCATGTGCGGCGGTGAGGCGAGGCAAATGACCCGCAAGGACCGCGGGCCGAACTGTGCTCCGCTGTTCTCCATCAAGGTGAGCGTGCCCCTGCACGCCAAGACCATCGAGTTCCTGTTCCTCCCCTATTGCCCTGTCTTCTCCCTGTTTGCTATTCGCCTGACTCGTCTCCCACTGTTTGCCTCCTGGCTTCAATCTGTTCTCCAACAAGGTGAACGTGCCCCTGCACGCCAAGACAATTGAGTTCTCGATGACTGACGGCGAGTCGTGGGACGGGCCGTATGTAGTGGAGATGGAGATTCCTCCTGCCTTCCGCAACCAGCCCATGTCCTTCTTCAACGAGGTGAGGGGGTGGGGGAGACCCGGTGTAAGAGCGTAGCACCAGACAAGAACATTGAGCGAAGCTGTACCATGGCGTGTGACGACGATACCATCTACCGTGAGCAAGTGGGACAGGTGCACTGAGTTGTGGTGCATGTGTCCCTCACCCATGTCTCCTTGTTTGCTGTTCCCCCGCCTCTTACCCTGCCCCTTACCCCGTCACTTACCCCGTCCCTTAACCTGTCCCTTACCCCACCCCTTACCCCGTCCCTTTCCCCGCCCCTTATCCTGCCCCTTACCCCGCCCCTTACCCCGCCCCCCCACCCCAGGGTCTGAAGAAGTCTCTGGAAGCGGAGGGTGCGTGCGACGACACCATTTTCCCCGACTCGCAATACGTGGCGGACCGATGCATCATGCCGGGGGGGATCGCCAAGGAAGAGGGTCAGTCGTGCCGGCTTGACCTTGTGCCCGGCTGCATGGACCCCAGCTCGCCCTTCTTTGACCCCCTTGCCAATGTTGATGACGGCTCTTGCCCCATTGACGTGCCCCAAAAGTAATGCGGGGTGCTTGCTTGCTTGCTAGTTGTTGCGGATGTAGAGTGGAGTAGAGGGGGGCTGTGGTTTGGGCTCCTCACCTCACTGTGGAGGGTTATGGGTGAATATTTAGCACAACGTGATGGGACTGAGGTGGTGCTGTACCATCAGAATGATGCTTGTTAATAGGGTACTTATGAATACATGCTGGGAGGCGAGTGCTGATCATATATTGACCATACAAGGGAAGGGACTGATGTAACCAGTCTTAGGTTAAGTCCAGCAGAATCTTTCAGGCAGAAGCCCTTGAGCGTTGGGCGATGTTGCTGTTGGGCTGAGACTAGCCCTAGGATCTTTTCAGAAGATGAAGTCCTTGTAACGGAGTGCTCGATAGTGTTAGAGTCGCAGAATAAGTAGAAAAGGGTGAGAACAGGGGAGATATAGGGTTGGTGTTGAACCCTCTATGAACACGAACTTATCTAGCCTAAAACTTCTACATATAAACATATGTATAAGTTGACACACCCCCTAGGCTAGACAAGGGGTAGTGCTAAGCAAGCAACACGCAGCTCAAGGTGACACTACAAGTCCGACCTCTGAGGTAGAGGCAACAGAAAGAAAATGATTGAACTAGAATGTGTGTGTACAAGGGTGTTGTACCCTCCAAGGCATAATCCAGTATAGTCTACAGTAATAACCTAAGTTACATTTGACACACCCCCTAGACTATATAGGGGCAGTGCCTAACAAGGGAAGAAACAGCTCAGGGTGGCACTACTAGTCCAGCCTCTGAGACAAGGGTCTAAAGACCAGTCTTTTGACTGGAGTACAGACAAGGCAAGAGCAAGCCCAGGGCGGCACTACTAGTCCAGCCACTAGGAGAGGCCACAAGGACAGTCTGGATAAAAAAAATATATGAAGGACAGTACAAAGTCAAGGCCCTAGCAAGTGAGAGGCTACAGGAACGAGACCCAGCTGTACACAGTGCCGCTGATGATCTTTAGGCGCAAGCGCCTTCGTAATGATATCAGCTGTGTTGGCACCGGAGGCCAAGTGTACTACGCGCGCCTGGCGACGCTGCTGCAGCTCACGCATGAGGAAGTACCGGCTAGGAGCGATCGCAACGGCCAGGGGGCCGGCTAGGAGCGGGTGCGACGACCAGGGGGCCAGCTAGAGACGGGCGCGACGGCTAGGGGGCCGGCACAGGGCGAGCGCGACAGCCAGGGGGCCAGCTTGGGGCGGGCGCGATCGGTCAGAGGTCGGCTAGGGACGGGCGCGACGGTCAGGGGGCCCACTAGGAGCGATCGCGACGGTCAGGGGGCCGGCTAGGAGCGGGCGCGACGGCCAGGGAGCCAGCTAGAGACGGGCGCGACGGCCAGGGGGCCGGCTAGAGACGGGGAGACGGCCAGGGGGCCGGCTAGGGACGAGCGCGACGGCCAAGGGCCGGCTAGGGACAGGCGCAAACGACCAGGGGGGCGGCTAGGGACGAGCGCGAACGGCCAGGGGGGCGGCTAGGGACGGGCGCGAATGGCCAGGGGGCCGGCTAGGGACGAGCGCGACGGCCAGGGGGCCGGCTAGGAACGTAGGGGCGGAAGCGTGCGCGGGCTAGGGGGGGATCGAACCTACTATGATACCATAACAGAAAGAAAATGATTGAACTAGAATGTGTGTGTACAAGGATATATAGACTAGGGTGTTGTACCCTCTAAGGCACAATCCAGTATAGTCTACAGTAACAACCTAAGTTACATCTGACAAGGGGTCCGAAGACCAGTCAGCAAAAGTACAAACAAAACAAGAGCAAACCAGGACGGCACTACTAGTCCGGCCACTAGAAGAGAAGCCACAAGGCCAGTCAGGAAGGTATATATAAATAGGAGTACACAATCAAGGTCCTAGCAAGTGAGGTGCTACAGGAACTAGACCAAGCTGCAAACAGTGCCGCTGATGATCTTTAGGCACAAGCGCCTTCGAAAAGATATCAGCTGTGTTGGCACCGTAGGCCAAGTGTACTAAGCGGACCTGCTGCGCTGCTGTAGCTCGCGAAGGAGGAAGTATCGCAGCTGGATGTGCTTCGCTCTGCCCTCAAGTCGAGGCTCCTGACACAGGAGGATCATGGCCCTGTTGTCAGCATACAGAACCAGGGCAGAGCTACGCCGCTCACCTAAGTCAATGAGCAAGAAGGTCAGCCAGCGGAGCTCCTATGCCGCCATGGCACCGGCGTAGATCTCAGCCTCACAGCTAGACTGGGCAACAGACGAGGAGCGAATGGACCTCTACAAGATGGAACCTGAACAAAGGCTAAAGCAGTAGCACTGGGAGGACCTGAGTGTCTCAGCGTCGTCTGCCCACGAAGCGACTGTGTATCCAGTAAGGAACATTGGCTTGCGTCCTCCCAACACCAGTTTCATGCCCGATGTACTTGCTAGATAACGCAAAACCCTCTTAGCGGCCGACCAGTGCTGTGGCCGGTGTCTGCCTGACGCCGCAAAGCGATTTAGGATGCTGAAAAGGTATGCAAGATCAGGACGAGTGCAAGTCATTAGGTACGTGAGGCAACCCACCAGCTCTGCGTAAGGACCACTAGGTTCTACTGACTCCTCAAGAACTAGAGCCGAGAGCTTGTGATCTACTTACAGAGGTGTGGGCTGTGCAGAGGAGAACTGAAGACCAAACCTCTTAAGGACCTGGCGGACCAAGTGTGACTGAGTCAAAGTGATGGTGTGCGCTGCTCTGTCCTTGGAGATCTGCAGGCCAAGGTAGCGGCACAGCTCTCCTAGGCCAGTGCAGGTGTGCCTCCTCAGCAGCTCGGTCTTCACGAAGGCCAGTGCGTCTTTGTCTGCAGTAGCGAAGACCAGGTTGTCTACGTAGGCAAGGAGGTAGAACGGGGTCTGGCAAGCATGAACGAAGAGAAAGGGGTCTGCAGACAATGGGAAGAACTGCAACTCGACCAGTGTAGCACGCAGAGTGTCGTGACACTCACGAGGTGCCTGCCATAGGCCGTAGACCGGGTGTCGGAGGAGCCACTGGGTACACGGACAGAAGGTACTAGTGAAGCCCTGAGGATGACGCAGGCAGACCTGCTCGTATAGGCTGCCCTGAAGAAAAGCTGTGGAGAAGTCGAGGGAGTGGAGCTCGTAGTCACGCTATGCTACTACGTATAGCAGCGCCCGAAGAATAGTCATCTTCGGGGTCGAGACGAAGGTCGGAAAGAAGTCCACACCCTCGCGCTGACTGAAGCCTCTAGCCACGTAACGCGCGTTGAATACATGCGGCTCTTCACGGGGGCACTTCACCTTGAAGAGCCTCCGGCCATCGACTACGTTCACCCCAGGCGGGTGAACTGCGTCGATGTAGGTGCCGGTGGATCTCCAAGATGCCATATTCTGCTCCATGGCAGCTATCCACTGAGAGGCCCAGAGTCTCGACATCGCCTTAGCGTGAGTGCGAGGGGCAAGATGTCAAGGGCGTCTGTGTCAAGGGCATCTGAGACTAGCAGCATGGAACAGAGATGGGGAGCGGCCTCGGTGAGGAAAGCGAGCTCGTACTATCGGTCCTCTAGGACGTCACTGCCAAGGGCAGGAGCACCCCTGACGGACGGAGGACGGACAGGGTCAGAGACCAGAGCGGTGAATTCAGCAACAGCAGCGACAAGAGCATCAAGATTAGAGACAAGAACAGACGGGTCAGTAACGAGGAAGGCAAGGACCCGAGGAACAAGAGGATGAGAGGCACAAAGGTAGTATGACAGAGGAGGCGGCGCAACAACAAGCGACAACGGAGGAGGCGACGGGAGGAGAGGAAGACGAGATGCATGAGAACGAAGTAACATAGGGTGAGAGCGGGGAACAGGAGAGACAGGACAAGCACGAGAGGGACTGCGAGACCAGATGTGAGACAAAGCCGTCAGTTCAGGAGACAGAGGAGGAGATACAGGAGGGGAACGAGGGGGAAGATGAGCTGGGGACGAGTCCGGCAGAGGGAACACAGGGCCGTAGACTGTGTTCGGAGTAGCGAGAGATAGCGAGGACTGATCGATCCGCTGGGCGATTGTCTTGGCATACTTCGAGGCTGATAGATGGATGGTGTCGGGGCCATCCGTGACGTTAAGGCCAAGGTACTGCGTGACTGTTGGCAACACTGTGATTGTGAGTTGGATTTCCAACTCGTCTTCGAACGAGACCGTGATGGAAGTGGTGGAGCCGACGTAGAATAGGTCGTCCATGTAGACGATCAGCAGGACGTAGTTGCCCTTGCGTGATAGGAGGTACATGCCCTCGTCGTGTGGTAGCTGGGCAAAGCCCATGTCGGTGAGGATGCGGTGCAGGTACTGCAGCCACAGGCGCGGGGCCTGCTAGATCCTGTAGAGGGATTTGAGTAGCTGGTAGACCAGCATTGGGTTGTCCACATAGGCGAGGGGTTGCTCGACGAAGATGTCGGCGTCGACCGGGGCGTAGAGGAACGCAGTGGTGACGTCGATTTGTCGCAGAGAAAGGCGGCGAGCGGCAGTGACGGCTTTGAGAATTCGAAGCGAAGTGTGGCGGCTGACCGAAGCGAATATCTGGGTGTAGTCGTTGCCGTACTGCTGGTCAAATCTGCGAACCACCCATCGTGCCTTGAATCGCTCGATGCTCCCATCTCCCTTGGTCTTGACGCGGAAGACCCATTTCCCGGATAGGACCGTCTGAGAAATTTGGATCAGTTTCCACGTGTTGCGTTCGTGCAGTGCCGCAAACATTTCAGATTCGTGTCTCCCTCCCCTTCTGCTGCAGCGAGCCATGCGCCGAAGGCAGAGAAGGCGTGGTCGCGTAACGGTAGGTTAAGATGCCATATGTATCATGTCGCGGTATCGACGAAGGTAATTACATAGTTGAGGTCGGCCCGGCCAACTTCTTACGGGATGTAGAGGATATCGTCGTAGACTTTTTCGAGTGGAGCGCACTCTGGTGTGCTCGGGTTGTGAAAGGAAGAAAATGGTTGACGAGGAAGATTTGCTTCCATCGAAATAAAGCAGGTACGTCGAGGTCGACGAAATTCACATCCATCGAGTAGTAGTAGTGCATCTTTGTCCAGGACATTCGCACGAATCGTGTCGAATAATCTTGAATTTCTAGGATGCCTTAACCGTTGATGCCATATTTCCTCGCTTGCCTTTAGTCCCATAGATCAACGATACAGGTCCGAGTTGGCGTAGAAGGCGGAGACGGTCGCTACGCTTCGATGCTGCGCTCGAGGATGTGCCTCAAGCTGCTTGGGGTCAGTTGATGGTGGCTCGTCGATGGGTTCAGGTTCTCGCGGAACTTCTTTGACGGGCCGTGCCGATGATAGGACTTCCAGGAAGTTGGCTTGTTGGGGCTTGCGTTACTTCTTCGTGTTGTGTTTCTGCTTCTGGCTCCCATTCC